GGAAAGACTCGGAGGACTGCTACCTAACACCATCTGAGCACGCTGTAGTATACACAACACAATAAGACAAAAATCATGACAGTATTTCAACTAACGCGACAACTCACCTCAACAAGCTCTGAGTTCTGAGTGAGTAAGTTCTTGAATGTCTGAGCTGTGCTCAAGTACTGAGCTAGCAGCCCACGTAGCTGTCGATTGAGCTCTTCTGCCTCGTGTCGCTTCTCCTCTTCGGTAGTAGCTGCTTCGACCCATCCCCACTTGGACTCAGTTTGATGAACTGGTCGTCGAAGCCGCAGGAGTTCGAGCTGCGTCTCGTACTGCTGGGCATGCGTTTTGAGCGCTTCTCTCTCCGCCTTCTTCCTCTCTCGTCGTCGACGCTCATACTCTGGGGAATAGTCTTTCCCTCGCCGCCTCTTGCCACGGTCTCCACTACCAGTCGAACAGCCTTGGTCGCAGCCTGGTGATGCAGGCCCAGCGCTGTCGGAGCCGCTCAATGCGTGTTGGTCTTCACATGAATCAAGGAACTCCATGATATCGTGGAGAAGACCTTGAGCCTCTTCGGGCTCTGGGAACTGCAGCTCGGAGCTCATGCTTCGTCTTCGAAGGAGGTCAACAAATAGGAGACTTCGCAACGCCATTCTTTGCACGAACGACCGACATTCCTATTCCTAAGCTGTACTACAGTACGGTAGTATAATACATTTTTTGTAGTCTACTACAATTTGTAGTAGACGCTGTGCTGTTGACATGAAGACCGCAATTTGAATACTATGGTTTTACAGCAAAAACGGTGCCTAAAGCTATGGCAACTCACGTTATCCCAGCTTCCCCTCACCATGCCTTCAGGGGTGACGCGAGCACCATCAAACACACGTTCTACATCCTCCAGATTGCCTAGTAGCGTCAGAAGGGCCGACAGCATGTCCACCCTCCAGTGGAGCTGCGTCACTCGGCCTTTGGCATTATCCCGCAAGAAGCGCACGGATCCTTGCAAAGTAATCCGTTTGCCGAGCAACTTGCCAGCCAGAGGCGCCAACTCCCCGACCAGGTGAGGAAACCCGTACCGTAGAGTGTTATCGGTAATCTTGAGAACGCACCGAGTCGTGGCGACCAACGATTCCCCGGGTCCTTTCTCCAAGCGCATGGGGTACGTGTCGATCTCCTGGTAGCAGCGTGACTGGAGCAGCAGGTTCTTCATCACTGCCTTGACTCCGAAGACCGTGCCGTCCGTCACGTCCAGCGCCATCGTAGCCTGGATAAAGTCGCACTGGACTTGGTACTGGCTGCTGCGTGGCAGGGCCGTGATGGGGGCCTTGACGCCGTGCCGGAAGAGCCGGAAGTACTCAGCCGCGACGCCCCAGATCGTCGAGTTGGTCGGGACACTGTAGGACACGAGGCGGTACTGCAGTTCGAGCTCTTGGACCTCCGTCTTGAGCGTCTCGATGGTCTTCTCCAAGTCTGCCAGAAGTTCGCGCTGTTTTGTTCATGAGTCTTCGGGAGCGTTGCCAATAGATGCACATGGACGAGGAGAACGTGTGGACACATCCGCCGATGACTCGGAGGATCCGATGGCGACAGGAGAGCCGGCGGCAGTCGGGCTCTGGGTACACCAATGGCTGGTCAGGGAGACCCATATATACTGAAATCAAGTCAAGCGGAACCCGGGAGTAATCCATCTGATGAGAGGCACCAACGAGCACAAGGAGAACAAGGAGGAAAGCAGGAGGGGAGGACTAGAGAGTAGTTTGAGAGACGATAACATTTAATCTCAATTCGGAATTTGCCCCCTCAACCACAAGCTACAAACCAACAGGTTAACAGCCGCAACAAGCTCAAGCCCTCCCCGACGACCGACATGACGACGTCCAGCAAGAAGGCCGAAGTCATCCTGGGAAGCGACAATTACTTCCACTGGGAGTTCGCGATGCGTATGACGCTCGCGAGGACGGGGCTGCTGGCGCACGTCCAAGTGGTGAAGGACCCGACGGAGATGACGGAGGCCTGGATGCTCAACGACATGAAGGCGCTCGGTCTGATCGCTCAAGGCGTGGCTGTGGAACACCCCCACGAAGATTCGGTTGGCGACGTCGGCTATCCAAGCCTGGAATACTCTACGCGAGTTCTACAATCGGACGATGATGCATAATCGGGTCACGATGACTCGTCGGCTCCACGAGTTCAAGATGGAGGACGGTGCGACGATGGCGAAGCACCTGGACAAGTTCGACGAGCTCATCGTGGGCCTCCAGATGCTTGGAGAGCCGCTCGATGACTCCCGACAACTCGTCATCCTGTTGAGCAGCTTGCCGGTGGAGTACGAGTTGATCGCATCCATCGTTGAGAACTCGAAGGACGTGACCCTCATCGAGGTGAAGGAGAAGCTGCTCAAGGAGTACGAGCGGCAGGAGAAGAAGGAGGCCACGGAGCGCGCGTTGCGCTACCTCGTTCGGAGGTAGGGGCCAGAACGGGAAGTTCGGCAAGGGCGGCAAGGCATTCGGCCGCAAGCGCAACGGCGGACGAAAGGTCGATGGCTTCAAGGGCAAGTGCTTCAACTGTGACCAAGTGGGCCACATGAAGCGGGGCTGCCCGGAAAAGGCAAATGGAGACACCGCCGAAGACTCGGTGTTCGCTGTGGCGGAGAATCCATCAGCGGGTTGGCTGATCGATAGAGGGGCGACGGCTCACATGACGCCTCACCACGATGACTTGTTCGAGTACAACGAGTCGTCGGCGGACATGTATGTGACAATCGCGGACGGGAAGAAGATCCGCGTGGCTGGAAAAGGGTCGGTGCGCCTAACGGGCATCGACGGCAAGCGCATCAAGATGGTGGAGGTACTCCACATCCCCGGACTCGACCGGCGCCTACTCTCGGTTGGGAGGTTGGATGAACGCGGCATGAGTGTCGAGTTCCAGCGGAAGTCGTGCGTCATCTGGGACAAGACGAAGGCGATCGCTTCGGGGAAGAAGGTCGGCAAGGCGTACTTGCTGGACTGCCAGCAGGACATGGTGTACTACACCGAGTACTCGGGAGTCGACGGAAAGTGGGAGCTATGGCATGCTCGAATGGGACACTTGAACGGAGACGCTATGGCGAAGACCCGCGAGGCGACGGACGGTCTCCCGACGACTCAACAGCAGACGAAGACCCTGTGCGGAGGATGCATGAAGGGCAAGCAGACGGTCGCACATTTCCCGTCGCGGTCGACGTCGGCGACGACTCGACCGCTGGAACTGGTTCATACGGACCTGATGGGTCCTATGAAGACGAAGTCCAAGGGCGGAGCGAGATATGTGCTCACCTTTGTCGACGACTACTCGCGACACGTCGTGGCGTACTTCTTGACCAAGAAGAGCGAGGTCGTGACCAAGTTCAAGTCGTTCATGAAGCTGTACGAGAACCAGTGGGGACAGCGCATTAAATGCCTGCGCTCGGACAATGACACTGAGTTCGTGAACACGCCGATGACTGAGATCTGCCGGGTGAACGGGATTATGCATCAGAAGACGGTCCCGTATAGCCCCCAGCAGAATGGCGTGGCGGAGCGGATGAACCGCACGATCATGGAGAAGGCACGAAGCATGCTACACTACAAGGGCGTGGCTTCGATATGGTGGGCAGAGGGTGTCAGCACTGCTGTCTACCTGATCAACCGGTCGACGAACAGCATGCACCCGGCCAAGACTCCGTACGAGTTGACGTTCAAGTCGAAGCCTCGACTGGATCATCTTCGAGTCTTCGAGTCGATTGGTTACGCCCATGTCGACAAGTCGCGACGCACCAAGTTGGAGCCGAAAAGCTTCAAATGGACTCAAAAGGCTACCGAGTGTACGACTTGGAGTCGAACAAGGTGAAGGCGTCCCGGTCGGTGAAGCTGGACGAGCGCGAGGTGAACGGCATCTACGACACGGCGCCCAGCGAGAACTCGCCGATCATTCAATCGACGGAAGATGTCGACGATGAAGTGGCGCTGCACGAGGAGATGCAACGACCTGCCGCCGACGAGCCGATGGAATCGGTGGAAGAGACCGTCGAGGACACGGAAATGCATGAGGCGGAGACGCCGGAGCCATTCATGCAGGAGCTGACAACGTACCGACGACTCGCGAGACCGGTATTTAATGATGACATGGTCTTCCATCCGGAGCCGGAACGGACCCGGCGTGCCCGAGAACCGGTACTACTACTTGGAGATGGTTCCGCAGACGGTGAGGAGTCGAAAGAAGATGGTCCCGATGACTCGGACAACGATGACGGAGCTCAAGGCACACGCGGACAACGGATCATGGACGCTGGTCCGTCGGACACCGAGTGCTCGACCGATCGGTTGTTGCTGGGTGTTCGCAAAGAAACGCGACGAGCACGGCCGAGTCATCAGGTATAAAACCCGCCTGGTGGCGAAAGGGTTTAAGCAGAAGTATGGCGTGGACTTCTTCGAGACGTACTCGCCCGTGGCCAACATGAACTCGATCCGAGTGGTGCTGTCGGTTGTGGTGGCCGAGGCGTACATCACCGAGCAGCTGGATGCGGACACCGCCTTTCTCAACAGCGGGCTGGTGGAGCGCGTCTACATGGGGGTGCCCTACGGAATCATCAACGCGAAGAACATGATGTGTCGGCTGCAGAAGGCGATCTATGGTCTGAAGCAGGCGGCGAATGCCTGGCATAAGACCATCCACCGAGTCTTCGTGGGCATCGGATTTCGGAGCTGCGGCGGCGACCAGTGTGTATACGTCACGGGCGAGAAGGGCAGGTTCGTGTACGTCTGCCTGTACGTGGACGATATGATCATCGCAACCAAGACGAGCAGCATGATCCAGGAAGTCAAGGTGGCGCTCAAGAATGCGTTTAAGATGAAGGAGTTGGGCGAGGCCAAGTTTATACTTGGTATGGAGATCGACCATGACTCGTCGGCGAAGACTCTCATGATCAAGCAGACTCGATACATTGATGATGTGGTGAAGCGGTTTAATCAGCAGGACGCCAAGGTGGTGGTGAACCCGTGCGAATCGGGCATGAAGTTGTCGAAGACTCAGTCGCCGACGACTCAGAAGGAACGCGAGGAAATGCAGGCGAAGCCCTACCGATCACTCATTGGCTGATTGTTGTACATTACAACGTGCACCAGACCTGATGTGGCGTACATCGTGACCCAGTTGTCGCGCTTCCTCGAGAACCCCGGGCAGCAGCACTGGAAGGCTGCCATCCGCGTGCTCAGGTACCTGCATTGGGAAGGCGAAGAAGGTCGAGGTGACGGCGTACACCGACGCCGACTGGGGCAGCAACCTCGACGACCGACGCTCGGTGTCGGGCATCATGGTGATGATTAGCGGGGCGCCGGTGGTCTTCAAGTCGAAGTACCAGTGCACGGTGGCGCTCAGCTCGGCGGAGGCCGAGTACATGTGTGCACGCAGGAGGTGCTGTGGACCCGCGTCGTGCTCAATGACATGGGTCACGGGCAAGTGGGAGCTACCCAAGTACGGGAGGACAACCAGGGCGCGATCGCCCTCGCAAGCAACGCTGGGTACAATGCGAGGACCAACCACGTGGACATCAAGCATCACTTCATCCGCGAGAATGTGTCCCGAGGACTCATCGTCGTCAACTACGTGCCAACGGAGGATCAGCTCGCGGACATGCTAACCAAGGCGTTGGGGACGAAGAGGCTCAAGTACCTGATCAGCGCAAGCGGAATCGTCAGGACGGTCGTGCAGCATTAGCGGCGAGTGGGAGTGTTCATGAGTCTTCGGGAGCGTTGCCAATAGATGCACATGGACGAGGAGAACGTGTGGACACATCCGCCGATGACTCGGAGGATCCGATGGCGACAGGAGAGCCGGCGGCAGTCGGGCTCTGGGTACACCAATGGCTGGTCAGGGAGACCCATATATACTGAAATCAAGTCAAGCGGAACCCGGGAGTAATCCATCTGATGAGAGGCACCAACGAGCACAAGGAGAACAAGGAGGAAAGCAGGAGGGGAAGACTAGAGAGTAGTTTGAGAGACGATAACATTTAATCTCAATTCGGAATTTGCCCCCTCAACCACAAGCTACAAACCAACATGTTTCTGCTTGTACCGCGCTTGGTGCATGCGCTTGCGCTTGCGTCGCAGCTCAAGCTCAGCTACGAACTTCTCGTCCAGTTCATCAGTTGAGAGAGCAGCGCGTGTCTTCTGCGTTTTGTTGAGCGCCGGCTCGGTTTTGATTTGGTCCTGGGGAGGACGCTTGCGCCCTGTAATGCTTGGTAGGGCGATTCTACTGGGCCGAACAAAAGAAGTTTCTGCTCTATTGTCCTCATGGTACCGTATTTTAGATCTCATACTACAGAGAGATCTCATATTTCAGAGCGGAGAGATAGTGCATTTGCGACATAATATGGCCATTTTTGGCAAGAAATATCCAAAAATACGCACAAAAAGGGTGAAATGGTGCAAAGACGAAATACAACAACACAACTTCAAGAAAATGGTGTATGAAGTATGAGATCTCAAATACGGTAGTGTCGGTCGCGCAGGATAACATCACGGATGACACCGTCGCCAAAGGAGCGGAGATTGGGCGGGTGGAGCGTGCTCGTGTTCATTTCTTCTTCTCGGTTGCTTGGGGGTTGCGTTCGAGGCAGCGCACGTTGGGAACTGAGTGGGAAAGTAGGTAAGAGGGGGTGGAGTGAATGGATTACGGTGTTGATTAGTCGGCGGGATTCGTACTAAATGTCAGGTAAACGGCCGATTAGTAGCTCTGACCTGAGACTACGCCCTGCCATAACGTATGGGGATGTAAGGGGTTGTCCTATTGAGAGCGAGCGGACGACGTTACCGCCACATATAATGTGTATAGAATGGCCAATTATGTGGTGCATATGTGGCTCCAGTTGCCACACATGCACCACACTCAGCAATACATTTAAACTTGAATTGGCTAGTCATTTCTCGACACGGGATAACGTCTTGTGTGTCATAGCCACATAGCTTGACCGTAGTTTCAGTTTTACAGGGTTGTGGCTAGACGGACAGAATATTGGACAGAACACTTTGTTGAAACCAGCACAAAGTGCTACGGCACTCCCGTTCGTGCAAGGCAAAACCTATTTGCTTTGATCGCTGCATGCGCCGTGATATAAGTTCCTCAGAGTTCCTCTTAGGAGTTCTACTAACATTCAAGTAAGGCTAGCAGTGCCAAATTATGCGTATTTGGGCAAGTAAGGCCAGTAACGAAACGATTTACACCAAACTGAGCTACAATACATGCAACATGGAGTGCTCAAACTCAAGTAGGAAGCCCCACAAAAGTAGCAAAACCCAAGAAACTATTAACGTTTGACGCGTTTCGACCAGACGACTCGTAACACACTGAACATGTATTCACTGTTTCAACAGTGAGTGCAACAGCTCCCGTGCCATCTTAGCTGCACCACGCATTCTCAAGAAAGCGGTTTTGAGGCTAGCGATTCGTAAAATGCGCTCAACCATCATGCAGGCCTGAGATGGCATCGTAGTGTTTTAGCAACGTGGCCTTCCGATGCTTGGGTATGTACCTTGTGTCTTGTCTACTGTGGTTGCTGCACAGCACATCGGGATCTCAAGGTGCGTAGACGATGACGAGTGGGCCTCGACTCGGACAGTACTTTTCAGCGCGCTGAGCTCGTCTTTAGACGCCACCATGACCATCGCCTTACTGTGCTCGAGCTTGCTGTCCAAGCTCCAAACCTGCCACCGGCATAAACTCGAGTACCCCTCATGAACCACGGCTTCCGGTGCTGACACGTTGAACGTAGCAGCTAGAGTTCAGCATTGACACGCTCACACGCAGCAAAAACGCTGTGTGCGCTGGTGTAGGCACTACAACCCGAAAATAGCATCGCTGCATTCCACACGCAACGCAGCGCATACCAGAGCCGCCGGACAGGTTTCGCGGTAGCTCATTCTAAACGCCAACACGGAGGGAGCGTCAGCCACACCACATAACACCAGCTTTAACACACACACACACACCCAACGCACCTGAAAGAGCTGCCGTCGCCGCTGTCTTTCATTCCGCGCACCTACCGCTTCTTGCCTCACCGTCGAATTCTATAATGAGCGAGAGCCTCTTCTGTGTATTTCGGTATAGGCATCGCATAACATTATAGAGTCTTCATATCAAATTAGAGAGTCTTCGAGCACTTCAACTTGGCCTGCACCGATTCGGAGGATCGGAACGTTCACGTCACGCCCTTGCTAAGCCGCTCGGCACCAGCACACTTAGGCGCTATGTGTGCGACGTGACCCGTGATATGAAATCTGAACTTCTCGGAGAACACAACGCTTAAGCCGTACAACTTCTTAGGTAGCGCTATCCGCACATCCCCGCGTTGGCGGAAACAATGAAGCTATATAGCGAGGCCTGGAAGGCTGGCTGTGTGATGGGAGATCGAGCATTCACTGTTTATCAGTCAGTGCTTCGGGTCATGCTCACATGCAACACGAGCATCGCATTGGATGTATCTAGTCACAAGATCCTGGTGAATTTTTCCCAATCGGGTTGAGTACGTTTCAACTCCACGCAGCAGCGCGTGTGTCGCCCTCGCCCTTAGGGATCGGCTCCCTCCTCACATCGAGGCCAAACCGCAGGTATCACTGCTCGCATCTAAGTGTCGAAAGCTTGAGTACGCGAATCGACAAACACCACAGTACCCGCCGTGCGAATGCGTCGGTCATGCATTGGGGGCACGACCAGCATCATCCCAGCGATTTTCAAAGCTCGGGGCGCTGATCACCATCGCGATGCGTGCGGCGGGATCATTTGCACCATGTAGCATCCGAACATGTAGCCCCAGAAGCGTTAAACACGGAAGTACAGTGAGCGCCTTCTCTCGCTGAACTGCACGTGGTTGTGCGGTAGGACGAGCAGATTCACTGAGCTCATTGTCCGGAAGACCCCATTGGCCTGATGGCACACGTTCGAGTCGATGTGCGTGCCCTTGCCCACGTTCGGGTACACAATCACGCCAGGCATGTTGATGTTCTTGTCCGCCATCTTGGTCTTCAAGGATCAATAGCTATACCTCTCCGCTGACTCAGGAATAGTCGTACCGAAGGCTTGACGTGTGCGCACGACGATGGTCGAACAGAATAGAATCATGCACTTCAACTCACTCCTGGACACGACTCGCATTAAGGTCATGCACTTCAACTCACTCCTGGACACGACTCGCATTAAGGTCACATCGATAGGTAGACATCGATGGGCACTAACGGGGGCGTCGTTGGGCCCCTGCTTACGAACCCGTCCTCGAGCGATAGCGAGCGGGAGGCGTTCAGGTCGCGCGTGTCCAGCAACACATGAAAAATATATCCGCTGCACAACGTACTTGGCGCCCTTCTAAATCTGCGGCGGTGGTTAGATCGACGCACTGTTGCAGCTTAGTGTGCTGCCTGACCTTCTACATTCTTCCCCTAGCGCTGGTGATGGACCTGGAGCTGGGCTCGGCTCTGACAATAGTCACCGACCGGTTCCTACAGGCTACCACCTTTGGGCATGCACGTCCTGAGTGTCTGGTAAAGCAAAGCTACGCGATCTGCTCTCGCTACGCTTCATTAACCACCAGAAAGCATAAGCATCGACTTGCGAACTTGTTAATAGATGACTGTGCATTCGAAACTCGGTACTCCGAGTGGAAACAAAGATTTGTTTCCAGTAGATCATGAGAACCGTCCAATGTAACTGCAAACTAATGTGGCTCATTAATTAAAGTGCCTCAGCACCACCTACATATCAACCACCGAATACATCAGCTACGGCAGCCAATGCACCGCGGGAGCCGATTGCTGCTTGAAAATAGTAATTCACATCCGTTGGGAAATGCGGCCTCATAGTTCACTAAGCCCTCGAGCATAAATGCGCCCAGGAAACCAAATTTACGTATCGTGTACTTTCTCCTTTTAAAGTTTCATCCATATGACAACTCAAACCACAAATGCGCCACATAAGAAGCCACATACGCTCCACACACGTATGTGGATATAATCACTCCGAGAGCGAGCGAGGGTCCAATCTACAGGAGGAAGTAGCGTATGTACAGAGGAACGGGTCGGATTACAGAAACCGTGTATGATCTACAGAAGCCGTGGTGCGATTACAGAAGTCTGCAGGCAATTTACAGAGGATGCCGCCAAAGTACAGACGCGGCCGCATCGATTGGTGGATAACTTTGGTGCTCGGGTCGAGTGCCTCTCAATTGGCCAGGACCAAAATAGGCGTGTCCATACGGTCCGAGTGGACTATTTCCACGACAATTGCGATGCATTTCTAGTCGATACGCGAGAGGTCGTCTCAAGCGTACAGGTCCGAGCTCGTACTCCAAACGAAGCAGCTTAGGGAGAGTTTTAAAGCGCAGTACATGTGTGATGAAGGAGCCGCGTCAGGCAGTACTGCTAGTGTGGGTCTTCTTGGGAAGGTTGTCTACCGCTGTGTTGAAGGGCTCGCTTTGAATGAGCAGCGACACCACAGTCGACTACAAACCGCTATGTACGGACGCGCGTAGAGGATTTCACGACGATCCAGGTGTGCCGCGTAGGCTGAGCCGCACAAACAGATACAGGATGCCAAGATACGGCGACACTGACGTTTTACCGTGTTATGGTAACACGGTCGCCATACCGTGTTATCATAACACGGTAAGCGTAGAATCTCGCGCAAATAGCAACCTAAGAGCCGGTGTTGACGCTAATGGCCTTTAACACTTCAACAGCCTGAGGGTACGCACAACGGTACCGGCCCACTCCATTGAGCGTGGTGATGCCGAATGCGCTAGCCACAAATTTATGCAGTGCGATAGTCGCAGTCCACGGGCTCCCCCGTGTGTAAAAGCTGTAACTCATGAGTCCGTTCCCAAGAGCGGTTAACCCCCCCCCCCCCGCACTCGCGAGCTTTTTCGGTCCCTGGCTTTGATCAATATACACCATGTTAAAGCTGTATACTACATGTTAAAAGTATGCGTATTTGATCTAACTATTGCCTTCCGTAAGTACGACACATTTCTATAACCTGCGGGAAACTGGTTGACACAGACAGACGTACATGTTGTCTAAGACGCCCTCGGATGGGTAGCTAAATTTCAACAGGGTGTATACCGAATTTGTTTTGTAGAGGGATACACCCACGTATAGGATACAGGATAGTATTAGCCAATCACAATTGTGTCTTCAGATTGACAGGGCTTGACTTGTTGAGGGATACACCAGTTTCAAGCCAGTAATTTTTGCACTCTCGGCCGCTCAGCGCGCGATCATTTCTGCAACGGCGCGGGCGCCACCAAGTCACCCTCGCCTGTCTGGAGGTCAAGGCAGGTGGAAAACGACGCGGGCCCTACCATTTTACACTGCTGCAATGAAGAAGGCTATGGTCGAGCACCTGAGACTACACTGCAATGTTTGTTTCGCTGAAGATACGTTCGTCCGGGTCTACCTACAGAAAAGTATCAAGGGGGAAGAGTGGTGGTGGGGGTGCTTCTGTCGGCGGCAGGAACAAACGCAAAGCTTGCTCTACGATCTCAAGTTGAGGTGGTGGCGGCGAACAAGCTAATAAGTTGGGCTGTGTCGGCAGCCGCATTAGTGAGATTCGGCCTTGAGAGACTTGAGGTAGAGTGCTCAGTTTAGTAATTTTGATAAATACATCTGGGCGTCTGGTGCCGATTCGTTTTTTAAGCAAAATCCGGCGTCTGGTATTTTAGCTCCGGTAGGGTGTATCCCTCTACAAAACAAATTCGGTATACTACAACTTGCAGTGTCCTTTTTATTGATGGTGAACAAAAATCAAAACAAGGGCGGGTTTATGCTGGAAGTATCCTATGATTGCATCCCAACATACCAGGCTATGCATGCCGTGAAAACAAAAAACCTGCTGTACCTAGCTAGCAATCAAGTGACACGTCTTCCCAAACGCGGGCTAATGGGTCTTAGCATTATTATAGCGCACGTCCTGCTCGGTTTTATTGGATTGGGCCACCTCACCAGGCTGCATTCTCTCTGAGGGGTGCATATTAGGACTTACATGCGCAATATAACCCTTACATAGCAAAATATAGTGTCTACGGTGTTCATTCTTTCCAGCTTACCTCTTCTTTTACATACCCTGGTATATCGGAGGAGATTCATCTTGCATTTCGAGCTACTATGCACAATCATGTATCATATCCTGTCTAATCTGATCAGAGTACCCAGGGCAGCACTGTCTCATACGCATGATGGGGAGAGCGGTTCCTGTTAGTAATCTGTAAGCAATCAAATAATCAGTCTAATTCACCATTCTCTGCAGCTACTACTCGTTCTTTGTGCATATTTGCACCTGCACCTGTGTATTTCACGTAGAAAAGGACGTGCTGTTCTTTTTCATAACATGTAGTCATATACAACGTATGAGTGCGGGGGGGGGTTAAGAAAGCTACCGCCGGCGGACGCCGATCCGCGAGTAGACATCGAAGTACAGTCGGCCGTTGGCTTTGGCGATCGTATTAGCTAAGTGACAACAATAGTTATCTCAATTCAAAAACAAACAAACAGTCGACCCTTGGCTGATACGTGCCACCTTCGTTTTTGGTAGCGTCGCTGGTTAACATGGTGGCAATGAGGCTGCTTTCTCCTAGCGGTGAAAACCTTACTAGGGCTCCGCGAAGGCTGGGATAGGAGAATTTTGGTATAAACCCCTTCTTCTTATTTTTCATTATTTTTATTAGCTACGGTCATCTCCTGCGCCTGCTTCGCAGCCGCAGCATCTGCCCGGATATTTGCCAGTTCAAACTGTCTACCGGCAATGCTTTACTAGTACAAAATTAAAAATGCGAACCTTGGTTGAGATCTGTTTTGCAGCTTGTAGAAAATGCAAATACATACTGAGTACCTCTAGTGCTATTGTACAGTCCAAGCGTTCTCTTCGTCCATCCGTACCCTGCCACTGATTCATACCAGTGTCGTCGGTAGCACACCGGTTCAATCTGCCCACGTATATAAACGGCCCCAGTGCGACACCGGGGTCATATCGGTGTGATGGGTATCCTACCGGTTCAGTCTGCCCACGCGTATAAACCGGGCCCAGTGCGGCACCAGAGTCGTACCGGTTTCAAGAAATATACCAGTTAGATGTCAAGAGGGGTCATCGTTTGACTTGATGTACCACGGATATAATCCTATTTGGTCTGCGATAGCAGCACTAACGTTGCTTCCTATCCCAGTAAAAAAGGGTTAATACAGGGAGATCTCAGAAGGCGTGAGTGTTGCGGCCGCGACCCTCACACTAGCCAGCTCTCAGTCTGGATATACGATCCCTCCAAATACTTAGAGCAGCACACACGGAGTGCTTCAGTCATACTCCTTTAGAGTTGGTCGTGAAGTCACTGGTGGGTGGTAGATAACTGATTACGGTAAGCTTAGTCAACATATCTGCACGTACACTTACACGAGCATGCATAGAGTCTAAGGCTGTCGACCACCTACACTCTGTAGTGATGAATGCATGGCTCGTGGCCTATGACTGCTTGGAAACGCCACCACACGTCCAGTACCGAGTTGTCGGTACTGGAGCGCCATTGGCGTTATCTTGCGACCTCTGGCATATGGGTGCCGGGTGTTCGTGAGCGTGGCCATCAAGCCCTAGTTCATGTTGACCGTCACGACCGAGCTGGTCGGGCTCGTGGCGTACGTATTGTACACATACACCTCTCACCCTTTGGGACCTACCGAAGGCGACGTAATTCACCACTACTGTCTGTGAGTTAGCGGCGTCGGTGACACGCTCGACGCTGAGCCGCCGGTCTAAGCTGGAGTCCGCCCTCACACAATCGACGCAGGCTACCGAAGCCAGGAGGGCCAGGCAGTCTGCCTCGTGTGTGTCTTCTTGGGCGACAAAAACACAAAGAATGCGCTGCGGTAGAATAGATCTCTTTGAATGAACATCAGAGGCACAGTAGGCTGCAAACTGCAATGCAGGGACGCGCGGAGCTGATAGCGCGACGATCCAGCGCTGCCGAGCTGGATCAATAGGCGTAGGAGGCCAATATACGGCATCATGGACGTCGTACCGTGTTATGGTAACACGGTAATCTTTCCGAGTTATGGTAACACGGTCGACGCAGAACCTGGCGCAAAATAGCGGCCCGAGCGTTGGTGTTGGCCTTTAGTACCTCGCCAGGATGAGGTATACACACTCTGTGGGCCCTCCATCCTTCCATTGAGCGCGCCATACCTCAGAGAGCTGCTCGCATTGATGAAGCCCAACAATGTTTCGTCTCTAGGCCACAACGTTGATAGCGCAGTACAGCACTGCACACTGGTACTGCGCTTGGTCAACGCCGGAGCGGCCGCTGCACACTGTAGCACTGCTTCTGTTATGGAAGGAGCTCAGTGGGCCGGTTGTCGGGTTTGGCGTAGAAATGGTTGAAATGCTGAGGGCATCTCTTTCATTCGTCCAATTATCTCGTGGTCATGCAGTCTGCCCTCGACATTAGGATAGACCGGGCCTGTAGCTTTAAGAATCAAACGCAGTTATGTCTGGTATGTTTGCGATTTGCATCCACGCTTAGATTCGGTCTCCCACAACTACGTGCAAGTGCAACACCTGGATCAAAGTTGACGGTCAGGCTGAGCGTCTTCATCAAAGCTGACGCTGATGCTGTCGGCACGTGACGGAGTCCGCGTCGAGCCTTGCTGATTATTTTCGTGCAACTTCAAAGGTGGTTTCGAAACCTTCACTTGAGCTACAGTCGAACCAAGTCAGTGGTGGCACATGCCGCCTTTTCAAAATTATCATATTTCTTAATACGCCGAAATACGCGTTGAATCTTCGTCAAAACGCTGCGCTTTGCTCAAGGAATTCATAACAGTCGTTTTCACTTGAAAAGACGTTCTAGAAGCTGAGATATAACACAGAGAACACCCGCCTAAACCCCCAAAAGGCGGCCTAAACTCCATTTTTGCCATCACAACACTTGGTTACCAAGTGTTGTGCTGCAAGTCTCAGCAGTTCCAGAGACCTCAATTAGCCCACGCAGCATGGGATCGACCACAAAAAAACTGGCAGGGCTAGCGTCTCTTAGTAGGCATTCTGCTGAATAGCGGCGAGATGCTCGCGCTACACGAAACATCAACAGGCGAGAAGAAGATGGCGACGATACTGTACGAGGACATGGAGAGCGGAGGTGCGTCCACACGACTGCAGTTCTTGCAGTTAGTTCTACGCACAACTTAACGCTTCAATCCGCAGACTACGGCACCTTTCTCGGCCAAAAGGACCGACTGAAGACGCCCACGACTACGCCTCGTGACTGCTACCGCAAATGGTTCATGCTGGCGATTCTATCGGTCCTCACCGCGGTCAACCAGGGCATTTGCTACTCGTACGCACCCATTGCTGGCATCGTCGAGAAGCGGTGGGAGGAAAGAGTGAGTTTGACGCAGATGTATACTGCTTTCTTCATCAATAGCTTAATATTATCCCCATGCGCAGGTCCATTCAACGGAGCTGATCACCGTCTACTTCATCTCGTACATCCCGTGCTCCTTCATCGGCTCGTGGATCATGGACAAGAAGGGATTACGATACGGCGTACTACTCGGCGGACTGCTACAAGCTCTTGGTGCGGGGTTACGCTACTTCGCGTGCGCTTTTCACCCCGCAGGAGAAGCCTACGTGACGCTGGTGGGCCAAATCCTGGCGTCCGTCGCAATGCCCTTCATGGTCAACTCGCCCGCTGTGTTGTCCGCCAATTGGTACCCGCCTTCAATGCGTGCGACGTCCACCAGCGTCGCAGTCAACGCCAACGCCATGGGCACTGCCTTCGTGTATCTCACGGCTCCGTTCATCGTGCTCAGCAGCGACGACGTCCCGTACTGGAACCTGTACGTGGCGTTGGTGGCGACCGCGTCGTGGGTCGTGGCCTTCTTCTTCTTCCAGTCTTTTCCAAGGACAGGCGTGGCTCAGTCCATTGTCTCCGACGTCCAGCTTCGAGACGAGTACGACTGGGCACAATGGGCCACTGCGTTCACACACAGTGGCTTCTGGCACACCGTCGTGGCCTTCTCGGTCGCTGAGTGCATTCTGAACGCCATGTGCGCGCTGCTGGGAAAGTTTCTGAGCGTCGCGCGCTTCTCCAAGTCGCAGATCGGGATCGTAGGCGCTGCCTTCATCGTCAGCTCCCTCATCGGGGGACAGGTCATCAGCCAGTACGTGGACAGGAAGCGCAACCACAAGACGGCGCTGCAGCTCTGTCTGCTGCTGACGGCGGTCGCCGTCGCCTCCTTCCGACTCGTGCCCAAGGTCAACGTCCACGCGACGCTCGTGAGCTTGATGTTCCTCGGAGCTGTGCTCGGTCCGCTTCAGCCGATCGTGCTGGAGCTGGGGGTCGAGTGCGCGTACCCGACCAGCGAAGCCACGGTCGCCGCGCTGCAGCAGCTCTGCGGCAACTTCTTGTCGGCCATTGTCGTGCCTGGCTTGAGTGCGCTCCGAAGGACGCACGTGGATTCAACGGGCCACGTGCCACCCAGAAACTTTTACGCCAGCCCCGAGTGGGTCATGGTCTTCATGACAACCGCCACCTTCGTCGTCTTCTGCTTCTTGTACGTAGATCCTCTTCGAGCTACCTCTGCTCCACCTTGTACTAACGTTGATGTCTCTCTGCATCTGCAGCAACGGCACGTACAAGCGCTTCGCCCACGAGTCCAAGAAAGCCAGCGGTCGAAGCAGCAACAAGGAGCACGTTCTCATCACGAGGACGTCCCGAGACACCGGGAGCTTCTTCTGATAGTCCGCACCCATCCACCGACGTCGCTAATAACTAATCCATCGCTCTAAATCAGCAGTGCGTTCGTTCGTCTGCACTGGATGCATTTGGGGGGCATAGAGACCCTTTGGAACGGGCCCTAAAGGATGTGCGGTCGCCAAGGCGCCTGGTTGGCCGAGGCCAAAGATCTCATCTGCCGCCTGCCTGTCAACGACCACAAGGTGCGTCGACGCATTGCACTGCGCTGCCGCTGCTGTAGGCGCAGAGCGCACTGGACGGAGTCAACTCCATGGATAGCGCGTCCTTGCGAGGCTAAACCGTTTGGTGGCAGCTGGCAGGTGATTCTTCTATTTGACTGGAGACGATGACGGCGCTGGTGCAAGAAGAACCCGAAGAACCGGAGTTCGAGGTCGAAGGTATGCGAAGGAATTGAGTTGTGTTGGAGCTCTCCTGCTCGAACGGTGTCTATGTCTAATGCATTGTATTGGACTGAGCAGTAGCGACGTTGCTGGAGAAGCGGCCGGTGAAGAAGCGGTCTGCGTTCGCCCGAGGGTCCTACGGGAAATGGGTCATGCTGGCGATCCTCTCGGTGCTCAGTGCTGTGAACCAGGCCATTTGCTACTCGTACGCGCCCATTTCCACCATCGTCGAGGAGAGATGGGAACAGCGAGTACGTTAAAAGGTCTGCTCCGAAGCGATCGATCACTAACCTGCCGTGCTTGTTGTTGTCCCCAGCTCCTCCCTGAGCACCTCATCACCGTCTACTTCGTGTCCTACATCCCGTGCACCTTCATCGGGTCGTGGATCATGGACCGGAAGGGTCTGGCCTATGGGGTGATACTTGGAGGAGTACTGCAGACGCTGGGGGCTGGATTGCGGTACTTCGCCTGCGTGTTCGAGCCCCAAGAGGAAGTTTACGTGACGCTGGCGGGTCAAACCATCGCGTCCTTGGCCATGCCGTTCATGGTGAACTCGCCCCCGCTTCTGTCCGCGAACTGGTTCCCCATGTCCATGCGAGCGGCGTCCACCAGCGTGGCTCTCAACGCCAACGCATTGGGCACTGCGCTTGTTTACTTAACAGCCCCGTTCATCGTTCGTTCTGGCGATGATGTTCCAGACTGGAACCTGTACCTTGCGCTGCTCTCGCTGATGTCGTGCGTGGTCGCCGGCGTCTTCTTTCGCTCAGATCCGAAATCTGGATCCAGAAATTCGACTTCAGCTTCGTCTAGTTCGACTACAGGGGCCATCAAGTACGATTGGAGTCAATGGTGGACGGCGTTCACGCACTGTGGCTTCTGGCACACGATCGTGGCCTTTTCACTGGCGGAGTGCATCATCAACGCGTTTAGTGCGCTCTTGGACAAGTTTCTGGGCGTTGCGCCGGTGTCCAAGACCCAGATCGGCATTGTCGGGGCGGCGTTCATTGTGAGCTCGCTGGTGGGGGGCCAGATCATCAGCCAGCAGGTCGACAAGAAGCGGAACCACAAGGTCGCGTCGCTCATTTGCTTACTGGTGACGGCCTTGTCCGTCGCACTGTTCGGATTGATTCCCAAGGCGGAGATCCACGCGTCCCTTGTCTGTCTACTCGTACTGGGGGCTGTGCTCGGAGCGATTCAGCCGATTGTACTGGAACTCGGAGTGGAGTGTGCCTTCCCGACGAGCGAAGCCACCGTCGCAGCGCTCCAGCAGCTCTGCGGGAACTTCTTGTCGGCCATTGCGGTGCCTGGTCTGAGTGCGCTGCATAGGATGAGCGTGGACGCTTCAGGTCGAGAATCGTTCAAGAATTTCTTCGTCAGTCCGGAGTGGATTATGGTCGTCGTGACACTAGCGACGTTCGGCATCTTCTGCTTCTAGTACGTGCCAAAGGAAGTGGGGGGCTCACAGTACGACACTACTAACACTGTGATGACCTGTCATGTTGTAGCAATGGCAAGTACAAGCGATACGCTCACGAATCCAAGATCGTCCTGCCTCGGGTTAACCCAGACCAAGTTGTGAGTATCAACATCTCGACGTCTACGTCTACAGAGCCAGCCAGCATCAGCTGAGCTACCATGTTATCAATAACCAAGCTACGGGTAATAAAGCACCGAAGAAATGGCTACACAATGCAGGGCGAGCAAACGTGCGGTCATGAACGATGGTGAATCTGACCTTTCAGATAAGATTTTATATCCCTCCCCCCCCCCGCTTCCGCTGACTCACCATTGCTCTTGTGAAGTGGTCGCATGGAGGACAATGACCGCGCTAGTGTACGAACCAGTTGACGTTAAAGGTGCCCTCACAACGTGAGTTTGAAGACTATATCACCCGTTGAAGGCCCTGACGTCGTGTACTTCGAATTTGTTAGGCGGATATGGTACAGTGCTGCGAACAAGTGGCCATCCGAAGGACATCGAGAGCCAACCTTATCTGAAGTGGCTCATGTTGGCGATGTTGTCGGTGCTTAGCGCTATCAACCAGGGGATTTGTTACTCGTATGCTCCTATCTCCAGCATTGTCGAAGATCGGTGGGAACAACGTGTAAGTTTTTTTTCTTTGCTTTATTGCGTTATGGCACACTAAAACTATATTTCTTGTTATCTTTCTTCATATGTCCTGTTAGCTTCCGTCGGAGCACCTCATCACGATCTTTTTCATCTCGTACATCCCGTGCTCCTTCATCGGGTCGTGGATAATGGACCGGCAAGGCTTGCGCTTCGGAGTTCTACTCGGAGGATTTTTACAAGCTGTTGGTGCGGGTTTGCGTTACTTCGCCTGCTCCTTCGATGTTGTTGAGGAGGTTTACTTGATGATACTGGGGCAAACTCTGGCCTCCTTGGCGATGGCGTTCATGGTAAACTCGCCCGCTGTGCTGTCCGCCAACTGGTTCCCGCCTTCTAAGCGAGCGACGTCCACCAGCGTCGCTCTCAACGCCAACAACGTCGGCACCGCTGTCGTCTACCTCACGGCGCCGTTCATCGTGTTTTCCAGCGCTGAAGTGCCCGACTACAATCTGTACGTGGCTATCACCGCCGTCGTCTCGTGGGTCGTAGCTCTCGTCTTCTTCCAATCGTCTCCCAAGCCTCGTCAAGGACTCTCGCCCGTACATGACTCAACGGCACACGACGAATACGACTGGGGCCAGTGGAAGAACGCCTTCACCCACAGCGGCTTCTGGCAAACCGTCGTGGCCTTCTCGCTCGCAGAATGTGTCTGCAACGCAGTCAGTGCGTTATTAGGCAAATTCCTCAGCGCTACCCAGTTCACGAACGTCCAAGTGGGGCTCACAGGCGCCGCGTTCATCATCAGCTCGCTAATCGGCGGCCAGATCATCAGCCACTACGTCGACAAGCTGCGGAATCACAAGGCGGCCATGCAGCTGTGTTTACTATTGACAGCGGTCGCCATCGTCCTGTTCAAGGTCGTGCCCAAGAGGGAAGTTCACGCTACGCTGGCCTGTTTATTATTTCTCGGAGTCGTGCTCGGCCCCATGCAGCCGATTGTGCTCGAGCTGGGGGTAGAATGCGCCTACCCAACCGGCGAAGCTACCGTCGCAGCGCTTCAGCAGCTTTGCGGCAACTTTTTCTCCGCGCTGGTGGTGCCTGGACTGAGCGCCCTACAACGGACGAACTTTACAGCAACTGAAGGAATATCGCCGAGCTACTTCTACGCGAGTCCAGAGTGGATCATGGTCTTCATGACAACCGTGACTTTCATTGTGTTCTGCTCCTTGTAAGTTGCTGGAAGGCGGTGAATGAGTTTATTCTTGCTGATACTAACTTGTGTCCCTGTGTCGGCTCTTGCAGCGATGGCCAGCACAAGCGCTTCCACTTCGAGACGTCCATCGTTCTACCTCATAGTCGCCACCAAGAGCAAGAGGCCATTGCTACAACGGCCAAAGACTCGGAATCGTGACGTTTTTCTTCAAGCTGCAATATTGTTTTAGTAGTTCGTGTTGTCCAAGGTTCCTGTTCAGTCTGAAATCCGTCGTCGGAGCAAAATATGAGACGGGCGTGCAATGTGATCCTGTGGGTGAAGAATGCCAAGAGCTACAGTACCTCGCGCTCATGTTTTTTTTATCAATGCTCTCAACAAGAGCTCGTCTGCAATTGCTCATTCAAAGCAAGACGTCTTGGTGCCGGAGGACAGAACCGTCGAATCACACGTAAATGCAGAGAAAACACACAACAAATCCTACAAATCCTTTTGACTTGGCTTTACTAAACTGACTGGGAGGGATGACGCGTTTTCATAAACGGACCAGCCGCGCTGCGCTTGGCTGGGCGCCCCTTCGGCGCCTGGCGAGTGCAGTGCTCGGCTCGCTGGAATGCTCGTCACTGGGCCCGCCTCCGCAAATACCGCGCGGCCTCGCAACCGCTCGCCTCCGTTGGCTGGCCGCAATCGCGCCTCGTCTACTTTATGGTGTCGCCCATCCTCTGTGTGTTTTCACTGGAATGGAAGTGTGCTCTTACTATTTTGTCGTCCTCTGTACCCATCCTGTACATGTACTGATCTTTACGACTAGACGAATACACCCTACACACCTCGCGGTGCGCATCACCACCATTCGTCGGACGTCATTCGATGATTTGACCTTCGGACGCTGGAAGTTCGCTATTGCCGTACAGTACTGTAGCATGACCGCCTTGGCACACGCCCCAGGTTGGTTCGCCCGCGACGCTTTCTCCACATTATGTTAGCGAGTGCTTCGTGGTATAACTCCGTCACCTGCTGCAGCCAGCTACGGGTCGCTCCTCCTCGGACACACGGGCCACCAGAAGGCCACGCCACGTCGAGACCGTCAGCAGAAATGGCTCATGCTGGTCATGCTGTCAGTGCTGACAGCCATCAACCAGGGCGTTTGCTACTCGTACGCGCCCATTGCCAGCATCGTCGAGGACCGATGGCAGCAGCAGGTACAGACATCGTATACTGTAATCTAATTTGTTGGTTTGTCAGCTGACAGTGATCAACCCTTTGCATGTTTCCTATTCAGCTGCACTCGGAAGAGCTGATCACCGTCTACTTCGTCTCGTACATTCCCTGCTCCTTCATCGGCTCGTGAATCATGGACCAAAAAGGGCCTGCGCTATGGCGTTCTGCTCGGCGGCTTCTTGCAAGCTCTGGGGCCGACTCTGCGCTATGTCGCGTGCTTCCTCGGATCGGAGGGCGAAGTGTACGTGACGCTGTTGGGTCAAGTGCTGGCGTCGTTGGCGATGCCGTTCATGGTCAACTCTCCCCCGCTGCTGTCTGCGAACTGGTTCCCGGCTTCACAACGCACGACGTCGACGAGTATCGCGGTCAACGCGAACGCTATGGGAACTGCATTCGTGTACCTCACCGCCCCATTCATCGTGCTCTCAGCGGACGACGTTCCAGACTGGAACTTGTACGTGGCGCTGGTTGCAGTGAGCTCCTGGGCGGTCGCCTACTTCTTCTTTCAATCCTTCCCAAGATCTGGAGCAACAGCGTCATTCGCGTCCGACATACAGCTCCACGACGAGTACGACTGGAATCAGTGGACAAATGCGTTCACGCACAGCGGCTTCTGGCACACGGTCGTGGTATTCTCGCTGGCGGAGTGCGTACTGAACGCAATGAGCGCGCTGTTGGGCAAGTTTCTCAGCGTCGCAGGCTTCTCGAAGGCCGAGATCGGAGTTGTTGGCGCCACGTTTATTGTGAGTTCACTTGTGGGCGGCCAAGTCATCAGCCAGTACGTCGACAGGAAGCGAAACCACAAGACGGCGCTGCAGGTGTGTCTTTGGATGACTGCTATCGCGTTGAGTGCGTTCCGATTGGTGCCAAAGGTTGAAGTCGACGCCTCGTTGATTAGTCTGCTGCTTCTTGGAGCTGTGCTGGGGCCAAATCAGCCAATTGTGCTGGAACTTGGAGTGGAGTGTGCATTCCCTACGAGTGAAGCGACAGTCGCTGCGCTTCAGCAGCTCTGCGGGAACTTCCTGTCGGCTGTGATGGTCCCTGGATTGAGCATGCTTCGAAGAACGCACGTGGACGAGGGTGGGCATGTGCCAACTAGGTATTTCTACGCATGCCCTGAGTGGATCATGGTGGTCATGACGACAGGGACTTTCATCGCGTTCTGCTTCTAGTAAGTTCCCATTTTTTGTGTGATTCAGACACCCTACACTAACATTTACTTGTGCTACAGCAACGGCAGGTATAAGCGCTATGCTCACGAATCCAAGATCGTTTTACCTCGTGCCAGCTTTGATCCAGCGCAGGTCTCTGCTACCCCTCCATACTCGGAGAACCCGATGCTAGATGTCATTTCGAAAGTGTAACTCGAGAACTAAGCGCAATGACTAATACTCGTGACTTAGGAACAAGGTATTCTCCAGCTTTTGCGGATCTAGTGCAGCTGAATGTCTCTACCGATTTGGTGTGACCGTGACTTGCTTGTTATTCATGACTCCATAGAAACATCAAGTCAAGTGCGACATGGCTTCAAATATAAAAATCATAAAAATATGTTTTCAGATTTTTATCCGCGATAAAAATATTTAAATATTTTTTGCCAACACTGCTATGATAGCGGCTATCATAGCTCTCTGGGGCGTTGCCGCAAACAGTTGAATCAACGTGGAAAATCGCTACTTCGCGGGGGCAGAGCTGTCATCTTGCTTGGTTGGACGACGGCAGTTCGCAGAGAGCCGACAAAGCTTGTGTAAAATACTAATAATGCTGAGGCATTGAGTTACTGGCTCACGCCGAGCATCTAATACCCCTTCGGCCTGCAAGTGAAGGGGACAAAGTTGAAGCTTGTGTTTATGGTGGATCGGACGAGTACCCTACCACCGTTGTCAACAACTGGATGATACTGTTTTCGAAGCAGACGCAACACCTGCCTTCAAGTCGGTCCGTTGCAAACGGCTGTGCTTTTGAAACCCTGACGGCAACGGATGAGTCCTTTGACTCAGCGCAGAAGCAACCATTTCCTCCCTGCAATGCACAGCAACACGTGTAGAAGCAAATCCGGAAATTTGTGGATGGTGATCACGGTTTCCTCGCCATCTCCGTCAACATTTTACACAAGTAATGTTCGATTTGTTGTTAAACCAACGACTCGATTGATTCCAGCATTCCAATGGAATGAGCAAGTACAAGTTGTTGCCCATTGTTCATCACGCTCGATGCATGGTTCATTGTCCTCTACCGGTCAGACCAGCCGATCGCCCCTAGGCGCTGGCATTATAGGAGAACACGTGGGTCACAGCTCCACCAACAACAAGACAACCAGGCGGCAATTGCATCCCCATATGTATCACCGTTGATTGAGATGCCCAAATTTTGCTGTGCAGGACGTATAGTCTCAGGTCCGAGCTACTAATCGGCGGGTTTACTAGACACTAATCATCACCGTGATTCATTCATTCCATTCCCTCTTAGCCACTGCCGAGCTCAGTCTCCAATCTGCGCTGTCTCCCATACCACTCCAAGGCAACCAGCAAGAAGAGATGAACACCAGCGCGCTCTACCCGCCCAACCTTCGCTCGTTCGGAGACGGCGTCATCCGTAATGTGGTCCAGCGCGACCGACACTACCACGAGCCAGAAACGTCTTTTGTTCGGCCCGTGACGACCGGTAGAATCGCCCTACCTAGTATCACAGGACGCAAGCGTCCGCTGCAAGACGCGGTCAAATCCGAGCCAGCACCGACCAAGACGCAGAAGACACGCGCCGCTCTCTCAACTGATGGACTGGACGAAAAATTTGCCGCTGAAGTGGAGCTGCGACGTAAGCGCAACCGCATGCACCAGGCCCGGTACAAGCAGAAACAGCGCGAGCACCTTGCAGACTTGGAGAAGACCATCGAGACGCTCAAGACGGAGGTCCAAGAGCTCGAAGTGCAGTACCACCTCGTGTCCTACAGCGTCCCGACCAACTCGACGATCTGGGGCGTCGCTGCTGAGTACTTCCGGCTCTTCCGGCACGGCGTCAAGGCCCCCATCACGGCCCTGCCACGCAGCAGCCAGTACCAAGCTCAGTGCAACTTTATCCAGGCCACGATGGCGCTGGACGTGACGGACGGCACGGTCTTCGGAGTCAAGGCAGTGATGAAGAACCTGCTGCTCCAGTCACGCTGCTACCAGGAGATCGACACGTACCCCGTGCGCTTGGAGAATGGACCCGGGGAATCGTTGGTCGCCACGACTCGGTGCGTTCTCAAGATTACCGATAACACTCTACGGTACGGGTTTCCTCACCTGGTCGGGGAGTTGGCGCCTCTGGCTGGCAAGTTGCTCGGCAAACGGATTACTTTGCAAGGATCCGTGCGCTTCGTGTGGGATAATGCCAAAGGCCGAGTGACGCAGCTCCACTGGAGGGTGGACATGCTGTCAGCCCTTCTGACGCTACTAGGCAATCTGAAGGATGTTGAGCGTGTGTTTCGTGGTGCTCGTGTCACTCCTGAAGGTGTCGTAAGGGAAGGCTGATGTAGTAGCTGTACGGTACTATGATAGTGCTGTACTAGTAGTAGTATTTGACGACGTTGTATTACAATAGAATGAAAGCTCTTCAGTAATACCATGTATTAGTATGAATGATGCGGTATTAGTGTGGTAGTAGTATTCAGTATCGAATTGCATTGTAAACGCGTTACGCGAGCAGTCTACGTTTGGAAGGTCGAACATCCGCATGCGTCGGGTCTCTCTCTCTCTCTCTCTCGTGCTATCTCTCTTGTCGTGGCTTGATATCTCTTAGTCGGTAGGCATGGAGTCTAGGAGTTTGTCAGGATCGGTCTTGCGCGCAGAGGCGAAGTAGGAGCAGTATTCAGTATTAAATTGGTATATTATTTTGATGGTGCTGACGTTGCACAAGGTATTCGGTTTTCTGAGGTGTTTCTAGCAGAAACTTTCTACAATGCTGACCAAAACTATAAGTGGGTCGCTTTTCGCGACTTTCTCTACAAATAAAAGCGAGTTTGCCGTCAAAGGTAAGGGGTTAGCACTAACTGTAAAGTTGCGGTAAGTATATATCATGTTTATTGTTCTCTTTACAGTATCAGTACAGCACTGATATTATGGCCTTCATCGATTCATGTGATGACCATGACGCCTTGAGTAGCCCCGATAGTACTGCATCTGCAGGGTGCGATGACCAAAGCCCGTTAACTGCTTATAGAGACTCGCCCAAGAGGAGACGCGCGAAAGATTATTCTCCAGACTACGAGCGTCGGCGACGAGAGAAGAAGAAGGCGGAGAGGGAAGCAGGTCCAGCAGTACGAGACGCAGCTGGAACTCCTGCGGCTTCGTCGAGCAGTTCATCAAACTGAGTCCAAGTGGGGGTGGGTCGAAGCTGCTACTTCTGAAGAGGAGAAGCTACGCAAGGCGGAAGAGCTCAATCGACAGCTACGTGGGCTGGTAGCTCAGCACTTGAGTACAGCTCAGATATTCAAGAGACTGATGGATCAGGACTCAGGCCTTGCTGAGGTAAGTGATGCCATGTTAGTTACTTTAATGGTGGTGTTCTTACCGTGGTTCTGATGGTAACGAGTCTGGTGAACGACAGCGCGCTCAGTTGGTTCTAGACAGCAGTCCGCCGTGTCTTTCACCAACACCTTTGACGATGTTCTCGAGTCTGGGAGCTATCAGCGCGCATTTAAACGGGCTGATCAACCAGCTTCACGCTGCCTCCGACTTCGTGTTTGGCTCGGCCTCGATGTTCAAAGAAGACGCCGGGTCACTCACGACGTCAGCCACGCTAAAGTTCCACGATCCGTTGGCTGGCTCGTGCATTGAGTTGCTCAGCTCAACACCGCTGACTTGTAGCTTCAAGACGGCAGTACCGATGTTGTGGAAAATGATGGTCGGGAAGGTCCTGATGCGGCATGCTACACAATGAAGGTATGGTAGCAAAAATTGTATTAATTACTGGTTGCTGTACTGTAGCCTGACGTTTGATGCTGTGTATTGTACTCTGTAGAAGAAGCGATTGACGCAGAGCTCAGCTGAAATGGCGTACTCACTCGATTTTAGCGTTTTCGATACGCCGGTAGTTTTTGACGGAGTGACACTGATGCACAAGTACGAGGACCGCCCGTGTTGATCTGGACGTCCATGATGGTGCAGAACGGGAGCCCGTACTCGAGGACCCAAGGGTGGCTCTCGGTTACCTGTGGTTCGCATGAGTAGCCGGGCTTCAGGTGGATATTTCGGAGTTCCGTGCAACGGAGCCAACGTCGATTTACCTGTTGTTCGGAAGCACCAGCTTTTCGCGAAGTCCAGACTGGAACGCGTTCCACTGAAAATGCTGAAGCGTGCTGAGAGTCAACGCTAAGCAACGTCATGCCATAGCGAATAAAGTTCGCTGCTTTTGGACTCATTTTTATTGGATACTCCTCCCGGGATAATAGGGGTAGTCAATGTCCGCAGCAACAGCTCACTTTTTCCCGCCGCAGCAAGTCGGATTTTTTTCCGGGGCTGTGATTGGCCAGGAAAAAAATCGGCGACCGGAACAAAAAGTCGAGCCGCAGCAGCAGCTCGTTTTTTTTCTGGCGCCAAGATCTGAGCACCAACGGTACGGTAGCATGGTCGTCGCGCGAGAGAAGACTCCGCCCTTGGGGCTTGCGCTGCGAGCAGAGTACTCGGAAGGTCAATCTAATAAGCCTACTTGTGTCAGTCGGATGCCTTGGTGTCCAGCAAGCGTTGCTCCAGCGCGATCATGTAATAATGCACAATGTATGTCGAGGGACGGAGAGAACACGAGCCCTTCCACGAGCTCTGTATCTATACTACACTCGAGTCTTCCTTAGCAAGCAGCCTAGGACTGTGTCTAAAGCTGCATCCACTAATCGCTGCGTGTTGGAAGGCGCTGAGAGTAGTGAGCGGACGGCAGTTCGCTCCGCTAGCTACAGCTAACTTAGCCCTACTTTCGCATCGGCAGGCCGAGCAACAAGCGCCTCCCCCAACAAAACTCAACACGCTCAGTCTCCTCACCTTGACCATCAACAACAGGTGAGCCTCCTTCGTGCTCACGCGCGACCTCAGCAACTCTACAACTCGGATAGACGCCGACTGGAGTTTCATGCTAACATCAACACCTACCACGCCGATTGCAGTAGGATGAACACGCTGTTGCCTTCTCACACTCAACCTGAAGGAGGCAGAGGACACCACCTTCCTCTTGCTGGCGCTCCGGGCATTCCAGCGTACGCTTCCCAGCATCCCAGAGGACAAGCGCGTAGGCTGGGGCGTTTGAAGGCGAGGGGGGACGGAAAATCTTGATCTGTTGCTGCGGACAGTGAATGGGGTGGTCAACGCACTCAGCTTGTGGTTGGTAAAAAAACATTTGTCGTGTCTGAGTGAGAAAAAAAATTAGTTGCTGCTGCAGGCATTGACTACCCCTAATATGCGCTATCAACATTTTTGGACATGGTAATGCAAAAATATACAAAAAATGTAAATGCTTGGTCGATGCGGATTCACTGTAGAAAACTCGCCAAATCGCCGTGGCGTGAATTAAGCAGCATTTCAGAGCAAGTGTTCTCCGCCTTCATGTTCGCTCCTCGTCCTTCGCGATCCCTTGCATAGTCGATCGATCGGCTGTCACACCTGGAATCGGTCGATAATTTACGCGTAATTTATGAAGTAGCCCCGTAACCTTGCCAGTGTTACTTGTTACTTTCGCTTTTAGTTTCTCAAAAGTCATTCTAATGTCTTTTGGTGTTGGAAATGATCCCGAGGCTTGAAGAGGCACAAACGTGCGGTGCTGAGCAGTCGGGACAAGATCACAACGGATCCAACCAAGGCTCACTCTAACTCTTCGATCAGATGCGCCCATGACCGCCTCAGTCCGCCACGAGACGAAAGCCAAAGGTGCGCCAGCATGCAGATCCTCAATCAGCCTAGGTTAACTGTGCCATCCCCCCCACGGCCCGCAGGCTATAGACCTCTGCTGCCGAAGAGCCCGAGGAGCCCCAAGGCGTCGCCACAAGACTCGTGCAAGAAATGGTTCATGCTCGCGATCCTGTCGGCCCTCAGCGCCATCAACCAGGCCATTTGCTACTCGTACGCGCCGATCGACAGCATCGTCGAAGCGAGATGGCAAGAGCGGGTAACGAACTATTCTCTACTATACACCCCTTATCGATGGCAAGCTGACACTCTGTACTGACGTGTACGGGTAGATCCGGACGGAGCACCTCATCACCATCTACTTCGTCTCTTACATCCCGTGCTCCTTCATCGGCTCGTGGCTCATGGACAAGTTCGGTCTTCGGTTCGGCGTCCTCCTCGGTGGCTTACTGCAAGCTGTCGGCGCTAGTTTGCGCTACTTCGCGTGCGCCTTCGACCCCGTTGAAGAGGTTTACATCACAGTGCTAGGCCAAGTGCTAGCTTCCTTCGCGATGCCCTTCATGGTCAACTCCCCCGCCGTGCTGTCCGCCAATTGGTTCCCGTCTTCAATGCGCGCGACTTCGACCAGTGTTGCAGTCAACGCCAACGCTATGGGCACGGCTCTCGTCTACCTCATCGCCCCCTTCGTGGTCTTCTCCAGCGACGAAGTGCCGGGGTATAATTTCGCCTTAGCGGTGCTGGCTGGTGGCGCGTGGGCGGTAGCGTTGTTCTTCTTCTGGTCCTTCCCTAATTCTACTCAAGACCATCCGAAGTCCCATCTAGGAGACGAATACGACTGGGGACAGTGGAGGAACGCGTTTACTCACGACGGGTTTTGGCACACTTTGGTCGCATTTTCCTTGGCGGAGTGTGTACTGAACGCCATGTGCGCGTTGCTGACCAAATTTCTAAGCGTCACGAGCTTCTCTACGACTGAAATCGGAGTGTTTGGGTCGGTGTTTATCATCAGTTCACTGGTTGGGAGCCAAGTTATCAGTCGATATGTGGACGAGAGGAGGAACCACAAGGCGGCGATGCAGGTCTGCCTCGTGTTGATCGCTGTAGGGATCGCGCTGTTCCGACTGGTGCCCAAGAACGAGGTGCACGCCACGCTATTGAGTCTGCTGTTTCTCGGGTTTGTACTGGGTCCAGTGCAGCCGATTGTGTTGGAATTAGGCGTTGAGTGCGCGTTCCCGACGAGTGCAGCTACTGTGGCAGCTCTGCAACAACTGAGTGGGAATTTCCTGTCGGCCATCGTGGTGCCGACTCTGAGTGCGCTCTTACGGACGAGTTTAAGTGCTACGGGCGTTGAATCGACGAAGAACTTTTACTCGAGCCCTGAGTGGATACTGATATTTATGACCACAGCGACGTTCATCATCTTTTGCTTCTTGTACGGTTTGGTTGTGTACCTGTTTTCATGTATGGTAAAGTTTTTCTAACGTTTGTTACACTTTTTTTATCGATAGTGACGGGGAGCACAAGCGCTATGCCCACGAATCGAAGATTATCCGGCCCGACAGTGACCAGGATGAAGTGCTAACAGGCACGAACACTGCAGATTCCGAATCATGACGTTTAAATAAAAGCTAAACTGGCATATTATTCGTTTTCAACCTTATGAGGAGCTCATCGCCGTATTCAGCTCATAAAGCCGTGTGAGGAAGAGTGCGTAGTCCACAGATTCTAGGCTCTCTTCCATCCCAAAGTGTCTAAGTAGAGCCAGCAACTCTTGCTTGTGCAGTGGAATGTTGAGTTGGTGAAGCTTCGATAGCAACAACGCCATCGAAACAAACTGGAGAGGGGGATTCTCCAGACTCCCCATGTTGGCAGGAGAGTCCTGCAGTCGTCGCTGCAGTTGAGCGAGGAATCGATCCAGATCCACCCTCCCACCGCCGCCTTTGCCCTTAACGATCATTTGCCTCACTACAGCTCGAACTTTAACTTGCAGCTCTACCGAGAGGGGGGCGGCCCACTGGGCAAAATGCAGCAAGTCGAGGAAATACTTGGACGGTGAGCCGATGTGAAGGAAGAATTGACTCAGGAGGTGGGTGGAAACGCTGATGCGGTGATAAATCTGCAGCAGTTGCTTCAGTCTGGCGGGCGTCAAGGGATCGAGCGTCGAGGCTTCCAACTCGCGCTTGTTCTTGTGGATCTTAGAGGACAGCCCCGAAGTACTACGGTTTGTAGAGCTAATGCTCAAGGAGGACCGACGGAGGGGAGAGCCCGGTGGTGTGGGCCGAAATTCGTTCGTCGATGGAGTGGCCCCCGTCGACAGGTAGCGAAAGGCGCGTGCTGGCAGAATATTCCCCTTTGAATCTGCAAACTCGCTTGCGATCTCCAGTATCGTGATCTCGAGAACTCGAAGACTTGAGATGGCGTGACCTTCCTCATCATCACCAGTCGGTTCACTCTGGATACCAGAAGGTCGAACTCGCGAGCTTGATGACCGGGTCGAGCTCGAATGGGGTGGCGGTCTTGTACGCGATGAGCTGAATGAGCTCGCTATCTCACGGAATCGCTCCAATGTGACAACAGTGGGTGGTCCAGAGCTACCGTTTAGAGAGCGATTCAGAGCTCTATCGAGCTTGTCTCCAGCAAGAAGACGCATCACAGACGCTAGAGCGTCTTCATTGTTCAATAGCGCGATGCCGCTGTCCAATTCTACCGCATCACGCTCGAATTCTTTGCTCAAATAGGCCTTCAGGTCCGCTGCGTTGAAGTGGCCTTTGTTGTCCGTGTCAAGAGCTCGGAACAATCTCTCCATTTCGGCTGTCGACATTGCGCCAGCGAAAATCCCCTCGAAATGCTGCACTACACAGGCTTGCAGCGACTTCCTTGCGTGTCGCTGCTGGAAGTCCAGCAAAAACACAATAAGCCGAGCGTAGTCAATTTTCCGGTCTTGCTCGCGGTGATGCCCTTGGCCAGGAAAGCGACGATACAGCACGTCGATCGCCCAACCAGGCATACTCTGCTGGTTTTGACAAAGGAGGCGATAAGCTTTATTCCAATCATCGCGCCGAATCGAGCCCACGCGCTCCCAGTCGAACTTCTCTAAAATCTTCTTAACTTCTACCAACGAGTGAGGCAGTCGCATACTACTGATCATCGCATTCCAGTCAAAAAGCGCGTCAAAAAATACGTCACAATGAATGCCGTCTCTGGCAGGAGGTCGTGCAGGCTTCACCTCAGCTGGGGTTGACAAAGTCTGGACGAAGGCTTTGAGGTCGTCTTGGCGGATCCCAACGACCCCTAACTCGTGCATCATCTTCATTAGCTCTTTCACTACAGCGCTCTGAGTGAGCCAACCCTGCGATTTGCGAGAGAGATCATCTAGTACACGATACAAATCGTACCCAGCGCAGCCCTTAGCCACTAGTTTCTTAAGTGATTCGACATCGCACGAACCATTGAAACTTTTAGTATCGGCAGCCGAGCTACGATTACCACCAGAAGAACGCTTCTCGTCTCGCCAACATTTCGTTGACAAGAAACGTTTTAGAGATTTCACTTCAACCGTCCCTTCGTGGTTGAAACCCGCACTACCGAACAGGAAAAACAATTCAACCATCGCAAGTGGATGTTCGTCTGCCTGGACTACGAATGTATCGTGGAAATCCTGAAGCGACAGCCCGTGTGATGACCCTTTTGTTGTCATGAGCTCCGTTATATAAGCTTGAAGTCGATCCTGCTCGCGCATAAGCTTCTTTCGGATGCAGCAGTCGAAGTAACGATCATCATTTAGATCCGGAGAACCGAAAACCATCTTCAACAGGACGTCATACCTCAATGCAACTCCACTTTTGTCGTCATCCGAGGCAGAACTATCCAATCCGAGAGCTGCTATCACTACGTCCATGTCGTCCGATGAAATGTGTCGCTCGAAAATCCGCTTAAAGTACCTCGTCGAAATCGCGAACTTCGATTCACGATCAAGTTTTGCGAGGATTTTCCCGAGTTGAGCCAACACTTTCTGCTCCATCCGAGCGTCACCACCGCACAGTGCCATATAGATACCGCGCCAGAATTCCCTGTTAAGCGCTCGCTTCCATTGCTTAGCGGCTCTGTTATCCTCCATCGGGAATGGGCCTAATATCACATCAAGTAGCTCTGCGTAGGATAAAAATCCCTCTGAGCATCTATCTTGTGAATTGTGCTGGATAAACGGGTGGGCGAGTTGGATGGTTTCGTGCTCTTCCAATGGGAATGGGAGGTTGAGAGCGTGATGTTTCGCTAAATCCACGTGAAACACGCGCACCAATTCTGCCACTGAAATAATCTGGTCTCCGTCCAAGTCATACTTGGAGCAAAGGGCATCCAGTAGCTGCCGAGCGCCCTCACGCCCTGGTGGGAATCCACTCTGTAAATACTGGTCCAGACGGAGAATAGATTTCCGCTTTGCAGACTCCCGAATGTCCGGTAAGGCGTAGATGAGAATATCCATCAGCACGTCTACGAACTCTTTGTAGTCGAGCTGAGCCTGCGAGTTGAAGTTCATGCCCATACACACTTCGATCAGCCGCGTCTCGCTCACTTTTAAGTCGAATTGATCCGCTAAAATGTAGCAAAGTTGCTTCAAATTCACGAATCCGGTAGAATCTGCATCTCCCTCAATTAAAATCTCCTCCAGCCGCTTCACACCCGTGCTGAATGCCGCACAAGCGTCGACACGTTAGCTACAGAATCGTATCACATATCGATACAGCACTCACAATTGAAGCTTGCTCGCTATCTCCACCAGCTCTTTCTCGTGAAGGTTGACAACCTGCAGCAAAGAACTCGATTTTGGGGAAGCTAATGGTGAAAATGTCGTCCGTTTGGTTGGAGACGTGGCTTTGAACTTGACTGGAGAAACCTCAACACTCGACGTCTTCATTGTCGCTCGACTTCGAGGCGACCAAGCGGGCGGCATTGATTCCTCTGCTGACTTCGGACTCATAGCGAGTTTTGTCGATTCCAGTTGTCTGCTGAGCCGTAGATTGGCCTCTTGCAGGTTGGAAATGACGTCCTTAAGCTTCTTGTTCTTGGATTCGAGGACGAGTGCTTTGGAGTGAGCATCTGACGCCGCCTTGGTTGGAGCAACTTGAGCGGATGAAGAAGTGACTCGAGACTGCCAAATGTTAAGCGCTCGCAAGGCCTCTCGGATGTTCACTATGATTTCTCCTCCTTCCTCAGTAGCAAATTGATACAGAAACTCCTGGTCGTAGAAGAAATAAAACAAATGTGAGCTTTCTGCAAAATATCTTCGTGGTAGACAGCAATGCTTACCTCCATTTCGTCAGTAACCGGATCCGAGCCATTCGCCGATTCGGGGTCGAGATCAAAGAGAACCTCGCAGACGTGACTCAGAGGCACAAGCGGGTGCTTCCTGGCGTCTCCGTACGAGAAAATCTCGCACAGATCTAGTGGTGAGAGCCTCTTGACGTACATAATTCGTTGGAACCACTCGTCCGGAGACTCTCTTGAGCGATGGCGACGCGGTTCTCTACTTGCGACGGGGGACTCGGTCTTCTTCAAGATTCCTCGAGGTTTGCTGCTAGATAAGCTGTCGTTTGATCTGCGCTCTTGGGCTGAAGACGGTCGCACGACATCGTCCAAAGTCACACGTTTCCGTGAAGACCCACTGAGGCTTGAAGACGACAAAGTGCGGCGCTCAAATCCATTGGAAGAAGCAGGTGAGGCTGGTCTGCTCTGGCTCTGACTATGACGCGACGAGAGCCTCATGTACGCGTCCTCGATGCGGGAATCACACAACTAATTACCACAACGCGTTAAAACAAAGTGGAGAGCGATACTCGAAAGCATGGTTTACCTGTGAACGCCGATTGATGTACTCGTGGATGTCACGCGTCGAGATACGAAGAGGTTGTCGCTGGCTTGCCATCCCTCAGCTCTCACCGCGAGCCAACATACACCAGGAAATGGAGCAAAAGTGGCGTTGTTATAATTATCCATGCAGCACAAGCTCACAGCACAACTCTCTTTCAAATATATATAGATGAAAAAATAAAACTTAACTTGAGAGATAGGGATGGTCTCGACTCGACTCAGTGGCAAAACAAAGGTACAACTCCTGTAATTGAACGCGATCATGGGGCTCTCGTGATGGGGAAAAAGTAATGATTGATGAGCAGAACTCGTCCGGTAGATAACTTGGTGGCCCACGTTGCATGGTGTACACCTTCATTCCCCAAGTTTCTCCTCCCCCGACTCAAGTGCCTCAGTTTCAAGTGTACACCGATGAACAAGTGGCTGCTTCTCCTGATGGTCGCGCTGACCATTTTTGTGGGCGGCGATGCTCTCTCCGCAACTCACCCCGACTCCAAGTTGTTGAGTCTCTCAAACGCGGACCAGTTGAAAGCAAGCGATCGCTTCGTGGTACCGATGACGAGGAGAGAGGCGCGACGGAGCTGGCGAAGAAGCTCAAAGCTTGGGCGTCCAAGACGAATCTCGGGCGAGAGGTTCGCGAATGGGCTCGGAAGCGGAGCGAGGCGAAGGCGGTCAACCACCTGAGACTGGCCAAGGTGCTGGCCGACAACGACGCCGACTTCAAAATCCTCTACCGGAACAAACTCATGCCTCAAGAGTTTTACGAGGCCAACGGCTTCAACCGAGGAGATTGATCGGCGATGCGTCGCTAAAACACTGTGAATACACTTATCCGATCGAAAATAAAACAACTTTTTATCTAAATTCCTCTATATTTTGCGCTCAATAATTTCAGTAGCTATAAGGTCCGTTGATTCATCCGTCTTAGGTCGCCGTTAGAACAGTTTTGCTCATTCTCAGTTTGGTGGCCGTCCGCTCACGTCCGCTCTCGGCGCCATGTTGGACGAGCTAGCTGCAGTAGCGGTCTTCTGCTCGGCTGTGATAGTCCCCAGTGTTGATGGGGCCGCCAATCCGATGGACTACGAGGCGTGTCCTCAACGCCACCATCCGGAGTATTTCTGCTGCTCTACGTCCGCCAGTACTCGCGAGGTTTTCACCAAGTTCAATCGACCCACAGGCGGCACCTACGAAGACAACTACAGAGCCGGGTGGAGTCAGCCACGCCAAGTGAACTTCCCGTACGTGCGCTACACTCCAGATACCCCCGTCTTCTCGTACGACGACTCAGCGTCGATCTGTCGGGTGCAGACTGTGATGATCGACCCAGAGACTGGGGAACTGCACCAATTTTTACAGTGCGGGAGTGAAAACGCGTCACTTAGTGAGGATTCCCATGATGCGGCCGTCTTCTGGACGTCTCCGTCCAATCCGCGCAACAACAACGCTTCGTTTCCAGTCGGAGCGCAGTGTGTCAGTCTCATGCTAGCGGACGGAAGCGTGGACGAAGACAGCAAAGCTGCGTGCATAAGTGACCAGCAGAGTCAAAGTTTCCAGTTCACGAACTTCACTGAAGCCCCCTTACTCGTCGTGTACCTCGTGTACTTGACTTGCTTCGCTCTACTTGCGTGGTGGAGTTTCCATCGTCACGTAATTCTCCGCAAGAATCGCGTACAAGATGACGACGATAAGCAGACTCTTGCCTCGAGTGGAGTGTCCGATCTTAAGGGAATCATCACACGTCCGCGGTACGAGCTCATCCACGACGAGAATATGGAGAGTCAACAGCTTATCCAGAGTGGATTCTCAAACTCGAGTCAGGGGAGAGCTGTATTCGCCTATTTCGTGGCGGTCAGTGTAGTACTTCACGTACTGCTGTTTATTATCATTTGCGACTACTACGGCAGCTTCACGCCCGCTCTGTTCGATCCGTTGAGTGCAAGCGCCTCCGTCTTCTTTCTCGTTTGGCTCTTCGCAGCTCTCTGGCTGATCGGGATCGTCAAGTACCAACGCGACCTGCCGAACTTCTTCCGAGTTCCAAGCCCTCTGCACAGTTGCGAGTTTGTGCACATACTCAAGAGCGACGACTCGGAGATCATGCTCACAGATCGCTCGGGTGTGTCAGCGTTAGTGGCCAAAGTGGAGAATTGGTTCAACACTTCTGGCAAACTGCGAGGATACCAGGAAACAATTCGAGTTGAGACTATCGGAGGCAAACGCTTCGTGGATTTCCAGCACTTACGATACATTTACAACGACGAGAGTCGAAGATTTGTCCCGTCCGAGATCTCTATCGGACGAACTTATGCAGATATTGGAGCTGCTGGAGGGTCCGGCTTGTCGTCTGTTGAGGCGGAGAGGCGCCTTCATACTATCGGCTTGAACGTCGTTGATGTAGCCATGCCTTCACTATTGAGCTCCATTCTCCACGAGTTCCTGACGCTGTTCTACATCTACCAGATCATGTGCTACTACGTGTGGCACTACTTCACGTACTGGAACATGGGTATCGTCATGACTCTAGTGGTTCTAGGCACGGCGATCATCAACATCTACACCAAGCGCAACATGCAAGCTGCTATCGTCAAGATGACGCGATACCGAACGGAAGTCACAGTATTCCGCGACAACGGGTGGCAGTTAGTGGAGTCTTCATTACTAGTGCCTGGAGATCTGGTACAAGTCTATGAAAACTGGGTTGTACCCTGTGATATGGTGATCGTCAAGGGCTCCACAGTGTGTGACGAATCTATGCTGACGGGTGAGTCCATGCCCGTCCAGAAGTTCCCAATCCCAGATCATAGCGCGACTGTGTACGACTCTGAAGGGCGAGGCAAGAAGCACACACTCTATTCAGGAACTCGCGTACTGTCATCCGGTCGCAATGAGGAGATCCACGCGGTAGTGCAGACTACTGGAGCTCACACTACCAAGGGCCAATTGATCCAGTCGATCCTGTTCCCAGTGCCCATGCGCTTCAAGTACGACGAGCACCTCAAGGCTCTCATCGCACTGCTGCTCGTGTACTCCGCCGTGGCGTGTGTGATCGGAATCAATTTTCTTCTGGGGAATGGCAAGCTCAACAACAAAATGACGGCGTTCTGCTACTGCATCTTCATGATCTCCGCTGTGGTGAGCCCTCTGCTGCCGGTAGTGATCACCGTGGGGCAAGTCAACGCCGGTGCAAGACTCCAAAAGTCTGGGATCTTTTCCCTTAACGTGAAGCGCATCACTTTGTGCGGTAAAGTCCGCGTGTTCTGCTTCGACAAGACTGGGACGCTGACTAAGCAAGGCTTGGACTATTTGGGAGTGCAGTCTGTGGATTTAATCTCCAACTCCTTCCTGCCAATTACCAAGGAGGATTCCAACATGTTAGCGACAACTCAGTACGCTTTAGCCACCTGCCACTCCGTCGGTTCTCTCGACGGGAAGCTGGTAGGCAATGAAGTTGAGCTGCGGATGTTTGAGGCGACTCGGTGGACGCTGGTAGAACGCGAAGGCTCGCAACCGGTGGCTAAATCCCCCGCTGGAGACGAGCTGGAGTTCATCAAACGCTTCGACTTCGACCATCATCGCATGTCCATGAGCGTCGTGGTTCGGGATCGGAAGACCGGTCAGATCTTCGTCTTCTGCAAGGGCTCCTACGAGCGCATGCAGCAGTTGAGCAAGCCTGACAGCGTTCCAAGTGACTACAAGTCCGTGGCCGACCAACTGGCCAAGGACGGGTGCTACGTGTTGGGGCTGTCGTACCGTCGGCTCCCGAGCAACTGGACGAACGATCAAATCGACGCCTTCTTAGCGAACCGAGACGCTGTAGACGAAGGTTTGTCCCTATTGGGGTTGATTCTGTTCCGTAACGAGCTGAAGGAGGACACAACCGATGCGATAGCTCAACTCAAGGCTGGAGATATTCGCGTGGTGATGATCACGGGCGACAACGCCATGTGCGGCTGCTACATCGCGCGTAACAGCGGCATGGTGGCTCCAGACTCGCGGGTGATTCTCGGAGACGTCGAGCGGACTGGCAGTGGAGTTAATGCAAAACTTGGCGACGTGGAGTGGCGGGACGTGGATAGTGGGGTGATAATCGACCATCAAGCGGTTAAGAACATGGCGATAAACGGAGACGACGTGGAGCTCGCACTCACCGGCGCTGCCTTCAATCGACTCAAGAGCTTGGGCGAGATGAGTCACCTCCTCTTCCACGTCCGCATCTTCAGTCGCATGACCCCGGACGACAAGGTGGACTGTGTCAAGATGCACATGGAAGCTGGAGCGGTGACTGGCATGTGTGGAGATGGAGGCAACGACTGCGGTGCGTTGCGTATAGCCCACGCTGGTATTGCTCTAAGCGACGCCGATGCTTCTGTAGTGTCGCCATTCACCAGCAAATCCAAGACTATTCAGTCCGTGGTGGATGTTTGTCGTGAAGGACGATGCAGCTTAGCCACGTCCTTTGCTTCAGTCAAGTTCCTCATCATGTACGGCGTCATCGCGTCGACGCTGCGGCTATTCCAATGGTACAACGCCACCATTCTGTCCGAGTGGTGCTTCATCCTGGCCGACGGCTTCACGCTCGTGGGGCTTTCGTACGTCATCACACTGTCCAAGCCACTGCCAGAGCTGCGTGATCAACGACCGACGTCGAGTCTCGTCGGGCCGTCGACGCTGCTCTCGATCTTGGGACAAGAACTCATCAACGTCGTCTTCTTGGTGTCCGGTATCCACATGCTGGCCTCGCAACGCTGGTACTGTCCGTTCAGTCCGGACAACATCGATCTGGCCAAGTGGTGGCTGCTCTCCGACAACCACTTGGCGACCACGCTCTTCTTCACGATCATCACACAGCAGCAGCTTGCGGCTTGGGTGTTCAGCTTCGGCTCGCGCTATCGCGCCTCTATCTGGAGTAATCACGCCCTCGTTGCATTGTGTGTGTTACTGGTGGGTTTGGATACGTATCTGCTGCTGGGGCCGCCAGGGAAGCTCAGCGATCTGTTTCGTATCTCGAGTGGCACGAACGTGATGGTGCTGCCGGATATCCCCATGCCCTGGGCGTTTAGAGCGCAGTACTTCGTGCTGCTGTTCGGTAACGTGATCGCCTCTATCCTGTTCGAGTACTTCGTGGTGCTGGGGCCGGTGAGGGACTGGTTGCGACGCAAGTTCCACCACGACAACCTCCCGATGCGAAAGTGACGCAAACCTGTCCGTTACCCCCTGACGCACCACCAAAAGCTGGTAGATCTGGTTTGGATTTAACTATGATGCACAAGATTTTTTTTCATCAGGACGTACCAGTCTTGATGGTCGTGCGAAACTGAAGAGATACCAAGCTCGAACGCATCCCAATGGTCTGATCTCACACTTTCGGCACCACCATCAACAAGCAACAACGCTGAAATATTTCTTCCACGAAACTTCCACTTGAGCACTAGCCAAGCCGAGTCATGCGTTGTTTGTGGAGGGCCTCAAGTCCCTTGCCTTGCCTAACAGTGCAACGGACGGACAGGATTGTGTCCGAAGTTGCGACGGAGGGCGATGCATCACTGCGGACAGGCGCTAAACACCATGGAGAGGAAACTCCGCCGAAAGGCCGGCCGGACATACACTTGGCCGCGAGTCTGAAACCCATGCATTCGGCGTTGCACACGTTCCGGTCACTGCCAATAAACCGGCAGTAAACTATCTTCTCTCTGAAACGAACACCGCAACTAGCACTGCAAGCTTTCGTTTTGCACGCCGACCCGGCGCGTGCTCCCGCCATATAGTTGCTGCTCACGCGTACAGCAGGCGTAACGACCTCACTTCCATTTCCACTTTTGCACTGTCCGACCAAGCACTTCACCCCCGGAGTATTCAACACGCGATGAAGACCTTGTCGGCATTATGTCTTGCAATGCCCGCTCTGTTTGTCGAAGCTTCTCGGTCGGACTACGGGAATTTGCGCGCCGTCGGTGTCAGCGGCACCTATTCGACTCCTCGGTTCCAGAAGGTGACGTCGCTACAAGCCCGAGTCCAGGGTGACATGCCCCAGTGGAACGCCGACAAGCAGCGCTTCGTGTCCAAATACTACTCCACCTTCGACCAGAAGTACCGCGCCGTGCTCGACACCGTCAACATGGCCGCTGTCGAAGGTGCACTCAAGTACGTGCAGGCCGAGTGCATCAACAAGCCCGTCATCACCGACTGCAAGCGCAAGAACAACATCAAGTACGTCGTGTTCTACCAGACGACGGTGGTGCAGCCCACCGCGTCCATGGACTTCTACGCCAACGCCACCAACCAGTACGACTTCGCCATCGAGCACTGCCCGTTCATGGCCATGGACGGCGGCCAGTGCGACCCCAACGCCGACGGATCCTTCCCCGACGTGTGCAACCAGTACGTCGGCGCCAATGGGCAACCGAACCTGGGCTTCTGTGTCGGTGGCTCGCTCCAAGACAACGAAGCCATCGCGCCGTACCCGCACAACTACTGGTTCTCGTTCCCCAACAGTTGTCCGCAGAGTCGCTGGAGTGACAAGACCGACGCTTGTCGTGCCCAGTACGCTGGCGGCATGTGCCCTCTCGGTGTTGATCCTGACGGAGAGACTTGTACGTTTTCGTACGAGGTGCTTGGCTACATCCCGCTGGACGACGTCGTCGGCATCACGTCGATGGTCAACTCGAACACCGGGAAGACCTACGCTGACTACGCCGAGTTCTGCAATGCTGGCGGAGTGGAGTTGAATGTTGAGGTTTCTGGTAGTCAGGTTAAGTGGATCGAGGGCCTCAAGTTCTGGGCCAACCCTGGTGACAGCAACGCCAACGCCAAGCGCGCTGAGAAGCTCGTGTCTGCGTATGGTAAGGTGGTCAAATCGAATCCGACGACAACGGATGGCGGTGTGATGAAGCCCCTGCCGACGATCGAGTCGCTCACGGCCAGCAACCCTCCGTGCTACAAGAACAGCAAGGTTTGTGCCAAGGCGAAATTCGGTTGCAAGCGCTCGTACCGCTCGCAGATCTGCGAAGTCTGTACGTCGATGAAAAAGGGCTGTGTGAAGGTGAAGAAGCACTAAGTGTCAACACAAATTGAACGAGATACTAGGTACCTACCGCTCTGCCTGTACAGAGCGCCATGTAGATAAGATCTTCTCGCCCATGCTGTAATTACAGAATTATGACACCCAGCAAGCCAGTTTTGGGAGCAGGTTAGTTGCAGCAGAGATGACGATCCACAGCGACTAAGCAAAGGGGAGAATGTACAAACTCAAGCATTTCGTATCCTTGCATACTACAGTATAGGTACGTACATATCCTACTAGCTCCTCGGTAGATATCCCATCAACCTGACACTCTGGTGTTCAAACGGATGCTACAACCCCCGCTTGACATTATCTGTGGTATTATACCTCCACCCCCTACCACGAAAACGTATATTTATGTTAACAATTATTTCATTTGCATAATTGCAAGCTTTCGAATCAAACTAATTAAACCAATTGTATTTGTGTAATGGTGCACCATACAAAAAGTCACATAAAGTGTAATATGATGAAATAAATAACGTTGTAGAGTATCAATTTACCGTTAAAGTTGATAAATACTTAAGGAAATAATATAAATATATTTTTAATAAATATATGTTTCGAAGGAGATCAGGGATCGGTGCGTTAGAGTCGAAAGCTCAAGTTACCTAGCTGACTTTCGGCGTGGTGTAGCTGAGCGAGCTTGTTTTGTGGAGCTTGATACTCGCGCCGACGCCAGGAACGGACGCGCTCCTTCACTAAAAAGCGAGGATACGAAACCATTGCGTCCGCTCAAGTCTCGGATATCCGAAACGAATCGTATCTTCGTCCTCCACGCCTCCACGGCATGCTCGCTGTAGCGACATATCCAACCACTTCGTTTTCTCCTCATAACCAACCAACCACGACGCCTCAACTTGTCCAACAGCAACGATGAAGATCTTGTCGGCAATGAGTCTCGCAATGTGCGCGACGATTGCCGCAACGACGGACCTGTCTGTGGAAGGCAAGTCGGATGGCTCGGGCTGCCATTTCCAGAAGGTGACGTCTCTGCAGGCCCGAGTCCAGGGTGACATGCCCCAGTGGAACGCCGACAAGCAGCGCTTCGTGTCCAAATACTACTCCACCTTCGACCAGAAGTACCGCGCCGTGCTCGACACCGTCAACATGGCCGCTGTCGAAGGTGCACTCAAGTACGTGCAGGCCGAGTGCATCAACAAGCCCGTCATCACCGACTGCAAGCGCAAGAACAACATCAAGTACGTCGTGTTCTACCAGACGACGGTGGTGCAGCCCACCGCGTCCATGGACTTCTACGCCAACGCCACCAACCAGTACGACTTCGCCATCGAGCACTGCCCGTTCATGGCCATGGACGGCGGCCAGTGCGACCCCAACGCCGACGGATCCTTCCCCGACGTGTGCAACCAGTACGTCGGCACCAATGGGCAACCGAACCTGGGCTTCTGTGTCGGTGGCTCGCTCCAAGACAACGAAGCCATCGCGCCGTACCCGCACAACTACTGGTTCTCGTTCCCCAACAGTTGTCCTCAGAGTCGCTGGAGTGACAAGACCGACGCTTGTCGTGCCCAGTACGCTGGCGGCATGTGCCCTCTCGGTGTTGATCCTGACGGAGAGACTTGTACGTTTTCGTACGAGGTGCTTGGCTACATCCCGCTGGACGACGTCGTCGGCATCACGTCGATGATCAGCCCGACGACGGGCACCACGTACAAAGACTACGCCGAGTTCTGCAAGGCTGGCGGAGTGGAATTCAACGTCCAGGTGTCTGGCGATCAAGTGAAATGGATCGAGGGCCTCAAGTTTTGGGCCAACCCTGGTGATAGCAACGCCAACGCTAAGCGCGCCGAGAAGCTCGTGACCGCCTACGGTAAGCTGGTGAAAGCGAATGCGGCGACGGTCGACGGTGGAGTGATGAAGCCCCTTCCGACGGTGGAATATCTCACGAACAGTAACCCTCCGTGCTACAAGAACAGCAAGGTTTGTGCCAACGCCAAGTTCGGCTGCAAGCGGTCGTACACCTCACAGATCTGCGAGGTCTGCACGTCGGCCAAGATGGGCTGCGTCAAGGCGAGAAAGTTCTGAGCGCATCGAGTGGTGAAACTTCGTCCAATCTATCCGAGCCTCACACGGACTTGACTTGAATACATGTACCTTGCATAGATACGAAATTGGCATTGATCAAATGGTCTAGCGCACGACAGTACTGTTAGTACTGTTGTGAAGCCACGCAAACTTGAAGCTATAATCCACTCCTGTTCAGTCACAACAGTTAGAATTTACAGCACTACACCGCCAATGAATCGGCCCGTACCTAGCTGTGGCAGCGTGGATTGCATCGTCATGGTAACCCAGAGGATCAGTTTGGGTTGGATCATGAGGAACTCTTCCTCAAGTACAAAGGCAAGTTGCTGAAGGGGCTGACGATGCGCTAGGCGGTTAAGCACGAGGAGGAGAAGTACCAGCGACCCGAGCTCAAGCATTCCGTATGCCAGCACGCTCCCAACTCGGCTTCGAAGCTCTTGGTCTGTAAGTTAAGCCAGCTGCGGATAATATTGACGGTTCGGCAGGTAGTACAGGACAGTCATGTATCCGCCTATGATAGCAAGGAAAAGCACCATTAATCTAACAAAGCAACGCTGTCGATCAGCTCCAGTCTCAAGACTTACCGTAGATAATGGGCACCACCACTTCCGTGAACTCCACAAGTAGCATAAATTCCATTAGAAACAGCACTTGAAGCGCCTTCTTGAGCAACATATAGTGTTCTCGATTTGTTAATCTGTCGATACTGGTCGCTGCAATGGCCGGAGCGAGTTCAACAGATTTGTCGTTCGAAGCGGACCTGCCCGAGAATACGTGTGATACGTCCCTAACAGATAGTGACTTGGATAATGGGACTGGAATCTCGTACTCGCCAGCTTCCATCCGCATCGTTGGCAGCACCTGCTTCTTCTTCGGAGAAATTCTGGCAATACGTGGTATTGATGTGCTAGTCAATGCGTTGGATCTCTGTCTCTTTGTTGTGAGCCGGCGATTTGCTGTGGCCGGGTAGTTCTCGAGCACAAGCTCTGCCGTTGGTATCAATTCGTTGCTGCCGAGCCCGAGCTCGTCCATGATGTTCCTCACGTCGTTCACCATGCGGTACAAGTCGAGCAGCGAGATGGCCGCCTGCAGCAGATCCACCGCAATGAGTGTGATACTCGTGCCCATTGACTGCGAGTTTTGCATACACGTGGAGATGAAGAGCGCGTTGAAGATCTCGACGTTGAAGATCACAATCTGCAGCTTGGTATCGTCGCGGCCGGAGAGGATGCGGCTGGGCACGTTCTTCTGCACGAGTTTAAACACCGGGATCAGCAGGGCGAACAGAGGCTGGAGCGTCGGCGACAAGTTGGCGAAAATTGTGCTGAAAACGGCGTAGGCCAGCAGGATCGTGACCTGAGCTCCACCGATGGTAGCGAACCGCACCACATCCTTGACAGCCTCTGGGTTTGCACGCATTTGGGCTCCGCAGACTCGCAGCAGGAAGAACGTCGTGAAGCCCAGCCACGGACCTGACATTAAGAGTGTGGTGAACGGCAGCGGCCAGCATATGAACCATGACAAGCCGAGCGCGAGGATGTTGGTGAGGAGCGCTGCTGGAACCGAGGTACGGAGTACTCCTGTTGGCTGCAAGTTGAGGTTCGGACTGTACAGTCGGATCTGCTCGATGGCGCAGTGCGTGTAGATGAAGCACGTCACTGTGGCGCGCACCCACGAAGTTCCGCTGTGGGCGAAACCCTTGTCGATGTCTTCGAGTGGCATCGCGTCGATCAGAGCCACGAGAAGGAGACCGGGCAACGGAGTCAAGGGTAGAATCACCAACGCGCGCCAGAAACTGGCTCAACACGGTGAACCTCTCGATCGAGTAGTGGCCATGGAGCTCCACCTGCACGGATTCCCACTTGTGGACGATGCGAGCGACCGACCGCTGCATCCGCTCATGGAGTCCCGCCATAGTGTTGAGAACAAAAAGCTTATCTAAGCTTATCGTCTTCTATTATTATGGCCACAACGACAGGTGCACATTATTCTCAAAAACTGACTCAGTCGTGCATATAGAAAGATTGTGTACCCATGTTTACAGTTATGGGTACAGTTTAGAACTGTTCGTGGGTAAACATTTGCTTTCTCTTGATTTGGTCCAGAACCGCTCAGATTTGAATTCCCCGTTCCGTTGCAGCGACTATGGGCCAGGCTCCTTCCAACGCCAAGGGCGCGCGGCCAGCCTTGCCCCACTCGGCGCCCACGCTCTTCCCGTTGCCGTCAGACGAATCGGACCTACCGGAGGGCGCCGTGCTGGATGTGGAGCTCGAGATCGTGTCGGCCAAAGTGCGACGGAATTCAAAATTAGTTTTCTGTACTGTTCCAGTTTGAAACTCTACTAACCACTAGATAATAATGCCAACCACACAGAACATCGTCGCCGGTGACTATTTGGGCGTCACGGCCTTAATGAAAGGCCAATTGAGCTCCAGTGACGCCTACGCCATCATCGCAGTGGACGGCAAGAAAGTGGCCTGGACGCACCCGGTCTTCTCGACTCTGGAACCGGTCTGGAACGAGAAGTTCTATTTTAGAAACGTGCGACCATACTCGCTCTGCAAGCTCTACCTGTTCGACAAGGACGTGAACGCCGACGATGAGCTGGGGGAGACCCAGTTCACTGCGGTCAACACGGACGGGACGGTATCCACGTTCGAGCAGGCCATCTCACTCAACGGCAGGAACGCCGGTACTATTGTGATCAAGGTGCGTCTAAAAGTCTCGGTGAAATTATATCATTTGTGTGTGCTAACCTCAATTGAAAATTGCAGGTCAAGTCGCATCCGGTTGAGCCGATGCGTCGGGTTTTGCTTCAGGAGCTCGGACCTGTGCGGTATTCGGTGCACTCGAGCGTGACTGCCGGTCTCATGACCATGTCGACGTCCAATGATGCCAAGATCGAGTCGTTGGCGTACCACATCCAGCTGCACAACGTCTCGCAATTCTTGCCGACAGACCAGGAGTGGAACAAGAACTACCCGACGATCCAGCGGATCTTCTCGCCGGACTTCCCGGAGTCTCCCGTGCTTCGCCAGGCGATCATGACGCAGCACGCAGTCATTTACACACACGGTCCAAAGAACACCAAGTACGGCGCGATTTCGTCGCCTGCCGAGTTTTTCAAGCTCATCCACGACGGAAGGCGCCAGGAGAAGCCCGTGCTCTTCACGTACGTCATCACCAAGAATGGCTGGTATTTCTCCGAAACGGGCGCCGCGTTCTTCAAGGACATGCTCTCCAAGCACATGCTGCACTCGGGCGCCGCATTCTCGGTTCTGTACGTGTCTTTTTCTCATTGTTTTGGCTGTTTGGGGGTGGACTGATGTGGATTCGACTTGTAAACAGGTACGCTGGTGAGTTCCGCGTCGACAACTTCCTGTTTGGGGAGCCCAAGCTCATCATTGACAATGATAGCGGCACCTACGCACCACCAAAGGAGGCTCTGCCGCAGCTCAAGGCGCTGATTGAGAACAACTTCCCCGGAATCGAAGTGGAGGCGTTGGACCGTGAAAACGAAGACCAGCAGCGAGCGCGCAAGGAAATCCTCGATTCGTGGGTGTAGGAAGTGTCGTCGCCATGCCTCGTTTTAATGGACGGTAAGAAGTTGCGTTGCTAGTGCATAACAGTGCACTGCACTTGTATTACTGAAGGAGCTACACACAAGTCCTAGTAGACCGAAACAAGTTGCTTCTTTTGAAAGACTGGTACTTTAACGCTATTGTATATTACATGTATTGGAATGCAATAAAAAGTACGTGAGCATGTATTATTTTTTATTAGCGAAATTTTCTGTTGGTACGCTTCAAAGGCATTGCATGTCAGTCAGCCACGCGACCCTATATGAGCTTCTGTACAGACAGAGCGCGTTGGTATCGCCCATACCTTTCTATTGGGCTTTGTGGCTTCGCTTAATTCTTCACCTTGACGCAGTCTCCCTTGGCCGACGTGCAGACCTTGCAGATCTGCAAAGTGTACGAGCGCCGGCAACCGAACTTGGCCTTGCCACAGAGCTCGCTGTTCACGTAGCACGGAGGGTTCTTGGCTGTGAGTGACTCCACTGTCGGCAGGGGCTTCATCACGCCGCCATCAGTTGTCGCGGGGTTCGACTTCACCAGGTCGCTGTAGACGCTCACAAGCTTCTCGGCGCGCTTGGTGTTGGCGTTGCTGTTGCCCGGGTTCGCCCAGAACTTCAGGCCGTCAATCCACTTGACCTGGTGGTCGGACACCTCAACGTTGAACTCCACTCCGCCAGCATTGCAGAACTCGGCGTAGTCAGCGTAGGTCTTCCCGGTGTTCGAGTTGACCATCGACGTGATGCCGACGACGTCGTCCAGCGGGATGTAGCCAAGCACCTCGTACGAAAACGTACAAGTCTCTCCGTCAGGATCAACACCGAGAGGGCACATGCCGCCAGCGTACTGGGCACGACAAGCGTCGGTCTTGTCACTCCAGCGACTCTGCGGACAACTGTTGGGGAACGAGAACCAGTAGTTGTGCGGGTACGGCGCGATGGCTTCGTTGTCTTGGAGCGAGCCACCGACACAGAAGCCCAGGTTCGGTTGCCCATTGGCGCCGACGTACTGGTTGCACACGTTGGGGAAGGATCCGTCGGCGTTGGGGTCGCACTGGCCGCCGTCCATGGCCATGAACGGGCAGTGCTCGATGGCGAAGTCGTACTGGTTGGTGGCGTTGGCGTAGAAGTCCATGGACGCGGTGGGCTGCACCACCGTCGTCTGGTAGAACACGACGTACTTGATGTTGTTCTTGCGCTTGCAGTCGGTGATGACGGGCTTGTTGATGCACTCGGCCTGCACGTACTTGAGCGCACCTTCGACAGCGGCCATGTTGACGGTGTCGAGCACGGCGCGGTACTTCTGGTCGAAGGTGGAGTAGTATTTGGACACGAAGCGCTGCTTGTCGGCGTTCCACTGGGGCATGTCGCCCTGAACACGGGCTTGCAGCGACGTCACCTTCTGGAAGCTGCCGTCGGCGGGCACGACAAAGGCTGCGCACATCGCGAGACCCAATGCGGACACGGTCTTCATCGTAGCTGGTGGTCGCGTTGGGGCTTAGTTGCTGGTTGGTTGGGAGTAAAAACGGAAGGGCGATCGATCCCGGCCGCGGTGAGCTCCCCGAGCTTGCGTTCACTTGGTTCCACTGCACCTCGATCCAATGTTTCGCTTCGTTTCAGATAAGGGTAACTGAACCATTTTTCGGCCGCTTCCTAATTCCGGCCACGTTAACCATACAAAGCCTGTTTCATACAGAAATCAGGGAACACAAAACTGCATTGCTCGATTGAGGGTTAGACTTGTGGGGCTGGCGTGAATGCGAAATTATGTCTAGAGCTAGCTCTGCATCCAAGTTTGGGTAGTGTCGGACAAGAATCGAGGCCGATAGCGCGAGCTAAAGTGGCATCATAGTAAAGTTCACGGGATAAGTTGACCAGGAGCATGCACGTGGAGCACATATGCAATCGTATGTTTTCTCAATACTAAACTTAAGTCAAGCCCGATGGTATCCTGGAGGCGCCTGAAATAGTTGGCTACAGCTCAGCACCAAAAGCATTGCTTTGGTATCCAAAGCTATGTATAGATTTCCAAGATGTCACTCGTCGTTGTAGTGCTGCCCGTTATTTCCCTAAGAATGTTTATTCGCCGAAATTAGTTGCCAAAGATCGCTTTTGCGGATTATGGGTCATCTGCTTCAGTTTGATTTGCTCTTTGTATCGACAGGTGGCCGAAAAAAGGGAGGCGATTGAAAAATAATCTCAATCGACCGCTCGTCGATCTTGATCACATGCCTCGCTCCACAAAGCTATAAGTTGTGCACGAGATAGAGGAGGTTCTACTCTTTACAATGGCGGCTTTCAAGCCGAAATTGACGCAGCCGTTAAAAAAAACTTATATTAAAATTAGGTGGCCGAAAACCGGTCGCATTGCCCTTATTTGCGTAAGCTATGCGTAAGTTATGAGATGGCGAAGGCGATACCGGTGATTTTTCCTGAGGAGAAGGTCCGCGAGCTCCAACGACATCTTACCGCAGTTGTCCTCCAGTCGTCGAACCTTTAAGAGCATCTCCAGCGGTGGGTCTTATCCTAAGACGTAACAGGGTCTTTGAGACCACTTTTTTACAGTTGAGACCCGCCCAGACCGACTTACTTCCAGCGGTGAGTTCTAAAGCGAGTCTTATAAGTCCATTCCCGCATGTGAAAATTGCATTCAGTCTTGGTGTAATCTTTTCAATACGGCGATCTACAGTTTTGTATGGGTGGCATTGTGGTCTTATTTTAAGACTCGAAAGCCAATCTATAGGTCCCGGTGAAGTTAAAACCTGCAATAGGACCTTCTGGTGGAAGCCTTAAGGCTCGGCCAAGTCTTAACAGCGTTACTTTTAGGATAAAACCGTGTTTGAGACCAACCGCTGGAGATGCTCTAACCCGCAATGGACGGCTTCGTTTTTGCCAACATGCATGTTGTGATGTAGGTGCCTTGTTTGAGTCTCCGGCCGGATGTACTTTTCCAGTCGCCAAGTAGATGAGAGGCCACAGCTTTCTGCTCCTCGTGTCCTGACCTTATGTGGTTAAGTGTACTGTTGCAACGCCGATGAGATGGGGTTTCAAGCCTGCCGCCAAATACATGTCCGGCCGCCTTTCATCGGAGTTTTCTGACCTGTACGGTGACAGCGCCTGTCCGCAGTGAGGCATCACCTCTGTCACAACATCGGGACACCATCTTCGAGTCCTTCCGTTCCGCAGTGAATTCAAGAGCTTTGCCTGCTCTCGTGCGGCATCAGTTAGCGAGTATAATACTACGTATAGCATTAAACGTTATCTCTCGAGCGAAGCTGGTGTGGCAAAGCGATTTCCATGCTTTGGAAGCAGGAGATTTCAAGGTGATTGGTTGTGGTGGTGCTGAATGTATATGATCACAGCCTTGGGTAACTTGGGCCACTTCCGTTTCGCACGACCATCGAGACCAGGCACGTACTGCTTGTAATGAAAAACTGTAAACCAGGTCTACGAGTTTCGGCGGTGCGTCAGGGTATAACGTTACCCCCACGACGCAACCGGGCGGTTGCGTCGTGGGGGTAACTTGCGTCACGGCGGTCTCTGACCGGCCCCAGCACCATGGAGTGTTCGAACTGGATGGCGCTCACGTTACCATGAGGCAGCACTAAGGCCCAGGGTCTGGGGCCACCATCACATCCCTGGTGGCGCCAGCAGGAGATAGATACGCATCAATCCAACACAATTCAGCGAGGTTGGCGCACGATAGCGCGAGCCGAAACTGAACATTCACGCCGCAAGCTGCTGTTATGTGTAGAGTAATCGCGAAGAATAGTGTGGTTGCTAAGTGGTTAATGGCTAGCGGTCACCACTTACCGGCAGCTGTCAGGACTGAACGCACTGCGACGTGAGCATGTGTATACCTACCGAACACCAAGACAATAGCGGTGGTGATTTCTTGACCCAGAATTGAAGGCACTGTGGTGACGGCCCGGGGTCGGTCGTTGGCTGTCTGAAGCAAGAAAATCCGACGGTGCTGAGTTCCACGTCGATTTCTGTTCTACGCCATCCGGGAGGGTCTACAGATATGTTCCTGCCTGTTGCCGACTGCAGCAAACCTCTGACAGACCAAACCAATTCGCTTGTGAAGGCTGCAGCTAGGGTACTCAACATGGTTGTATATTATTTGGAGTGCTGTGCAGAAAGCCACAGCCTACTAGCACAAGTGTGATACGACACTGATAGCGGCCAAGCTATCCTGCTTTACGCCCAGGCGTCGAGGATCTCCTGGCGCTCCTTCTTGAGCTCCTCGTCGTCGCGGTCCTTGGCCTCAACGGAAATGCCCGGGAAGTTGTACTCGAAGATCTCCTTGAGCTTGGGCAGGTCCTCCTTGGGCGGGGCATAGGTGCCGCTGTTGTTGTCAATGACAAGCTTGTACTTGCCAAAGTGGCCCTTCTCGATGCGGAACTCGCCCGCGTACTTGACGGAGAAGGCGGCACCCGAGTGCAGCATGTGCTTGGACAGCATGTCCTTGAAGAAGGCTGCGCCCGTCTCGGAGAAGTACCAACCCGTGGAGGTGATGGCGTACGTGAAGAGCACGGGCTTGTCCAGGCGCTTGCCGTAGTTCACGAGCTTGAAGAAGTCGGACGGCTCCTTGAGCTCGCCGTACTCGGTCGTCGAGCCGTGGCCGTAGATCACGGCGTGCTCCGTGGAGATGGCCCCGCGCAGCACGGGCGACTCCGGGTGGTCGGGCGAGAAGATCTTCTGGATGGTCGGGTAGTTCTTGTTCCACTCGTGGTCGTTGGGCAGGATCTGTTGGATGTTGTGCAGCTGAAGGTGGTAGGCCGACGACTGCAGCTTGTCGTCGTCCGTCATGGACTGCGTGAGCATGCCCGTGGTGAGGCTCAGGTGGCCCGAGTAGTGCACGGGGCCGTACTGCTGCAGCTGGCCGTCGCCGTGCACCTTGGTGGCGTGCGACTTGACCTTGACCACGATGGTGCCGCTCTCCTTCTCCTTGCGGGTAATGAGCAGCTCGAACGTCGTCTCGACGCCCTCCGTGTTGGCCGCCGTGAACTGCGTCTGGCCCAGCGCGTCGTCTCCGTTCATGTCCTTGTCCAGCAGGTAGAGCTTGCACACCGTGTCGGGTCGCACGTTGCGGAAGAAGAACTTCTCGTTCCACACGGGCTCGAGCGTCTCGAAGATGGGCCGCGTCCAGGCCACCTTCTGGCCGGCCACCTCGATGAGCGCGTAGGCGTCGCTGGAGGCGACGTGGCCCTTGAGCGCGGCCTTCGCGCTGAAGTAGTCGCCGGCGGCGATGTCCTTGGCGGCCACGATCTCCAGCTCCACGTCGAGGACGGAGTGCTCGGGCACGGGCGCGGAGCCGGCGTGGGAGGACGAGGACGAAGAGGCTTGGCCCATGATGAAGTGAAGGCGGAGCGGGGTTGCTTGGGTGGGGGGTGCGCGGAAGGCGGCGAGTTGGGAAGTGATCGCCTTGAGCGCGTCTTGCACCCGCCGGGCGGGTGCGTCGCAAGATCTCAACACGTACGTGTGCGGCTCTGATTCGCTGCGACATGAAGTATCCATCTGGCATCTGTCGATTCAGATTACGGCTGGCCAAATTGTAGACGCGCCGAGGAGGGCAATCCAAATCAGGCGCACCGGCACGGATCGATCGGCGCTGGATGCCTTGCTCGCCGCCTTGCAGCGTCGCATTCATGAGTGCCGCGGCGAACATCTGCAGGGAGTGTGAACTGCGTGTGCTCACAGCTTGATTACACGTGACTCGGCCACCGAGTCGGAAGCTGGAAGCTGCCAGGGTTCAAGCTTGAGTTGTTGATATAATGGGCACGAGCGTGAGTCGCGCGAGAGACGGCTGTAAGATTCGTCTTGCTGTACAGATCAATTGCTTTGGATTGAAGGCGAGCATAGGGTGCAGCCACTGGGGGAGGCTCTCTGGAGGGTGCTGTGGAGGAGCAGCGATCTCCCTGCTATATCAGGAGAGCTGGCGGGTCGGCAGTGTGCCAATGTGAATACATGTACATGTACCCTGCCCCCATTTCTGCTTTGCCACAGCTGACAGTGTCTGTAGCAGCATGCTGCGGCCCATTGTCAATGGGTACACCAATAAGTTGAAGCAACAGATTTTAGTGTCGTCTAAACATATTTAAGCCGTTCTAAATAACCCATACTCCACTCAAGATTAACCAGTCTGGATCTAAATTCTCGCCCGGCTCATCACCCAATTTTTCAGAAAGTATCCACACTAAAATCAGCCGTGGATACTTTCTTTGACACGCTTCAACCAGCCCGGCCGGCTCGCTCGCTGGTCATTCCTGAATCCCCCGCCTCGAGCCAACAAGTCCAGCATCGCATCGCAATGGGCCAAGCCTCCTCCACCCCCGCAGCCTCCTCCACCTCCACGCCCGCCGCCTCCGAGCCCGCGCCCGAGAATTCCGTCCTCGACGTGGAGCTGGAGATCGTGGCCGCCAAGGACATCGCCGCCGGCGACTACTTCAGCGCGAAGGCCGCGCTCAAGGGCCACGTCGCCTCCAGCGACGCCTACGCGCTCATCGAGGTGGCCGGCCAGAAGGTGGCCTGGACGCGGCCCATCTTCGAGACGCTCGAGCCTGTATGGAACGAGAAGTTCTTCTTCCGCAACGTGCGACCCGACACGGTGTGCAAGCTCTACCTGCTGGACAAGGACTTCGAGGACGACGACGCGCTGGGCCAGACGCAGTTCACGGCGGCCAACACGGACGGCGCCGAGACGACGTTCGAGCTGCCCATCACGCGCGTGGACAAGCCCGCCGGCACCATCGTGGTCAAGGTAAAGTCGCACCCGACGCCCGAGATCGGCGACGGCAAGCTGCAGCAGGTCGGCCCCGTGCACTACTCGGTGCACCCGAGCTTCATCAACGGCCTCATCACGGACACCACCACGGACGACGAGAAGCGCGAGTCCTTCGCCTACCACGTGCAGCTGCACGACATCCCGGCCTTCCTGCCCACGGACAACGAGTGGAACCACAACCACAAGCCCGTGCAGAGGATCTTCTCGCCCGACCACCCGGAGGCCCCCGTGCTGCGCAAGGCCGTGGCCACGGAGCACGCGGCCGTGTACAAGCACGACTCGGACACGACCTACGGCGAGTTCAAGGGGCCCGAGGACTTCTTCAACCTGCTGCACGGCGGCAAGCGCCTGGACAAGCCCGTGCTCTTCACGTACGCTATCATTGAGACGGGCTGGTACTTCTCCGAGACCGGCGCAGCCTTCTTCAAGGACATTCTGTCCAAGCACATGCTGCATTCGGGCGCTCAGTTCAACGTCAAGTACGCCGGAGAGTTCCACATTGAGAAGGACCCCTCGGGCAAGTTCACGCTTTTCATTGACAACAACAGCGGCACGTACGCCCCGCCCAAGGAGGAGCTGCCGCAGCTCAAAGCGCTGCTCGAGACCAACTTCCCCGGAATTTCGGTCGGGGCCCTGGATCGCAGCAGCGAAGAGCTCAAGGAGAAGCGCAAGGAGATCCTGAACGCCTGGGCGGCGTAGAGGATTTCTCAATGAGTACCAGTCCCTCGCCTTTCAAGAAGGTCAATGCATCGAAGTTCGATGCAGTACTATAAGTAAGCTTTTTAAAAAAATACCACCTCCGATCGGAAAAGATGCGCATCTGCCAAAAGACCAAAAGACCAAAAGACCAAAATACCAAAATACCAAAAATACCAAAATACCAAAATACCAAAATACCAAAATACCAAAAGACCAAAAGACCAAAAGACCAAACGTAAGCCAAGCCCGGGTTACAGCTCGGGTACAAAATTTGCATTTAATGCACATACGCGTTCAGGGCGCCTTAATACACTTGTAAGTATTTGTAAGCAAAACGAAAAAAATTCCGGAAGCCAAAAGGGGTAGGGTTGACCCGATTGGGCTCGTCCTTGGCTCGTCTTGGCTCGCAAAAAAAGAATAAAAAACTTCAACGCGAGTAGAACATGCTGTCATTAGCGCCTTCGTACTGGCTGGATCAAGGCGAGCGCACGTTATCATATAGAGCGAGGCTCTCTCAAATGTGAGACAACCATACATGTACCGCCAGGATTCTTGCCCCAGGAACTCCGGACGATACATGCAGCCTGCATGATGTAGGAAGTATTTACTAAAATCCACAGCCGCTTGATGTAGGTACAGTACATCAGCGCCGACTAACGCATGAGGTCGATATGTATTGTTGCAGCAACCGAGCATGCCATGTATGAGCGGAGAGCTCACGGGGACCGACGACTACCCCAACTTCGTCATCCTCCGGAGCGTTAACCGCGCTTGTGCACCGATACAGCCAATCAATCGTGCAGCCATGATTCGGAGACGCGACTATGCCCTTGCAGCAACTCAAAAGTGCACAAAGTCTGGATTACCCGACTCGGGGCAGGTGACATGGATGGATTGTTTGTAAACAAAGCAAAGGGGGCTATTTGTGGTCCTGGCCAGCACCGATCAGACCCAAACTCCCCCCGCCGCCATCAAGCAGCAGCTTCCTCCTCTGCACCGCCACCATGCCCGTCGCGTTCGCATCCCCAGACACTTTGCTCGACATCGAGCTCGAGATTGTGTCGGCCAAGGTGCGAGTCTGACCACGAGCGTATCTCTGCAGTTCTGCTCCCCATTCTAACGGTTCCGTTCATTTGTCAGGGCATTGACGCCGGCGACTACCTCGGCCTGACGGCCGCTCTCAAGGGTGAGCTCTCCTCGAGTGACGCTTACGTTTACATTGAGATTGACGGCCAGAAGGTTGCCTGGACGCGGCCGATCTTCGACACGCTCAAGCCCGAGTGGAACGAGAAGTTCGTCTTCAAGAACGTCCAGCACTCGTCCGTGTTCAAGTTTTCGCTCTTCGACAAGGATGTGGACGCCGACGACGAGCTGGGCGAGGCGCAGTTCATTGCCAACACTGCCATGTACGACACGGAGACCGCGTTCGACCTGCCGATCACCATGGCCGGCAGAAATGCCGGCACCCTCAGCATCAAGGTGAACTCGCACCCTGTAAGCTCCGATGAAGACGCAGTGCTGCAGGAGGTCGGACCTGTGCGCTACTCGGTGCATTCGAGCATGTCGGCCGGACTTCTGGCCATGCTAACGTCCAACGACGACCGACTCGAGTCCTTGGCGTACCGCGTCCAGCTGCACAACATCCCGCAATTCTTGTCGAAGGACCACGAGTGGAACAAAAACTACCCGACGATCCAGCGGATCTTCTCGCCAGACTACCCGGAGTCGCCTGTGCTTCGCCAGGCGGTTATGACGCAGCACGCCGTGATTTACTCGCACGGTACGAACGACACAAAGTACGGCGCGGTTTCCTCGCCCAACGAGTTCTTCGAGCTCATCCACAACGGTAGACGTCAGGACAAGCCCGTGCTCTTCACGTACGTCATTACCAATAAGGGCTGGTACTTCTCCGAGACTGGAGCAGACTTCTTCAAGGACATGCTCTCCAAGCACATGCTGCACTCGGGAGCCGCCTTCTCTGTCAAGTACGCGGGCGAGTTCCGCATTGACACCGACCGGTTCGACGAGCCCACTCTGGTTATCGACAACAACAGCGGCACGTACGCGCCGCCCGCCGAGGACCTGCCCCAGCTCCAGGCTCTCATGGAAAACAACTTTCCTGGAATTAACTGCATCGCGCTCGACCAAAACGACGAAACGCTGCAGGAGGCGCGCAAGGAGATTTTGGCCGCATGGGAGTAAGAGAGCTGTAGATAGCTCGGATTAATAGACTTGGTCTGTGTGAAACTGAAGCTTGAGTTGCTTGTGTTGATTCGCACCGTGTGGACCACACATCCTGAGGGTCCGCAGATGTCCACCTTGGTCCAATATGGTCCATCTCCGATCACTGGATACACCTAAGAGCTAGGACTTCAACGTAGCGACAAAAGTCTCCGCAACCTCTTCGACGACCGGTACATACGACTCACGAAAAGAGACTCCATGCAACATCTTGAGGCTCTCAGGAGCAGCTTCATTCACTCGACAACCTCGCCACCTTGCGCTTCCCATCTTCACCTTTGCACGCCAGCTTCGAGCGGGGCCACTGTCCCGCGTCGAGGTCTTCGTGCGTGGCCCCAAAATGCTGGCCACATTGCAAATTGCACACACAACGCGGCCCGGTGTCTGATGTCTGTGATGTCGAGCGACAGTTGAGGCACCTAGCGCCTCCGCAGCTGTGGACGCAGATCCAGCATGCTGCTGACTCCGAAGAAATCGTCAGGCTTTCAATCTCTTTCCAGCTGGGCGAACCTATCGGATACTGACGACGATAACTCTGACCGATCAGCATCGTTGCGGTGCAGCACTTTCAGCACGCCACTCCAGCGGAAGAGCACGAATGCACATGCAGCAAGCTGAAGTTGATGGCCGTCGCCGCCTCGCGACGCCGCGAAGGGCGAGAAGCCGGAGTGTCGGTGGGGATTCCGCAGACATACTTGAATCGACATGTTCCAGGCCCCAGCTGGCCGAATGCAGACCTCCATAGAGTGAGGGGGCGTGGGTCCAGGTGGTCGTCGCGCCGCGGACCATCGAAATGGTGCTCTTCGTATCGATGGAAAGCTACACATACAGTCTCTGACACTTTCGGCTGGGAGGTGCAACCCGCAGCAACGAGGTGGCGGCGGTCCGAATGCCTGCTTAAATCGTGGCGCCTGGTAATCCTGCACATCTTCTACGACGCCCACAGCCGACAAAGCCCGCGCTCCGCGGTGCCAGATGGAGTGCGGGCACTCACGCACTGGACCAATTTGCAACGGCCGTGTTCTGCGTGTCGAGTTCACTTCCGCTCTTGCGCTTGCTTGGAAACCACCACCCGGTGCATCTACGTGAGCGATGAAGGTCTTCTCTCTCGGCCTCGCGATCTGCGCGGCGCTGGCCGTCACCTCGGCCTCCGTCGAGGCCAAGGGCACCATCTGCGAGACCGGGCCCGGATTCGCCGACACGGGCGACAGCTACAGCTCCGAGACGCCCGTGGCCACCCCAGCCTCGCGTTCCAGCTCAACGGGCAGCGACGCGACTCAAGTGGCCGCGTCCAGCTCCACCGCGGGCAGCGATGGCAACCAGGTCGGCGGTTCTAGCTCCACGGCCAGCGGATACGATGCCCCTGCTGGCAGCGACACTACTCAGGTGGCTGCCTCGAGCTCCACTGCTGGAAGCGATGCCAACCCCGGCCAGAATGACGGTGACTCGCCAATTCAGGGCGACAACGGCGACGGTAAGGGCAGCGCGGTTGACAGCGCCAGCTCTGCTACTGGATCGAGCGCAGTCAACGTTGGCGACGACTCCACTTCGGCCGAGCGTGACGTGGGAGGCGCCAACATCAGCAAGGGCGGCAAGGGAAGCTTGACGCCGTCCGTGGACTCTTCGTACGCCGCGTCTTCGAGTGGTTCCAGCCCTTACGCGCACGGATCGGACGTTGCTGGCAGCAGCAGCCAGACTGGAAAGCAAGGTCTCGTGAACAGCAGCGACAACGGCTCGCAGGCCTCGAACCCCACGGTGGCCCCGGCCTCGCCTTCCGCTTCTGGTTCGTCCACGGCTTCAGGTTCATCTACTACGACCCCGCAGACCTCGTCGTCGGGCTCCTCTGTGGACACGACCCCTGTTCAGCAGACATCAACTGCTGCATCTGGCGCTTCGGCTTCGGGCCCCTCTACTCCGGTTCAGCAGACATCAACTGCTGCCTCTGGCGCTTCAGCGTCGGGCTCCGATATTCCGATCCAGCAGGGGTCGACCACTGCCTCTGGTTCCTCGGCCGACTCGACCCCGACTCAGTCTTCGGCTTCGGGCTCCTCCACTCCGGTTCAGCAGACATCGACTGCTGCCTCCGGTGCTTCGACGTCAGGCTCCGATAGCCCGATCCAGCAGGGGTCGACCACTGCCTCTGGTTCCTCGGCCGACTCGACCCCGACTCAGTCTTCGGCTTCGGGCTCCTCCACTCCGGTTCAGCAGACATCGACTGCTGCCTCCGGTGCTTCGACGTCAGGCTCCGATAGCCCGATCCAGCAGGGGTCGACCACTGCCTCTGGTTCCTCGGCCGACTCGACCCCGACTCAGTCTTCGGCTTCGGGCTCCTCCACTCCGGTTCAGCAGGCGTCAACTGCCGCATCTGCGGCTTCGTCGTCAGGCCCCACTACTCCCGTCCAGCAGTCCTCGGCCTCAGCTTCAGGTTCCTCGGCGGGTGCAACTCCGGTTCAGCAGACATCGACTGCCGCCTCTGGCGCTTCGGCTTCGGGCTCCTCGACTCCCGTTCAGCAAGCATCGACTGCTGCGTCTGCGTCCTCGACGGACTCAACGCCGTACCAGTCCTCGGCCTCAGGTTCTTCGACGCCGATCCAGCAGGCGTCGGCTTCCGCTTCGGCCGGCTCAGCCCCGACCCAGTCTTCGGCGTCGGGTTCCTCAACGCCGATTCAGCAGACGTCGGTGTCAGCCTCGGGCTCCTCTTCGAGCTCGACCCCGACGCAAAACTCGGCATCGACGGCCGCCTCTGCTTCGTCCACGTCTGCGGCTTCGTCATTGTCATCGTCTGCTTCGACCGCTGCATCGGCATCGTCTTCGGCCTCTGCGTCTGCTTCCGCTTCGGCGTCTTCCTCCTCAGCTTCGTCTTTCAAGAAGGTGACGGCTCTGGGTGTGCGCGTCCAGGGCGACATGCCCGAGTGGAACGAAGAGCACCAGCGCTACGTGTCGGCCTACTACGACACTTTCGACGACAAGTACCGTGCCGTGCTCGACACCGTCAACATGGCCTCGGTCGAGGGCGCGCTCAAGTACGTCCAGGCCGAGTGCATCAACGCATCCGTCATCACGGACTGCGAGCGCAAGAACAACATCAAGTACGTCGTGTTCTACCAGGTCACGTTCGCGCAGCCCGACGCGGCCATGGAGTACTATGCCAACGCCACGAACGAGTACGACTTCGCCGTCGAGCACTGCCCCTTCATGCCCATGGACGGCGGCCAGTGCGGCCCGCTGTCCGACGGCTCCTTCCCGGCCGTGTGCAACCAGTACATCGGCACCGGCGGCCAGCCCGACCTGGGCTTCTGCGTCGGCGGCACGCTGCAGGACAACGAGGCCATCGCCCCGTACCCTCACAACTACTGGTACTCGTTCCCCAACAGCTGCCCGCAGGAGCTGTGGAACGACAAGACGGACGAGTGCCGTAAGAAATACGCCGGCGGACTGTGCGAGCTCGGCGTGGAGCCTGATGGAGTGACGTGCACGTACTCGTACGAGATCCTGGGCTACATCCTGCTGGACGACGTCGTGGGCATCACGTCCATGGTCAACCCCAAGACGGGCGCCAAGTACGCCGACTACTACGAGTTCTGTGAGGCTGGCGGCGTCGAGTTCAGCGTGACCGTCTCGACGTCGTCGGTGCTCGGCCTCTTGACCAGCGTCGTGAACACCGTCGTGGACACCGTCGTGGACCTGGTGGAGGGCATCGAGTTCTGGGCCAACCCGGGCGACAGCGACGCCAACGCCGCGCGCGTGGAGAAGCTCGTGTCCGCGTACGACAAGCTGGTGTCCTCGAACCCCACGACGAGCGACGGCGGCGTGATGCGCTCGCTCCCCACGGTGGAGGAGCTCGCGGCCCTGAACCCGTCCTGCTCCGAGAACAGTCCGCTCTGCGCCGAGTCCGAGTTCGGCTGCAAGCGCTCGTACCGGTCGCAGATCTGCCAGCTCTGCACGGCGGACGACTCGGGCTGCGAGAAGGCTTGATTGAGCCCGCCGCCAGCCCGACCTAGAATCAATTAGCAGTGAAGACTAAGTGTAATGAATGGCCTGTGGCCCTGTCATCCACGTCAACTGATACTGTATCCTCAAGTTGAAGTTGACCTCTATAACGTCATAGATAAAGGTGTATGCAATATAGTGGCTTATGTATGTCCGCCACACAATTCTCATTCCAAAAAGCTCATTAACACTCACACTCCTCAACGCCGCGTGGACTGGCCGGCCAACTTCCAGAGGTATGGTGCTGCTGGCGCGACTGCAGCGCTACAGTCGGCGGCAGTACGTCGTGGCCCTATTAGTGTCCTCCCTCTTCCTTGCAGTAAGTAAGCCTCTGGCCAACCAGCTCGTGTAACGCTGCTTAACCTCGCGAGAAAACTTTTCCTAATCGCATCCATGTCATTATTTTTCTTTTTTATTCAGATTATCGGCCAGATACAAGCGCTCCCAGTGCTGTTCGTGCTCTCTCTACCCGTGCTTCTCTTCTTCCGCTGGGTCTTCCGGCAACAGCAGCATCATGGCGTCACGTACGGGCTTGAACGTCGTGGAATTCCTACCTAAGACCCCGGATCGTGGCCATTTTTCTAATGTTTATCATTATTCTTACTATATTTTACAGAGATCGTGAGATCGAGCAGCTTCTGAGGACATTCCTGGGCGGGGCCTTCCTCATTCCGGCGCTGGCCGTCGTGGGCCAGGTTACGCTGGGCCCATTACTGGCCGCGCTGTGCTTTTTCGACCAACGGGGCTCCATCCAGAACCAACTGCACAAGTACTTCTACGCTCCCAGTGATGGCCGGGCTGGACCAGTGCACGGCCCGAATCTAGGCAAGATGCTGATGGATCTGAAGCTCGACAAGACCTTCGGCTACTACTTGTTCCTGTTTGGAGGGGCTTACATCGTGGCCGGACTTGTGGAGGAGTTCCTGAAGTTCTGGGTGGTTCAAGGCACATGGTGCTGTGGTAGTTCGAGACGTGGCTGCGGCATCCGCAAGCTGTTTTGCTGTTGTAAGGGCAAGAACGGATCCGTGCCTGCGTTTTCCGCGCTGAAGCAGCGCCAACAACGACGCGGTGCGCTGCGAGGAATGATGTGCCATCCTAGCCGTTTGCTTTTCTACCACCGCCCACACGCCAATCACGCGTTCGTTGTCTTTTTGGCGGTGGTTGCCGGTGCGCTAGGCTTTTCCGTGATGGAGAACACAGGCTTCGCGCTTGCGGCTGCCACGTTTCGCGACAAGATTGAGACTGCAGCTCTACGCAGCATCTCAAGTACGCCGCTGCATACAATTTGTGGTGGAATTACAGGCGTGCGAATGGCGGAACGACTTTTGGCTCATCGTCAGGGTGGAAGCGAGCAGAGAGGAACGAACGCAGCGAAGACGGACCTAGGACGGTGGTGCACGAAGATCTCGGTGATTCTCCCAGCAGTTCTCATCCACGGCACATTTGACGCGCAGCTATTCCTGCTCATGGCACTAGTGTCGAAAGAAATGGAGGCTGCCCACCCGACGCTGTATCGTACCGTGATACCGACGATTCTCTGCTCGGTCGGGATTCTGGCCAGCTTCCTGTATTTGCGCCGGTCGCTGCATGCGATGGAGAGGCGAATGAACGAGACCAGGTATATGCACGTCGCCGTCGACCTTGAGTCTGGCCAGAGGTTGGGAGCACTAAACGGAGGTTTTGGCGACGAGATGGACTTCTTTGGCAACGATGGTGACGATGATGATGACAGCGATGCTGAGGACGAGTCTATCGCTCAAGAAGGTGGTAACCGCAAGGTCCGGTCTGTATTCGACATGTAGCAAGTCTTTCAGCATTAGACTAGCGGCATGTTGTGGTGCGGCGCACGGGCCGAAAGTAGATACTTTTGGTGTTGTTTTTAAAAGCGTGCCGTGGATGGAACATGGAGCTGTCCTGAGTCGTGTTATGCGAAGTGGCTTTACGCTTACGCTTCAACTGGCCAAGGCAGATTACTGCTCACGCCGGGTCTATTCCTATCGAGGTTTGTTCTGTGCGGATACCGTTGGCGAGATGAATATAGCAGATTGTGCAGAGGACAATGGATCCATGTCGTGCGAGTCTTAATCGCTCGGGCCAGAAATACTCGCTGCTGATGTTGCCGTCTGCCTACAGACTTCTGCCTAATGTTAGGCATGACACGTGCGTGATCAGAACCTGAAGGCTCGTTGACAAGCCGTGCTGGCCAAACATCGGAACGAGGCTTCCGGGATCTCATTCCTCGATTTCCCTCATCAACCAACAGCTAACAAGCTTCACTAGGCTCTTCAGCAACCATGCAGTTCGAGCCGCCGACCAAGGAAGCCGATGTGACGGTCAACATCGCTGATGGTGACAACAACAGCAGCAACTACCAAGGTGTCGACTCCAACGGTATCGTCACGGGCCGCTGGAAGACCGGCATCTTCGGCTTCACCGACTCTTTGGTGCCCAATGGTACGCAGCAATCCACTCTGCTGTCTGCCATGGTGAGTGACTGCTAACGCTTTGCCTGTGTCATTCCTTAGGTATCATGTCATGCTGCTGCCCCGGTGTTGCGGTGGCTCAGATCTCGGCTCGCCTCGGCCTGATGCCGTTCTACCACGTGCTCGGCGTCTTCGGTGGCCTGTACCTGGTTACGCTCATTGCGGCGGTGACCGACAGCGACTTCTTCGAGTTCCTCTGCTGGCTGTGCTCGGTCATCGCAGCTCTGTGCCTCACGCGTCTACGCTGGCGCATCCGCACGCTCTTCACGATTCCCGGGTCGCACTTTGAGGACGCGGCCCTCAGCTTCTGTTGCGGCTGCTGCTCCATCGCTCAGATGGCGTCGCACGTCGAGTCGTACGAGCCGGGCACCTTCGCCTTCGCTCCGCGCACCACACTGCCAGGCTACTCGCAGAGCTAAACACTCGGCAGCACCGGCGTAAAGAACCACATTGGTGCCCAAACTCAAGACAAATGCATATAAGACCCTGAATTCCATGATAAATGAATGAAATCAACACTTAATTTCACTTTACGCAACACTGTCGATGCCCATGATGACTGAGACCGTGGCTCATGGGGGATTTTTGCGAGTTGCTCACTCTCGACGTCTTGAATGTATGATACAGAGCTAGCCAAGTCGTACGCAGGGGGCAATGGCAGCATTTTAGTCGGTGGGGCTGCATGTGGCCTGATACAACGGCGGCTAGTTTGACCTCGACCCTCTCGGCCTCGCTTCAACAGGACTGCCTTGAGGCGTGCGAATCTCGGGTTGTTGTGTCTTCTTGTCGTTGTTGGTGCAGGCGCGCTCGCTCTTGGCCCGGCGTTTCTTGACGTTTTGGCTCGGATTTGAGGATGTTGTTGACGGGGACCGGCTGCTGGGGTCTTTGGGGCTCACCACCATGACGGCGGCGTGCGGGGCGATGGTCACGAAGTGGTTGGCGAACATGGCCGGTGGCTGGCTTGCCGGGCTGGTCTGATTGGTGGCTTGCGCGGACGAGCTCGAATCGCGGAATGAGACGGCGCCTCGACCAACTTCAAGACGCTCTTTCGTGTCGGCTGGACTTTTTCGGCCACGATGGAAGTATCCTGGCGGCTTGCTCGAGGCGATGGCTTCAGCACTGCAGCTACAGCTAGAGCTACACTGGGTTTGAATGGACAGCGTTGTTCAGGCAGCCGTAGACGCAACGCACAGGCGTTCTACATTATTGGGGGCGGAGAGGAGCTGGCCCGCTCGAGTTGCTTGCTGCCTTTGCCGGTGCTGTGGGGTGCTGTGGGGAACGGCCAAGTTGAAGGCTTGAGAGACACGCAGGGGTACGATCATCGCGCGAGACCTCGCCGCGTCATGCTCGACTTGTACACAGGGATACAATGCAAGCGTCCGCCGTGCGTTTACGACATTCGCCATTGTGGAGTCGTTAACGACTGGCGGGCGCGCTTGAAGTTGCACCGGCACGATTACCAGGCGAGGAAAGATCGCTCGTCGTCAACGGCCTGCACTCGTTGCCGCTGGCGGCCAAGTGGCAGCCACTCAAGCCATTCATCGCGCAGTCGTCACGCACTGCCACGTGGTTAGCACGGTCGCCTTTCGCTGTGTCCCCGCTGTACGCTGCCATCCGCGCTCGTCATTGCGGTCACCGTCCAAAAAGTGTATACAGTATGCGCCGTAATATCCATGCGCAAATCATGACCAGGATTTTAGTCGAACTCGGCTCTTTGGACCAAAGACTTTGGTCACCAATGGTGACTAGTGTGTACAGTACATGCATGGATTAATACACGCATTCTGAAGCGAGTGAGGTTGGGTGGATGGCTTCACCTCTAGACGAAAACAAGAGCATTGTCGTCCATTCATTCACTTGCTTTCTGTGCTGAGACTTTCGTGCTCTGACGGACCTTGCATGATACAGGCCACCAAAGTGATGATGCCACATCGGCCCTTTGACTGGATTCTGGCAGTCACACTGCAGTTGCGCCCTATTTTTGCCTTGAAGGGCTCTGCGACTTAAGGCCCTTTGGCGCCTTGTCATTCTCCAACTCGCAGTCGAGCGCACACACCAGCAAAACCAACCAACTCGGCCCCATGTTCGCCAACCACCTCACGACCATCGCCCCGCACGCCGCCGTCATGGTCAGTCCTTCGCACCGCAGCACCAAGTCGCGCAGCTCGTCCACAACAAGAGCTTCAGCGCCTCAGAGCACGAAGAAGGACCGGGCCAAGAGCGAAGACACGAGCGCCAAGGCTGAAATGCGCATCCCGCCTCGCCAGTCCGTCTAAACCAAGGCATCCACCATACCAGGCAGTCCTGTAGCATAATATATTATAAATACACGCCCATCCTGCTGCAACCGGCTGCCCCGCAGAGTGCAGGAGTAAATTCAGTTGATATTGCGATTATCGCTTCGAAAATGCAATTGCTCGATTAAGATTCTGCTAGCGTTGGGGCATTCATGCTCCCTGTACGGAATACATTGCATGCAGATCCTTGCGCCTTTGAATGCAGGAAATAAAGCCATCGTAGCGGTGTTTTACACTGTATCCGGCAAAAAAAGTATATGCGACGAAAGACTTCAACGGGAAATGTACATGTAGCATACAATACAAAAATCCCCCTCTCCTCCCGCACAAGCCCAAGATAATGAGACTGGCGATGGGCACGGATTCCGTGCCGCATCATTCTCGATTTTCCCAGCACGGACTCGCTACAACTCCCCGTCAACTCATTCATCATGTTTGGCAAGCACCTCGTAACGATTAGCCGCCATGCCGCTGTAGTGGCCGGCCCAAGCACCCGCAACACCAACACCCCGAAATCGACGGCAACAAACTCAAACCAAGACGTGAAAAAGCCCCAGCCCAAAGGCAACGTCAGCGCCGCGAAGAAAACCATGCCGAGCTCGTGAAGCCAGGAACTCGCTTATAGTTGACCATCCCGAATTGTAAATTAACCGCGGCTACGCGAGCGATATACCCCACTCATCCGGACTATAATAGGCTCCCAAAGTCGGAATTATAGTCCAGACAGACTATAATAGGTCCCCTCGGACGCGCATCATATCCTCTCCTGCCATGGGCGACAAGTACGACCGCCAGCTGCGTCTGTGGGGCGCCGAGGGCCAGCGCCGCCTGGCCAGCACGCACGTGCTGCTCGTGGGCTCGTGCGCCACGGGCTCGGAGGCGCTCAAGAACCTGGTGCTGCCCGGTGTGCAGCGCTTCACAGTGCTGGACGACCAGACCGTGACGCTGGCCGACGCGACCAACAACTTCTTCGTCACGGCCGACGCCGTGGGCCGCTCCCGGGCCGAGACGGTGGCTGAGCTGCTGCTGGAGATGAACGCGGACGTGGCCGGAGGCGCCCGCCACGCCAGCATCAAGCAGGTGCTGCAGGACGAGCCGCAGTACCTGGACCAGTTCGACCTGGTGCTGGCCACGCAGCTGGACGAGCTGGCCACGGCCAGGCTGGCCGAGCTCTGCCTGGACAAGAGGATCCCTCTGCTGCTGGTCACGTCCTACGGCTTCCTGGGCTCGCTCAGGCTGCAGGTGGCCCAGCACGCCATCGCGGACGCCAAGCTGGACCCGCCGCGCTACGAGCTGAGGCTGTCCAAGCCGTTCCCCGAGCTGCAGAAGTTCGCCGACAGCTTCGATTTGAAGTCCTTGTCGACCATTGAGCACGCACACGTGCCGTTTGTAGTGCTGCTGCTGCAAGCCATGAAGATCTGGAAGGATGGCCATGCCGGTCAGCCGCCGGCCACGTTCCCGGAGAAGGACGCGTTCAAGAAGAGCCTGCAGGAGATGGCCTGGGGCCCGCCAGGCCACGAGCTTAACTTCATCGAGGCAGCAGAGAACGCCTACAAGGTGTACGTGCCGCCTCAAGTGCCGGAAGAGGTTGCGCCGGTGCTGGCCGCTGCGGCGGCGCACACGGCCTCGGTCGAGACGCTGGAGAAGACGAAGGACACGCGCGAGTTCTGGCTGCTGGCTCACGCACTGGCCGATTTTGTCAAGCAGAACGATGGGCTCCTGCCGGTGACGGGGGTGGTTCCGGACATGACGGCGTCGACGGAGGCGTACGTGGCCCTGCAGGAGCTGTACGTGAACAAGGCTAAGGAAGACGCGACCAAGGTGCACGAGATCCTGCGCAAGAGGTTGCAAGAACTGAAGCTTCCCGAGGACAGTGTGTCGTTCGAAGCTGTGGCCGCTTTCTGCAAGAATGCCCCAAGCACTGGTATGCTGGAGACGCGGAGTGTGGCTCAGGAGTACAAGCACGTGGACTTGTCAAGCGTGGATCTGGAGGACGAGGACAAGGAGCAGTCGCCGTTGATCTGGTACTTCATGCTGCGTGCCGTGGCTGCCTTCGCGTCCGAGTTCAATCGCTACCCGGGCTCAGAGGACGAAGCTGCCTCTCAAGATGGCGCGTGGCTCGTGTCGAAGGCCAAGAAGCTAGCGGCTGGTAGCGACGTGGCGGACTGGATTACGGACGACCACGCTCTTGAAATGACGCGGTCTTGCCAGGTCGAGCTGCACAATGTGGCCGCCCTGATGGGTGGCGTCGCCGCGCAGGAAGCCGTCAAGCTTATCACGCACCAGTTCGAGCCGCTCAACCACACGTACCTGTTCAACGGCATCTCCGGCGTGGCTGCAACTTACCAGCTTTGAATTCATCATTAAGAGCCGCCCATTCCAGTAGCTCGTTTAAACCCTCGAGGTGTCGTTGGACAAGCTCTATCTATCGCCTTCAAATCCAATACTAAGTAACACTCAAAGGCATGATATTGATATGGTGCAGCTACTCCTATCTGTTTAGTTTTGTGGATAGCTATCTGCCCCCGTGTGTACTACATGGCGATGCCAAACTCGCCCTGTGCGGAAAAGCGCCAATACTACAGTCTAACACAAAGTTGTCCTAGCTCCAAGTCGCGACCTAAGCAGCGAACCCCAGGTCACGTACCAGTTCACCGTCCTTGGCTGCTTTTCTTCTTCTTAGATTTCTTCGATTGTTGCGACTTCGCTGGACGTTTGGGCTGGTCACTTCCTTGTTGTCCTGCCGCAGGGTTGACCCTCTGAGATGCTACCGGACTTGTTCGACTCGATGCCGCGGGGCTGGATCGTGGCTCTGGTCGCTGACTCTGTCGCTCCTGGACGCAGCGCGAGCAAAAGCACTTGAACTTGTACTCGCGCAGGTTCGCCTCACGCATCTGCACGTCCATGTCGACATCGATGTAGCAGATGCAGAGCTCCTCGCCCTTATGGATATCGCGGATAGCCACCACGTGTCCGTCTCCGTTCTTCGTATACAACACCGTGCAATTTGGGTCGCAGCTGTGGTTCATCGTACAGATAATCGGAAACAGCGCGGTGCCCTCGATACTGGGATAGCCCAGCGGCATCAACGGGTCGAATTCGCTGTCCAACTCGCCGTCATTTCTTTCGAGTCGCTCCTGCGTCTGCAGCACCTGTAATCGCTCTTCTTCCCACCCCAGCACGCGCCGTACGCTAGCAATGATAGTCTGGTCTTCGTCACTTAGCTGGGGCTGTACTCTTGGAGACATATTGTTGGTCTGGTCGTCGCTGTGGCCCATATCCTCCGCTGCTAGATCGTTCTGTACATCTGGGTCCAGGATGTCAATAAATGCATGGAATGGGTGGTCCACCTCCATGCTGATGTTGTTCATCTCGAATAGCCCAATCTGAGCAGTGAAGAACTCGAAGTTCAGCACGCTCGAACAGCAACGCCAGATTTCTTCCACCGTCACGCCGCGTAACTGACCCTCACGCTCCAGACGAACTAAGTTGCACTCAAGCGCGTCCACGAACAGCTGGTGCGTCATCGATAGCACCTCCTGTAAACATTGCGCCTTCGTAGATCCATGGGCGGGGCCACCAGCTCCTCCTATCCACTCTCCATCCTGCTTCTGCTCCTCTTCCATCGCCTGTGTGTACCCCTGTCGAGGGTTCTGTGTATGTGCTGCAGCGTTATTGCTGGCCCCAGGGGAGGCAGCCTTGGGGTCGTTTGGTGACCTGTCTTCTGTACTGCTGCTACCTCCGTCATCGCTGTTTGTGTCATCGCTGCCGCTCACTGTGGTCTGGCCCGAGCTCTCATCGCTGTTGCGAGAGGGATGCGGCAGCGGCTCAGACTCGTCGTGCTCCACGACCACAACCTCCCACCACGGTTTCTTGTAAAACATATCGATTGGCTCACGCGCCTTCACGATGTCGCGCCATACAAGATACCGCGACAGCACGCGGGCGATGACCTTCGCAGCAAGCAAGAAGATGTCGTTAGTGTGGCGCGTGTGCTCGAGGAACTCCCCCATGGCCGAGCACGGGTCGTTCCTCGGACACAGAATAGCATGGTACTCGTGGAGCGCGCGCATGCGGCAGAGCTTCGAGCAGTACAGCTCGCCACACGGGCACTGGGCCCCAGGTCCAGCCATGCCGCAGCTCTGGGGCGTAATACGCAGGAGTCGAAGTGCCTTCTCCAATGCATCCACGTCCACAGGGTGCAGATCACTGGATGCAGTGGCCGCGGCGGTGGTCGTGGTTGTCTTTCCACCATCACTCCTGGCCGACGGCCGCCCCACCTGTGCGTTGTACCTCGAGACGATCTCTCGCCACTGGCGCTGGGCGTTGCCCAACAGCGGCAGGTAGCAGTACTGACAGCACGGCAGCAGGTCGCGGTTGCGCTCGTGCTGCATGGCCACGAGCGGCGACTCGGTCCAGATCCTGGTGGCCTTGGGCAGGTCTCTGTCGGCGTAGATGGCCTTGCCCTTGACGGGCCCGGCGTCGCCGCAGACGATGGGCGCCTTGGCCTTGCTGATGACGACCTGGAAGTACGTGGTGGCCACGGGGTCCGTCGGGCCGTAGGGCGCGGCCACGCTCGAGTAGCGGTTCACTGCGGGCCAAAGTATCAGATACATAGACAAAGGGGTTAGCAGAGTGGCCAGGGCGTGGCCGACAGGCAGGAGAGGCGGGAGACGTGGCCCACGTACGGTCGGTCTGGGCCGCGCGCAGGCCGCCGCTCTTGGCGCTGCTGAGCGCCGAGGACTTGAGCGCCTTCCAGGGCGGCAGGCTCAGCTCCAGGTCCGCGTCCACGTCGTCGTCCATCGCCTCTGCGGTTCGGGGCCACTGAAACTGCTGCTGGAAGCGGCTCGCAGGGCCGGAACGGGGCTGTCTGGGCTGTCTGGCTGGCAGTTCCTTCTCTTGCTGGCTTTGGCGTCTCGTAGCGAGCGCGATTTTGCCTGTGCCCGGCCTCGAATTCGGAAGTCGGACGCGTGCTAAATCCGCAAAGAAACAACGTCCTACCCTAGCCCTATTGTAAAACTAAGCAAGCAAAAAACAAAAACGTAGCGCAAGCACCAGGCACTATGATGCTGTGGGCGACTTCCGATGTTGGCTTAGTACATGTCGTAAGAAAACAAGCTTTTGTTATGAACAAAATACAAACTCGTCCGAGTGACTCATTTTCCTACGGTCGTGCGAATAGCAGTGTTGGTGCGATTCAACGCCACACAGCATAGACCCAACCGCGATATGCTGCTAGCGCGCTGGAAGCTTATTGATCTCCATTCCCTCAACGATTCCGAATAGCGTCCGCGGTGAGCCTCGAGTGCTCCACAATTTGATCCATCGGTACCAGTTTTCGCTTCCACTCCGTCCGCGCTGATTCTTCGCATTACCACAACTAAGAAATGCTTCTGAGTATTACCACGACTTCGAAGTCCTCGATGAGGACTGCCGCAAATTCGTCCCAAGGTGGTCAATCACACAGTTTTTCAAAAAGCAAAGTCCCTTGCAGACCCCACCGCCACCAAGTACAACACCACATATCCCTACGGCGGAATGCAACTGCGCACCGTACAACCTTAGCACGAACGATGCAAAAGCCTGTTGTGCGACAACCGACAAAACAACTCCAGTCTATTCTCACCATTCTCACCGGTAGCCTCATGAGGCCCCTCTCATCACAGGATTAAAAATCCGGCCACAGTGAAGATAGCAACCACGACCACGCTGACAACGCTGCACACAGCCAACGCTGTCGGAGGCTCATACGAACGCGTCGAGCAGCGCGAAAACGTCTTGTTCTCGGCATAAACCCAGCTGCCCGACACGCACGTCGTCTCCGCCACGTTCGGGTTGTTGGTCGATCTAATGGCTTTGATCTCCTCGATCTCAGTTAAGCAGTCGATGTTGCCGCACACCTCGTCGAGGTAGAGGCGGTAGAAGTGTGAGTACACACACTTGTCGGCCACCTCCACGCACAGCGAACGGCACGGAGGCAGCGGCACCGTCGCGGAGGCGCCAGTGCTTGCACAGCTCACACGCGTGCCGTTCACGTATCGCTGGAAGGTGGTGGCCACCCACGAGAGGCAGTGGAAGTTCCACACGAGCTTGTGGCATGCAGCGGTGTCCTTGAACTGCATCTGGGTGCCGAAGGGGCTGAGCGCGAGCGTCTTGGCGTCCAGGTCCTCGCACACGCCCTGCTTCTCCAGCTGCGTCGTGGCCTCTCTATCTTGATGCACCAGAAGCAGACGTCAGTCAGGGAGATGACCAAGCAGCAACATACGTCGTAGTTGAAGCCGTCCGCACCTGGAGTAGCCGGTGATGGGGTCGAACAGGTACTGGCCGTTCATGATGGTGCAGTACTTGAGCCCGGCGCACTTGACGCACTGCTGCGCGTTGAAGGTTCCGACGGCGGCAGCAGCGGCGCCTCTCGCGGACAACGCGACGATGGCCGAGACAATCGCGAACATAGCGCAGCGGAGCCCTTGGCGTTGGTGTAGTCGCGGTCGGCGGCGCGAGCGATGTTGAAGTGGCCAGGACGCTACGTCGCCAGCTGTCCGCGAATCTGAAGGATGAGTCACCACTGCGCCGTCGCCGCTTGTCATGGCAGGCGATGGAGCTGCCGCACTGCGGAGGCAAGCAAGTCGCACGTAGCGTCACCAAGGATTTCGACAGAGTGACCCTTCCGAACAACGAGTTGAAGGGGTTGGGAGATCCTGTCGTCACTTTGATCCGATCAGCAATCCGCTGAGCGGGGGCTGCTGTTCCAGCAAAACCTTTAGGCAATTTAAAATTTGTTGGTTCATAACACCCCAAGCGAGATGACTGGAGCCTCGCTTGGTACCTGGAAGACTCTTTTCTTTTCATCTTCTTGGAAGACGGCACAAACAGCCATACGCGTCCACGAGCAGAAAACTACAGAACGCGAAGTAGAGCGAAGTTGAGGGGCTGCGGCGGGACGACGTGTGGTAACTAGGAGCTGCGAGGCCTGCACAAGCGGGCCAGCCGACTTCCTCCACTTGAATTGCAAGATTAAGCCTATGCCTTTCGCTCCTCCTCGCACCTCGCGCAATGGCACACAAACTGGTACTCCCTGCTTGGCCGGGCACCAACACCAACAGACAGAGCGATCGGACATAAAGTTAGTGTACGAAAACTCCACAGTGGGGCCACACGCGGCAACTGGACGATGTGCATACCGGAGGCATTCCGCTCGCTCCTCCACCTCCTGGTCCACGTCAATGTACGAAATGCACAGCTCCTCGCCCTCCTGACATTGTCCAACCAGTCGCAGCGTTAGCACTTCCCGCTTGTGAAGTTAAAAAGAAGCTCCGACAAGTACGCGCGCTTACCTGGATGTCTTGTACGGCGAAAACGTGCGCAGCTCCGTCCTTTGTGTACAGCACCGTGCAGTTGGGGTCGCAGCTGTGGTTCATTGTGCAAATGCCCGAGAACAATGCTGTGCCTTCCACGCCGACAAAGTCCTCGTCCAGCGCGTAGCACTCTTCCTCGTCGTGCTCGTGCTCCTGTTCGTGCTCGTCCTCGCAGCTGCAGAGCGTGTGCTTGTGCTCCTCCGCGAACTTCTCCAGCGCCGCCTTGACGCGGGACAGCACCGGCGGCATGTCCTTCTTGTCTTCGGGGCTCGCTTCGCTCAACGCCTCGCCCAGCGCGTGGAACGGGTGGTCGATCTCCATGCTAATGTTGTTCATCTCGAACATGCCCACGACGCAGCTGAAAAAGTCGACGGTAAGGATCTCGTCGCACGAGGACAGCACGGCGTCCACCGTGAGGCCGTTGAGCTCTCCCTGCGCCTCTAAGTGCACGAGGCTCTCTTTGAGGCCGGCCATAAAGTGCTCGTGGGTCTGCGCGATGAGCGAGCGGAACTTGTCGCAGTACTGCTCGAGGGTCTCGCCCTCCTCCAGGTCGTCCTCGGAGGTGACGACCTCCCACCAGGGCAGCTTGCAGAACATGTCAACCGGTTGCCGGGCCTTGGCCATGTCCTGCGTGGCCACGAAGAGCAGCAGGATCTTGGACACGACCTTGGCCGCGAGCTGGAAGATCTCGTTGGTCACGAGCGTGTGGTTGAGGAACTTGCCCATGGCGTTGTCGCGCTCCTCCGAGTGCGGGCACAGCAGCGCGTGGTGCTGCGCGTACGCGATCTGCTTGCACGTCTCGGTGCAGTACACGACGCCGCAGCTGCACTTGACCTGGTGCTCGGCCATGGTGAAGACGGAGAAGTAGCTCTCCTCGGGGGACTTGCCGCCCTCCTTCATGAGGAACGCGATGGACTCCTCGAAGTCGGCCACGCTGGCCGCGGCCTCGTCGGCGGGGGCCGCCTCGCCCTCCACCTCGCTGCTGCTGCTCGTCATGACGCGCGCCCAGCAGGCCTTGCTGTCCACGAGCGGCACGAAGCAGTTGTCGCAGCAGTCCACGAACTCCTTGTTGTCCTCGTGCTGCATGGCCACGAACGGGGCCTCGGTCCAGATGGGCTCGCCGGCCTTGAGCACGCGGCCGGCGTAGATGGCCTTGCCCTTGTCGTCGCCCGCGTAGCCGCAGCGGATGGGCGGGCTGTGCAGCCGCGACTGCAGCAGCGCCTCAAAGTAGGCGGCCACCTCGGGGCGGTTCTCCTGCATGTCTGTGTCTGATGTATTACTGTCGATCTTGCGGGGCCCGGACGGCGCGGCGCGAGTTGGCGAATGGACCAGCCCCAGCTCTGAGATGCTGAAGCGCTTGACTGGTCAGCGCCAGTCACGTTGCCGACGTTGCGCGCAGGTTGCTGTAAAGCGCGGCTGTTGTTCGATGCAGCCATCGGCTCTCGCGGGCCTGATTACGAGCCGCCCTCTCTACCACGATATCTACTCACGTTGAAGATGTTTAACTGCAGGGATTTGTACATACTGGAAGTACTCGTTATCCTGTTTCCCCGCTCTAAATGATATTGTAAAACTATGCTGGTTTCGGAGGCTACCGCCGTAAAGAGGGCCATAAGGGAGAGGGGCAACCTCAGCCGCCCGTCCATCACACGGCACAAAACCCGCACACCACTCGAAAATGTACCACAACATGGGTACTTCGTAGATCAGGTGCGCTTGCCGACGGGATCCGCTAACAATGCAGCCGTGTTCTGCACGAGTGTCCATGACGAGGCCCAATGGTTCGCTGCGCGAGCACGCGCCAGCGGGCGCCGATAGCCATCGAGTTGGCCACAGCTGCGTGTCGAGTAAATCGTCGTCGCGGCAGGGCGGACAAACGCGATTCGCGCCGTCCGCTCGCTCTCGGACACTGTCCTTGCGGTGCTTCAATCGCCTTGCAGGTCTCGGACCACTGGGGAACCGTGGGCGCGTGGAGGGCGAAGCTTCGGGAAGACGTACGTGCGCGGCCGGTGGTGAAGATTGACGGCTCGTCACCTGTACCCGGCGGCTGGCCGTTGGCGGGATCTTACCACGGGGTCCAGGCTGCCGATTTCATTGCCACCGTCCGATTCCCCACAGCTCTGAGGCCCCTCTCCGGTGAGCCAAAGCATCGCTCCGCAGGCGCTTGCTTGCCTTGCGTTGTTGGATGCCAGTACCGCCAGATTCGAGCTCTCCTCGTCAGGATCTTTCGAGTCTCTGCAGCGCCGCACTCTGTTCCGGAAGTCCCGCGTGATATCGACACTTGGGCTGATTGCGTTTAGCAGCTCCTCCCCCGTTGGGAAGTCCTCCACCGCGAATGTACATGTACTTGCAATGACAAGCGGCGACTCATCCTTCACACTCGCCAGCAGCTGGCGACGTGGCGTCCTGGCCACCTCAACATCGCTTGCGCCGCCGACCGCGACTACACCAACGCCGCGGATTCCACTCCGCTATGTTCACCACCAGGGATCCCGAAAAATAAATACGCCCGGAAATATATCTGTATTTCGGAATCAATATTTTATTGTAGGTATACATACCTCCTTGGTTTATCCGGTATTTATTCCAGCTTTAGATCAAAACTTCTAGATTTTATTTCTGCGGTTGAATATATCCTTCATGCTTGAGAAGTTTTTCCCCTAATTTTCATTGTGTTAACGCCATCAAATTTTCCCTTTATGCTAAAATGATGTTGTTCAGCAACCTTAACACGGATGTGGCGACCGTAGGCAGTGTTAGTAAGAACCCATGAAGGTGCAGCAATTTACTGAATAATTTACTGCGTCAGCACCGGGTCTTCAGATATTTATTTCTTCTCTTCTTGGTATACAAACAAATACGTATTTCGTTAACTTGAGAAAAATAGATATATATCGTATTTTCGGCATGCCTGTTCACCACCACCGCAGCCATCGTCGCGTTGTCCGCGAGAGGCGCCGCTGCTGCCGCCGTCGGAACCTTCAACGCGCAGCAGTGCGTCAAGTGCGCCGGGCTCAAGTACTGCACCATCATGAACGGCCAGTACCTGTTCGACCCCATCACCGGCTACTCCAGGTGCGGACGGCTTCAACTACGACGTATGTTGCTGCTTGGTCATCTCCCTGACTAACGTCTGCTTCTGTTGCATCAAGATAGAGAGGCCACGACGCAGCTGGAGAAGCAGGGCGTGTGCGAGGACCTGGACGCCAAGACGCTCGCGCTCAGCCCCTTCGGCACCCAGATGCAGTTCAAGGACACCGCTGCATGCCACAAGCTCGTGTGGAACTTCCACTGCCTCTCGTGGGTGGCCACCACCTTCCAGCGACACGTGAACGGCACGCGTGTGAGCTGTGCAAGCACTGGCGCCTCCGCGACGGTGCCGCTGCCTCCGTGCCGTTCGCTGTGCGTGGAGGTGGCCGACAAGTGTGTGTACTCACACTTCTACCGCCTCTACCTCGACGAGGTGTGCGGCAACATCGACTGCTTGACTGAGATCGAGGAGATCAAAGCCATTAGATCGACCAACAACCCGAACGTGGCGGAGACGACGTGCGTGTCGGGCAGCTGGGTTTATGCCGAGAACAAGACGTTTTCGCGCTGCTCGACGCGTGCGTACGATCCTTTGCAGTGCGCAGCATTGTTTGCGTGGTCTGTGGGAGGGCTACGAAAGCTCTAAATATTGAAACAATGCATTGGAAATTTTCTCATCTTTATTGGGACGAAGTCCCCCTAACATTGAGGCACTCATTTTTACTTAACCTTTTCAAGGGTCCACACCCTCATTTACTTGCCCCATATCCGTTTAGCAGGAACAGGTTATTGGGGTTTTCAAATATTTTGCCGCCGATTTGACGTGTTATCTCGGAGTCCGATTTATATAAAATGGAACTTCTACATGATCGGTTAGTCCAATTTAGCAATATCTGACCTGAGTTAGTAGCATAAGGCTCAGAGGGGAGGCATTCCAAGTTGGCCATACCTCCTCACCTCTCATGACGCATTAGATCTGCAAGACATTGGGAACAATAGTACACTGTATATAGCCACTTCATAGCACTATGGAGCTAAATCACCTGTGTGATCATCTACGGCCGCTACAACCTCGATATGAGAGGGCCCCACACATGTTTTCGCGGCGGTCCCTTTTGCCGGCGAAAAGCGGAATTTCTGGCCCCTGCTTCGCAACTCGCAGCCCCCCGACGCAAATCGGGCCAGATACAGTTTGCTTCCCTCAGCCCCTCCTGCTAAATCGGAGCCCTCCAGCAAATCGGGCCCGATATATCGGATCTTGGACCACCCGATTTGCCAAAACGGGTGAAAGACACAATAACTACCGTCTTACCGCGCACCAGCCGCCTAGGCGCTCAATTAAAATAAACAGTCCACTGGGCGTTTTTACCTGAATATTGCAGGAATGCAGCTGAGCCGCTGCGAAAATCTCGAGCTCGCTACCGTCTCTCTCTCCGTTCCTGAGCGAGGTGATGTAGTTGTCATCGAATAACCCCTTCAGATCATCCAGCTCTCGCATGTAGCTCGTCAAGACGTGAGCATAGTCCGCGATACTGCTTGCCAGAGAGTGCCTAAGACAGCAAAACAGACTTGAGTGCGTGTCTTCGGGCAGATACCAGGCTGGCGGTTGAAGGCATATCGGCTCCCTCTCATCTTCTTCGTCGTCGCCGACCAAGTGTAGATACCGCAGATGCCGCTCATGCATGTCGATACTAGAGGAGATAAGCTCGCGCAGCGGAGGATGCAGGGAGGTCTTGTCAAATGAAGATCCCACGACAAGCCCACATAGCCTAAACGCCTTCTTGATCTCTTTCGGGTCCTTGGTGGCGATCCAGTCCAGCACCCACTGCGGGACCACTGAGTAGTGCGGTACTTTCGGGCTCCCCGCCTTCGTCTGTACGAGTCGATAATGTACAAAACGGGCTGACTGTACAATTGGGTTTCTTTTCTGCTGCAAATGACCGTGTTTGCGTGATCGAGGAGGATTGCGTCATTCCACATACCGGTGGCCTACTTTCAGTCTACACTGTACAGCGTTATACAGTGATGCATGATTTACCGTAAACCACAGGTTCATTGTAACAGGGGTAAAAAGTCCTTGTCTATTACTTTTTTCATAGTTTTTACACGTAAAAGTCAACTCGCTCCCTGAACCAACAACCCCTCCTCCGCCCGCGCAAATGACATCCGCTATTTTACTTTTCGCGCGCAACATGCCCAGAAGCCCAAAGAACACCAACAAGAAAAAACTACAAGTATGTATTTACTTTAAGGTTCTGCACCTACTGCTATGCTAATATTTGCTGTATATGTAGGCTCTCAAGCTGCTTAAGGCGACAAGTGCGACTGTAGTGGCAGTTGCGTCTGCTGTTGGGGTCGACTGGTCGACTCTTCATCGCTGGAAGAAGGACGCCAGTCGTATCGCTGAATCGAGCCCCAGTCAGTGCTTTGCCGGCCCCAATGCGCGTGCTCACGTATTCGTGCAGCAGCCTGAGCTCGAGCAGAGGTATGGTTCTCAAAACATGTATGCCTTTTGAATTTTTCTAATTGTATTCTGATGTCGTTAAACGTATGTAGGCTACTCGAGTGGATTGCCAACATGCGCAAAAATAAATATCTTTGTGTGTCTACCAACTGCCTACTGCTTATGCACTCGAAGTTCGCTCCCGCCCTCTTCGCGTCACGGTCCCGGGCGGCTAGTTTGATGTTCATCCGCCGTTTCCTCAAGCGCAATCGACTGACGGTGCGGCGGATTACTCACAAGGGCCGTAAGAAACGGTCGGATATGGAGATAAGCTACGGTTTTGTTCAATTGAAGGTGATTACTGTTGTCTAACTATTTGACTACTTATGTATGTTTACAGGAAGTTGCGAATGTGTTTTCGCACTCTATCCTGCGTACCGTAGAGGATGATGGGATTCTGGCTCACGTCAATGGTCCCGACAAGTATGCGTCAGTGTACAACATGGACCAAACGGCTGTCTATATTGACATGAATGGACGCACCACGGTTGACTTTGTGGGCGCTTAAACGGTCGACGTCGTGAAAGGTAAGGATGTCATTTCAGTTTGCTATGACACTTTGCTAACATTTTGAACGTACCTGTAGGAAGCGCGATAAACGGCTTCAGAGTGTCCGTGTTCCTTGCTGCGTCGGCCACGGGCGAGAAGCTGCCTCCGTTTGTTGATTTTGCAGGTGTGCCCGGCGGACCCGTATCCCAAGAGGTGTTCAGCCCTGCTATTAGAGCGGCGTCCGTCGAGCATACCGTGCAGACGAACGCGTACTGCGACGCCACGGTCATGCTGGACTGGATCGAAAGGGTACGTGTTTTGGTATGCTACGTGTATTGACATTTATTAATTTGACTTGGTTTCACTATAGGTTGGAAGCCGTCAGTCGACGGATGCAAACTACTGATTCTGGACAGCTTAAGGACCCACAAGATGGCGTCGGTCCGGTACGCCTTGCAACAAGAATGCTGCACGCAGGTCGAGTTCGTGCCTCCCGGGGTGACTGGCATATGTCTTGAAAGCCTTCATCTTTCAAGAACCACATCACGTACGTACTCTTATTCTTAATTATACTGATGCTGTCATTTACTTACTCTGTGCTACGTTTTTAAGGAATGCGTACCTGCAGTATCATCTCGAGCACCCGTTTCCGGCGACTGCGCGCGAGAAGCGAGCCCTGATGTCACGCCTTGTGGTCGAACCCTGGGACGCAGTACCTGCCACGGTGATTACCAACGGCTTCATCAAGGCCGGCTTGATTCCAACCGGCCCCCGAGACCGCAGTGCCCGCTTCCGGGTTCCCGATGTGTCGGCTAGCAATGCGCCACTTGTATGCGATGAATAAATTTTCTTTACCTTTTTTTGTGAATAACATACTTTATGTGGCACAGAGTGGGGGTGTCACCCCTATGATTAAATCTTTAAGAGTCCTTTTTTGGTGTTTTTACGGGGTGATGCACTCTACCCGTACGTTGCAGTGAACCCGTGGTTTACGGTATATTCATTATACGCTACCCTACGGGCTGGTTTCAAGGGTAAACTTGATTATGGGACGCATAAATATGGCAATTTGCGCGACCTCATTGGCTGTAACTCTTTGAGATGTGCAACAATTAAGTTTTTCAGCCGGACTTTTGGTTATGAGACGCAAGTCGCAAATTTTGGCCAAGCTACGAATAGAATTAGTAGGTTTTCATTGGTAGATAAGAATTCGTCTAGGATTTGAGATTGATCGACTTTTGGATGGGACTTGGGTACTTGTTTACGTGTCCTGGTTGCCAAGAATACTGGTTACACGGTGGCGGCGCGCCGACGCTAAACTAACGGATCAATCAATCACTTCTCAACTTTCCAATTGCCTCTCAAGTGTCCTTCAAGCGCCCGCCACTATGCTCATCAAGCTTTGGGTCTTCGTATCGGCTTGTGTGACATAGTAGCACTTGTCGTGTCAAGTATCGGTTTAAGTTAAAGACTAGGTTGCTCGTAGGGGATACCTTCCGAAGCGAGATGACCTGTGGCAATTGGAGCTAGCCACATAGTTGGGACGCTCTAGGTTGCTAACGTGCAGTTTTTGTAATGATTACACTTCAAAGAAGTGGGTACGGCACGCGGTGTGGCTGGTGGAAATACCACATTGGGGCTTGGCCTCCGCCTAGACCGAATATCACCTTACCATTGAAGTTGTATTGGACCCCTACTAGAAGTCGGTTCAGTAACAGGGCGCCTACATTGTGTCTGCTAACGCGGAACATTGTAGAAGTATAACTGTCCCTGGTTACCCGGTGGTAGTCCCTTGCCTTTTTCGATCTTTGGAGTCGGTCCATGGCCCGTTACAAAAAAGGGTAACAATCACAGCAGTAAGAGGAAGCGCCAACAAGCGCGTAACGTTAAAGTATCATCGACGTGTACGCCTGCTCCTCCTTCTGTTACGGCTATTGACACCGACCTCTTCTTCTCGCCAGTTGAGGCAGAGCAAATTGCGAAATTGCAACCAGATCTTCTCAAGCAGGGTAAAACCGCTAAGAGAGTCTTGGTTAAGTTCCACAAATAGGTCTGGAGTATTAAGGACGACAGCATTGAGGGCTAGGTCGATCGACAACTCAACTTGGCTCTTCTCGACTTTACGAGCTGCGAGGACAACATTTGTGAGATCGCGAAATGACTGCGTTCGGGCAGGTTCCGGCCAAAGTCTAACTGCCTTGAGCCTGTGAGTGATGGCTGACTGAGTGCTCTGATTGGTCGGTCATATTTCCCGCGCTTTAGTGCCAAGAAGATTGATAGAGACTACAGAGTGACAGGAGTGTCTCGGCAGGTCAAAATAAACCGCCTGCCGAGGCCTCCGAAGTTTCATAGTGGGTATACTTTATGACAGGTAGGAGTTTGGATTTAGGATAAAGTTCCGTGGGGGTTTATACTGACTAGAATGTAGCCTCTAGCCACGGGTTTAACGGAGATGCCGGGGCCGCTAGGCCCCGGCAGCTCCGATCTCCGACTCCGCCCGACTAAAATATCTTAAGTTAGCCAAAAGTCGCAGAAGTAAATAGAGTGGGGAGTGGACACTAAGCCCGCACAACGTTCAAGCTGACAATGGACGCTGAAGAGTGCAGACGGCGAGTGCAAAAAGCGAAGTCGCAGCGTGCTTTCCCGCCAAGTGTACTGTACCCGGAGCTAACGAGCTAGAAAGACGGCATGGCCCCTCTTTTTTCCCGGCCGATTGTTGTGTGGGTCCCTGAGTGTTTGAATGGGGGTAACGCTGAGTGTGCTTCTCCTGGTTGTTACTGTTTGCCACGTGTAAAGGAGTACGTAAAGCAAGTCGCACTTCGCGTCAACAAGATCGACCGACGGTGTACGGTCGATCTTGTTGACGCGAAGTGCGACTTGCTTTACGTGCGGTACGAATGCGCTGGTTCTACAGGAACTTGTTTTACTACAATATCACCAGCATATTTGCAAAAGCACGTGGAGTTTCTGGTTCACTTCCCTTTTGTTTTGTCGGTGAAGGAGGGCTTTCTAACGAGTTTATGGCAATGGTTCATGATGGGATTATGTCGCCAAATGGGCTGTCAAATGCTTTGGCTACTGTGGAGTGCCGGGGCCAAGCCGGTATTACAAGCTCTACACTCTTTTTGCGGATAGAGTTCGGCGCTAATGCTGACTATGTATCTCCGACCCCACCAACTTGATCTCAGTATGTCTCCGACAATTCTCCACCAACTACCCAAACGCTGACAGTGTTTTGGATGGGATATACAACGATTTACAGTTTTCTGTGTGAAAATCTCATGAAGCACTTGAAGATTCGAAGAGCGCTCCGCATTGATCACTCCGTGAAATTTTGTAAGCGTCTTAAGATTTGGACAGGCAGTGGGAAATGTGATGGTATGGCAAACTGTAAGATGCTTCTTCTCGCTCAAAATGAAATTGGGCAGATCGTTAGTCGTTGCCTTACACGCTCAGAGAGCAATGCTGAAACTGAGGAGCTACTAAAACGTGTGGAGCCCATGCTTGCACCGTTTACGGATGATGCTGAGCTTTTGGTAGTAAGTGATGATGCCACTGGAGTTCGCAATCTGGTTAGCAGAGTGTTTGGTGATCGTGTCTCGACCAAGCAAGACCCGTGCCATGTAATACAGCGCATAACCGAGGAGGTTAAGTCAACTAAGCGAAAGTGGTTATCTAAGGAGCTAAGTAATGCGCTGCACACAGTAGGTCGCAAGCTGCGACCCGTGCCATGTAATACAGCGCATAACCGAGGAGGTTAAGTCAACTAAGCGAAAGTGGTTATCTAAGGAGCTAAGTAATGCGCTGCACACAGTAGGTCGCAAGCTGCGACCCGTGCCATGTAATACAGCGCATAACCGAGGAGGTTAAGTCAACTAAGCGAAAGTGGTTATCTAAGGAGCTAAGTAATGCGCTGCACACAGTAGGTCGCAAGCTGCGACCCGTTGACGAAATGGAGAAAGGATTTTTGCGTGCTGTGAGAAGTGTTGCATTGGTGGACGTGATGTGCTCGGATGCAGAGTGGCGCGGCTGTTATGAAAGTAACGCGAAGCAGATTCGTATCGGAAATATCTTTGTCTCTAATAACACGTACGAGGAGGCTGCTAAGACGGTGAGAGTCGTATCCACCAGTCAACTCGAAGGATTTCACTCCGCCTTGAAAACACTGCTCGTCCGCACTGTGTCAGCTCCCGTCGGTTTGCGAATTCTTGACATTTCTATTGTTCGCTACAATCTCCGCGTTGGGACAAAGTTTGGCCGTCATGCAAATTTAGGGGAACTGAACTTCATACAACTAGCTCAAGCTGCATTGCTAAGTCGAGACGCGTTACCAGAGTCGGCTCAATTGGGATTTGCGCTAACGATGCTGTCCCAACCCCAAATTTCTCCGCAATACCGCTCAGCCTCACGCATAGACTTTGATCTCCACCAATGGAGACGAATTTTTGAAAATGCGCGTGTGAGTAATGCTGTCATTGGGTCGCTCCTGAAACCTCAATTCCTCAAATCTGGTCCAGCTCTGAAGAAAAAAAACGGCCGTACATGGCCCTTTTTGGGGAGGGGCACCTCGACCCAAATGACTATATTTGTCCAAGGTTCATCAACGTGCGAGCTTGAAGTGTATTTGGTACGGGCCGCCTCAGAACAGGAGGCACGTTGAGCTAAATATATATTGTTGCTGCCGCTGCGCTAGAAGATGCTTTATTCTACAATTTCCGCTCTAGCTCTTAACCACGGTGCAGCAGCTACTCGAGACTTCTCTCACCCAGCTCAGCCAAGCAGCCGATGTAGAACCACAGCGCCAGCAGCGGGCAAGAGGTGCTGGTTTCTCGGATGCCGAAACGGCCAATCTTGCTTGAGATGCATCTACCTCTGTCACGTGATGAATGGGATTACGTTACATCTCTCCATAACACTGCTTACGTGGGCGACGATAGGACCACCGACTCGCTCAAGCGGAAGTTCGCCAAACCGCACCGCAAGCGCATCCCGACGGGCGACCCGAGCATTCCTGCGAACGTCTTGCAGGCGAAGCGCATTCGCCTGGAGATGACTCGTCGAGAAGATTTGGGCGACGGGGAAGATGCTGCGACAGAGGCAGCAATAGATTTCGTAGCCACCACCCCTACTCAAGCGGACCTACTTCCAACTCCACACAGTCAAGGCCAACCGTCAACTCCCCCACCACGGCTGACGGCAACGATGACAACGCCATCACCAGTGCCAACACCTTCGCAACTAGATGTGGCTCGACCTATTGTCCACAGGCGTGGGCAAAGTACACGCAGTGACGATGACGAGGACGCTCGCTTCATGGCGATGGTGCGACTTTCACTTGAACAAGAGTGGCAGCGCGCAGACGAACAGCGCATACGTTGGGAGCAGGAACGCCACGAAGAACGCGCTCGCCGAGAAGAAGAACGAGCGCGACGTGAGGAAGACCGAGAAGCAGAGCGTCGTCAGCGTCAAGAAGATCGAGAAGAGGACCGCCGACGCCACCAAGAACTACTGAGTCTGCTGCTCATCGGAAGCAACTGAAATTCGTTATCGGACACGAGCACTCCGAACGCTCCAAACGCTCATTAGTCAAGTTTAATGAGCGATCGCACAGCAGCACTTTACATTTACCGAACACTTTAATTCTCTTTTTCGTTAAGCAAGTTTTTTTAATGAAAACCAAAGCTTTCTTCTTTTACTTTTAGCAAATGAAGTACACAATTCTAATCAAGTAAGTGGTTTGCTTCCGGTCCTAGATGCGGCATGAATGTACTTAGGATCTGATTAATCCCAACGAGGCGAGATCGTAAATTGTACAACAGTACGAGGCTTGAGATGATCTTATTCCGCTCGCCGTCCTGCTCGAAACGCATTTGGTCCTTAATTCTTGCAAACGAGCTTGGAATGCTCGCATTCCCCATTTCGCAGATTGCCGGAGCGATGTTGCTTGCTGGAGACGCCGAAGCTCCGCAGGGGATGGATTGTTAGCAAGATGATCTTGTGCAGACTTAATCAGAAACGGGCAATCTCCTTTCGAAAAAGCCGAATCAACCACACAACGAGCTCCAGTTGCTTAAAAACGTCCTCAAGTTTAGCGTATACACCGCCCCACTCTGCAATCAGGGAATCGTGCATGGCCCCTGGAGCATTGATAGCACACATGACGATGACTCCATTTGGTGTGAACACTAACACGTTGCTGACATAATGCCCATGTGTCGGAATCGAATCGAAGTTGGAATGCTGCGCGTGGCTTACGGTCACGGCGTCGGCGTTGCTTGCGATGGTACCAGAAGGCGAGTAGAGCTGCGTGGTGCATGGCGAGGGGCGATGAAAGTGCACTGACATGGCACAGCAAGACGTGTGAAGCTTACAGACTGCGGTGTAGACGAACTCTGCGGGTAAAGTCCGCTTGAAGTTGATTTGACCCTCCGTTTTGTTTAGTCCATGGGTTTCTGGATACAAAGGTACATATGTACCAAAAGCTCAACCCCCTGGCTCTGGTGATATGATACTTTGATATTTTGGTGTTTCAAAAGCGACCCATTGATGCTACACTTACCGCTTCTCGACGCCACAAGAAAACAATAAGGGAACTATTTTTCAACAGCGCAAAAGTTGCCAAGTCACCCCCCCCCCTTCGCTCGAAGGCGTTCTTTGAGTCAATGCAGCTGACGGAGACTTCATACGAGCCATCCTCTGTTTTTTCGCTAGAAGAGTACGAGCTGCTGCATGAAGTCCGGTTCGAGCAGGATCGAGAAGGGGCTGTGTGGAAATCGTGTGTCCTTGTCACGACGATACTTTTCAACGTGGTGGTAGAGTTTAACACAAATGTGGCTTTTCATTTGCGCCGGAGATCCTACTCAACGATCGAGGGGAAGTTAAATCAATGTCGGACCCGAAGGTGGATAGCTGTACTAAAAACTCCTTCGCAAGCAGACCTCCGCTGTTCTCGTTTGATCTCAATCGTAAGACTACCAGCAAGGAAAATACTGACGAGCAGAAGCTGATGATAGATTTGTTTGGTGTATTGCGAGCTACAAAGACCATCAAGAGCAGAACGCAAGTGTATGTCCGTGTTTACGATTTTGCAAGTCGATTTTGTGAGGGTATTTTCCCAAGGACGAATCTGCTCTCAAACGCAAATGGGCTGCCCTCAAAACAGCGGCAAACAATGGTCGCGACCAAAAATTAAGCCCCCACGCGCAGAAGGCTTTGCCCGGAGCGAATTTACTGAGTGTAGTGACGCCGCCGATGCTATCCCACCAGCAACGCCGTCGCGTGATATCGCTGCAATCAGCACAGCAGTCTCTAGGCTTTTAAGCACAGCTGACGCTGCGGCGGGGATGGGAGCAACACCAGATCTGGCGACAACTAGCAATGCTTTGGTGAGTTGCACCTCAACATTGGCTTTAGTAGTATTACAGCAGCATTTCACACAAGCGCCAGTCGACCAAGGTAGTGAGTGGCCTTCATGCTGAAGCTGCACACGGTTCACCAGCCTTGCCTGCTTACGCACTAGTAATTCCGCCGGCTACAAGAGCTGCTACGGCTACAAGCACTGCTACATGCTACAGCATGCGGAAGCTGTCGAAAGAGAAGAAAACGCTGCGGAGATCCATCACAAAGGGGCTACTGCGAGCGATTGCAGACAACAACTAGCACGATCAGTATTCACTCCTACTTCAATGCAAGTGTTTAATGCAATGCTAGTACACTGTTAATCCCAGCAATCATCCTGTCAGTCGATGCATGTTCTTGTCATTGCTGTTTGCATCCCCTCGAACCACCTGTCTTCTTACTTGATTATTGTATTGATGCTCACTGCTCTATTTCAGGATTTGAGCGGGGAAACGAACGTTTTGCCGAAACGTAAACGGTGGCAAGTGGTGGCGAACGGTGACTACCGTCTTACCCCGCACACTACGCCTAGGCGTTATGCAACGAATTGGAACACTTAAGGCAAATATTCTAATAGAGCGCCTAGGCGTTGTGCAACGAGTTTTTATACAATCTTTGAAGGATGCCGTCTCGGGTCCAAAACTCTAGCGCAGTGGTGAAGGCTTGACCCACCTACGCTGCTGGCTGGAGTTCGAGCCCGCCTGCGTGCAGTTCACATCGAGTGTGTAACGCATGGGTCTTTTCTTTCCTCGGTGGCTGTGTTGGAGGTTTTTGGTGGTTTGTTTCAATTATTACAAAATTAGCCATAAAACTTTCTTTTTTTGCAAAAACAAGCATGTATGTATTGCAGGACTTACGCTCTGTCTAAAGCAAGTAGCCGTCTACATTTACTGCGAAGAATGCACCGCTGCGTACAAGCTGGACCACCTTGTCAGGTTTGTCAACAGTGTACACGAATGTCGATACTACCTTGCAGTCGGTGCTAAGGGTCTTGATCTCGATGTTCCAGTTGTGCAGCTTGGACGCAGAATAGAGCTCAAGCTCTCCAGGATCGGCACTACCCTTTCTGATAGATTCCAAGTAGGAAGCATCCACCAGCCCATCTAAGTCTTCCGGCGACGCCATGTAGTCACACAGGTCCTCGATAAAGTCGGCTCGCACCGTCCCGAGGCCGTGTATGAGGCAGGAATAGAGACTCGTGCGCTCGTCGTCAGGAAGGTACCATTCCGGCGCCGCGGGGGTAAGCTCCTCTCGCTCGTCGGACTGCTCCAGCAGATGCTTGTAGGACGCGTTCCAGCGCTCCATGTCAAAGTCCAGTGCGAGGATTTCCTGGAGCGGTGGGTGCAGCTTCTCGTCGTCGAACGACTTCTTCGGCACCAGACCGCACAGCTGGAACGCCTTCTTGATGTCTTCGCAGAGCACGTCGCCATCCGGTCAAGAGTCCTGTGACGAGGCGCGAGTGCCTTTTGCGATCGGTAGAGCAAAATCAAGTCTTGAGAATGTGACTCGATAGGCAGACGACCACGAGCTAGAGAGCTAGGATCGTCCACGCAGTGAGCTGCTTGAGAAATATCAGCACGCCGCTGGTCAGGCGCACGCTTGTGTATCCCCTAGTGGTTGGTTCTTTTGATCGGCGATTAGTATCAACCCCCGCGACTCAAGAATCCACACCAGTCAACGCCAACAAACACTTCAATCCAAATATACAGAGTTAAACACAATATACAATCACACAGATACCTCTTGTCCTCTCTTCTTTCTCTAGGCCCAGGACTAAGGCCACATCTCCAAGTCTTCGGGTGCAAACCCAAGACACTTGGACACTCTTGTGGACGCGCACCACTCCTCTAAGAGGAGAACAGCAATTCAATCAAATATCGACTTATACAGCCTAATACCGATACAAATCGCTCTCAGGAGCCTCACTATACGCTTACTCCCGCAATATATAACACACCAAGCCAACACGGCGTATGTGCAGAATATGGAATAGATAAGTTCACGCCCAGGCTTTCGCAATGGATCCCTTACCTAAAGAACTTTGAAGTTTTGGTGGAGAACGCTCTCAGGGCTTCGGCCCAACACGACTTCGGCACTTGAGGGAAAAACAAACTCTGTTTTGGTTAAAGGCTACATGCAACGACGATCTCTCCAGCGACGCCTGGTCGCTGGGTTGACTACTGGATCGTTCTCAAGAGTGTTGGTCCTGATTTTTATCGAAGCTTGAAGGGTCGCCGTCGTGGGTAAACCTCAGATCTTGAGATGATATGAGATCATCGCGAGAGTCTTGGGATTCCCGTGATTCTTGAGTCTGGGTCTGGGAGGAACCTTGGTTGAAGGCCTTCTCGAGTTTTGTGGGCAGCAAGTCCGGGATAGCAGGCTCCATAGAGTGGCAATCTTGAGAATATCTTGGGCGATCCGGAAAGCACCCCGAATACCGGACGATAACTCGTGCCGAATTCCACCTTATTCCAGGATTCAGGGAAGGATCGCACGCATTCCCATGTGCTTCTGGGAACGGGATCAACTTGACCGCAGCAATGCCCTTTTCACAGGTGCCGGGTACCCCAAAACCATGTTCTTGTTTTGTAGACCAGACCTCGAGACTCCGCGAATAGGTGCCCAACCTCGGGAATCCATCACCACCTTGCGCGACAACACCAATCGCCACATTGGGGAGCTTTCATGAAGGCAGGGTTCACATCTCCAGGGAATGCACCGCGCCACAGTCCACTGCCCAACGGTATTTGTAGGTAGGGACGTTAGAGTTTCCAGCCCGCGTCTGTAGCGCTGGGTCCTGGAGAGCTTGGCGGATATACCCGTCATACTTAACCCTGTAGAACGCCTGGAAGCTGCGATTCACTGCGACGTCGAGTGGCTGCAAGAGGTTGGTGAGATTGGGCGGGATGATCACCACGACGACGTTGTATCGCTCCAGTCGGCGCGACTCCGTTAACTTCACGTGGCAGCCGTACGAGGCGATCAAGTAGAGCACGGGCTCGCGGTAAAGCTGGGTTTCCTTACGGCCGCCCACGACTGTCTTGGCATGATCCAGCAGGATCTCGTCGATCCACATGCCCGTGCGATTGACGTCGACCAGCATGCCGGCTGGAACAGTAGGCTTGTTCTTCAACTTCGAAAAGAGAAGGTGCGGAGGGAGCATCTTACCGTCCGCGGTGATAGAGAAGGTAGCTGTGAACCGCTTGTGGCTTGTTCCGCCCTACCGCAGTAGAACTTCACGCGAGCCTCTCGTCGCAATCGTGGTCTTAGGTTCCGTCTCAAAGTAACGGGGCACTTGGTCCATGTTGATGATGTTTCTCGGCTGGATGTTGTGCGTGGCAGTAAGCTGCTGCACACGCTGGATAAAGTCCCGGCAGGTCTCTGCAGCATCCGCGGGAAGCGTGCGCGTCGTTGTTTGCCGGCGAGAGAGACGAGTTGCTTCCTCTTCTTGAAGCGCGCCAGCCACCCTGTAGATGCATCGAACTTGGGCGCATCGGGACCGTGTAGCTTGCGGTAGATGTTCTGAGCTTGCAGCCGTATGCAGCTGTCCTTCACACGAAGTCCCTTGGTATTCCTATCGAGGATCCAGGCGTGGAGTCGCTCCTCCATCTCGCCGTGCTTGGGGCCGCGCCCTCCGGGTCCTAGACGACGCGTCGTTCTCATTTCAACTTGGCGATCCTTGGAGGCTTCATGCAGCTTTTGGCGGTCATTCCACCAGCCTCGCAGCGTGCCTGGCGCGACGTCGTGCTTGATACCGAGCGCATGGAAGCCGCTGCCACTGACGCCCTCCTCGTGTTCGGCAATCACGGCGAGTTTGTCCTTGATAGTGTAGCTCTTTCGCTTCTGTTTTGCCTTGCTCGCGTCCATCGTTGCAGAATTTGAAATGGAATTTGCAGTTGTAGAACTTGTCCGCGTCGTAGGAGTTAGAACGAGTGGCAAGGGCGCCCGTACTCGACTTGGACCAAGTCACTGGTTGACAGTAGAACCGGACTTAACCGAGAACGGTGTTCGGCGTTATATTCCAACTAGCGTTATAATCGAATTTTTATCTCCAAACTTCGAAATTCAAATATTCGAATAGAGCGCCTAGGCGCAGTGTGCGGGGTAAGACGGTAACGGTGGTCAACGGTGCCGACAGGCCCCAGGGCACACGATAAGCCTAGCCATGGGGGTACTTTTATCAATTTTTGTCAATAATTGGGTCAATTTTATATTGTATTGATATCAGCACAGGCCAATAATCAATAAGTAATATTGTGGCTTGCAGGGATTTTGCCCTCTCATATAAAAGTTTATATCGGACCCCAATTTATATAAATCGGAGCTGTAGGAGTCTGAAATAGGGATCGAACATAGTGAAATCCATAGTAAAGTCAAGTAATACATGCTCTACCATATTCGATGCCCATCTACGCTAATTAGTAGGCACAGCGATGACTTCGGTGATAGCACAGCGAGTAGGTTGCCCACTAGTTCGTTCTGCTTCCTTAGCTGGAGGAACATGGCGTATGTTATCATGGTACTAGTAGTACCGTACTACGTTCCGTGTAAGGCAGACTGGCCTGCATGCACCCCTGATTGCAGTGGATTTGCTACGGCTGAACTGAGATAATCACTGCCCCTCAGAATTGCAACATTAAAGCGGAAATTCGGGTAGCTGCGAAGGGGGTGTTTCATTCGGGGACAAGTCAAGTAGGATAACTTCTCGGCCAATCACAATCCATTATTTTTTGCCCCAGCTGCCAAGAGATTTTAGCTCAGGGCAGCTATGGTTACTTTATACCTAGCGAAACCGATTGTCGCCAGCAATCGGTTTAGCCCACCAAATGACGCCATGGGGGCTCTAGCCCGCTGAGCTGGAGCGCTCTGCCCCGCCGCCTATGACACCGCCACCACCGCCGTCAGCATCCGCACCGCTGTCGCCTGCACTAGCCTCAGCTGACGCGGAAGTGGTTGGGCCCATGTAGGGCCCAGTACCAGTACGACGCAAGACGCGCGGGACAGCACGTCACGGTGACGGTCACCCAGTGGGCCACAGGCGGCCTTAGCCCAGATAGGAGCAACGCCAACGCCTTCCCATGCAGCACGTATCCACGCAAACGTGTCCTGCACCGGATGGCAGTGCTAAAGCGCGGTGTAGCTCTAGGGCGTGTCGTCCTCGAGGCGGTGTCCCGCCCCGCGCGGTGCGTGGAAGGAAGCGTGTGCGTACTTTGCGTGTGTGTATGTGGTTTGTGGGCTTCAGCCCTAAAACATAATTACCGTTAATATTTGATATCGTCAACCAAACATTAATTCATACAGTACAAGGTTGCCCTAAGGTAAAGTGCCAATCCTGGCGCGGTGCCAATCTTTGGCACGGTTTTTGACTTGGTTTCAGTATATTTTTGGCAAAAAAGGGATGGTCCTAACGTAAAAGATGTTCCAGGTGATTTGAAATGACTTAAATTTGTATGGACCGTGCCACGAACTGGTTCGCCATTTTTACCTGTAGAACTTTATCAACTTTGACCGCCTATTGCTATCGAGTCAAATCGAAGCGGAGCCCACATTTATGTTCACCAGAATGGCCTTTATCTCCTCTTTTGAATGCTGTACCATTTGTACGTTTAATTTAAGTGGTGTGGTAGATATGCGCCAGTTTCTGGGATCATCCAAACCGTCCCATGATTGGCATTTTACCTTATGTAACTTATCCCCGAATGAAACACCCCCTAACAAATCGGAATGGCGATACCATCAAATCGGGCCACTTTTTCAAATCGGACCCGATATATCGGACATATGATCTCAAAATCGCTGCAAATTACGATAAAACTGACTATTTATTGTATTGCACTATTTTTTCCGACGTGGCCAGGCGATGTTGAGGCCTGGGCTCAAACCCACTCACCTTGTACCTACACAGTTAATTGATCGAAGGCTTACAGTAGTCTAAGTTTCCCAGGATCGCCCCCCATACAAAAACCAAGCCAGCAATGTTGACAGTGCCACTGTTGATTGAATGCTACGAGAATCCAGCTCGGATCAAGACAGGAACAAGACCGGAAGAGCTGAGTCTGGCGGTCACTTGCACTGCGTCACAAGTTGCTGATGAGGCCTGTGTAGGGTGTGTTTTGGGTGGACTTGACCACTGTGTGTGAGCCACACGGCTGAGATGCCGTGTGCTCTCTGGTCGACGGAACGCTGGCGTGTGCGGACGCTGGCTTCCAAACCGATGGCTACAATGAAGGATCTTGCAGAGCAGCCAATCCGGTTAGTCCATGGGGGTTTTGTAGCCAAAGGCTTTCCTCCGGAGTTCACAGTCACAGAAGCTCAATAAAACACGATCGCCTCTGGTGGTCACTTTGCGATTTGCATCTTGCCACACAAGTCGTCTCTCCTACCTACTTGCAGTCTCCTACGCTAATCTCTAAGTGCTCAAGAGCCGACTCCTCGAAACCCTTAAATGCCTTCCGAGGAGCTTCTGTATCATCGAGTTTATCGAGTTTATCGATTTTAACGCCCCGTCCAGTTCTATTTTCCATGGAAGCAATTCCTCTGACGTTCAAAGTAGTTAATGCTGTCTATTGTATTATCATCCGAAAGTTTAGTGCTTCCTACGGCTGCAAGCCAACGCGATGTGGTGTTTTGGTATGAATAGGATAGGAACTCGGGCTAACAGTTCAAGCCACGGGTTGGTAGCCGGTCCGGCGGCTCTCTTTCTTAGCGAACGCGAGCATGGCCCCACCCAGTACAGCGCCCATGATGAGCCAACCGATGGCGATGGGGTAGCTCCGATTCTTCGCTCCCATGCTGTCAGCCATTGCTGCCTGGCGGACGAAACCTTGGGACGTCTCGCTGTCAACACCAATAAGCTGCTTGCGGATGCTAGCCTTGGGCTTGAACGTATCACCGGGCCACGTAGCAAACTCGCTGGCCTGCAGCCACCAGGCCGGGTATCCGATCGAGGCCTGCTGCTCCGGAGCCTCGCCCGTCGTCATGTAGCCATCACTATACTTGGCAACCAGCGTCCACGCGAGCTGCCACCACTCCGTTACCACTTGGTCGGCGAAGTCGTTGCTTTGGGCTTGCAGACTGGTAACGAGTTCGGTCTCACTGACCTTGCCCGAGTGTCGAGCTTCGTGCGCTTCGTGCTCAATCTTGCTGCGCAGTGAGAAGGCGGCCTTCTGCAAGGCATCAATCTTACCGCGAATGTCGACACTCATCGAGCTGTAACGCAGTAGGCTCCAGTTGTTCACGAAGTTGAAGGCCCACCAAGCGGACTGCGGGTGGAACTTGCTCTGACGACCCAGCAAGTACGACTTCGGGACGGCCTCTTGAGCGCAGGAGAACGGGACGAAGACCGAGCCGTGAGGCGCATCCTGGGCGTACCATGCAACGCCACCAACAGCATCGGGGCCCTTGTGGCTTCGGCTCTGCAGGACAAAAGCGAACAGCGTGCGGTACATGGAGATCGGGCGTTCCCAGCCCCCAATGACTCCACCGGCGCTGCCCGACCAGCGAACGGGGGCTCCGAAAGGTCCGGCAGCCAAGCCCTTGGTCATGTCGTAGCGCGTGCCTTCGTAGTGGTCGCGGAGCAAGTCCATGATCTGGAAAGCCTCCACGAGACGATCGGGCTTGATGGAGAACGGGTACGTGGCATACTGCGAGAAACTGCCGAGGCGAGCGTCGAGCTGAAGTGATGGAGCCAGCACGTCAAACACGCGCCACACACGACGACCAGTGTACAGTGGCCCGATGGCGTCCTTGTCGGCAAAGCCGTAGGCAGCAGTGAAGTCGAAGGGCTTGTCGCCTTTCGGGTCCCACCAGCCCATGTCCTCGGCGAGCGAGTGCACGTTGCTCGAGGCCATGAACCAGTCCGGCTGGCTCAAATCAAGTTCACGGATCGTGAACCCGTTGGCGATCACCGTCACGTGGCCGTCAGGTACGCGCTGGGCCGCCCACACGGCACCAGCGTGATCCTTGCCAGTCATAACGTGGAAGACCCAGACTTCGCCAAGCTTATCGCCCACCACGAGCGCTTCAGCCGAGTCCCCGTAGTCCGGTTTCGCCATATCGCCGCTGTCTTCGCTGTAGAAGCCGTACTCCTCAGCTAGTGAGCCCATGATATCAACGGCGCAGCGTGCGGTCGCACAGCGTTCAAGCGCGACCTTGGTGAGCTCTGCAATGCCGAACAGATTCTTGCCTCCCGGTACGTTGAGTGGCCAGCCGACGGTCTTGGCGCCGCAGGTGCTCTCGCCAATGCTGAGCTGCACCTCGTTCATCACGCCGTAGTCCTGGTCGAAGTACGCGTACGTGTGCTCCACCTGCGGGATGTAGCCCATCGGGGCCGAGTACGGTTGAGTCTCTCCAGTCTCGAGTTCGGTCACAGGCTGGTAGTGGGGGCCACGATCCGGCGCCACCACGCGCGGGTACCCACCATTGAAGTTGTAGACGGCGCGTTTGCTGCCAGGCTTGTGGTCCTGAGCTGGGACGCGAACGAGACGCAGATCCGAGGCACCGCCGCCAGCGTCGTCCGTGTGAGCGATCAACGTCGAGTTGTCCACGCTCGCGCCTCTCGTCACAGCGATGGCCGTACACGCATCCACTTGGGCCTGTTGCATCGCCATCACCGCGAGGGCCATGGCTGCCGCACAAATGCGAGACCGGAAGAGCTTCATCCTGAATGAGGTACGCGAAGGTGGAGCAGGGAAATATGTCCTAGAGGTCTGGATCGGGCCGAGTCCGACTTTGGTCGTCGAAGTGAGCAGTCCGGGCGAAAAGGAAGAGTGAGAGCTCATGAGGCCCATGCCGGTGCGATGGCTTTGGAGCCGCAACCTGGTGTAGGTGTCGGTGCCCCACAGTTCTCGAATTCAGAGCTTGAAACGGACAGACTCCATCCAGCCATCATGAAAGTCTCTCGCGACTATGCGATCGGACTGAACTAGACTTCTTCCGCCCTCGGGTTGTAGCTTCGCAGGGCTGCAACGTGAACGCCACCTCCAACGCCTCTTCACTTGAGATTGGTTCAAGTCAAACAGCGTTAACACAGGCGAGTGGTAAGACGCTCAACTGGTGGCGTGCGGCCCGTTACGCTGCGACTTGCGCGTCCATTGGCCGCTGAAGGGGCATTCCTGTGACGTGGCATGGGATCTTGGCAACGGCTGATCAGACTGGCGAGGCGGTTGGATGAACGGGCACATGCACACGAAAGAGGAGGATGAACGGCTCGTGTTACTGCACTGCTTACCAGGGGCACTCAAGAATCCAAACACTGTACATATATATCCAGGACTGGGTCCTTATCTAGTGGCGCATGCGACGGAAGCACTTGGCGCCGATATCCGCTTCGCCAGCCACGTCGCCCTTGGTGGCAGCCGAAGCCGGCTCGGGCGCAGTAGTAGCAGGGGGAGCAGTGGTGGGCTTGGGCGTCGGAGCGGGCGTGACGGCCTTGGGGGCGGGCGTCGTCTCCTCGGCCTCCTCGCTGGCGTCCTCGCTGGTCTTAGCAACGGGGGCCGTGGTGGTGGCCTTAGTTGTGGTCGAGGTGCCAGCGCCGCTTCCGGACACGACGATGTCTGCGCACGTGGGGTACGTCTGGTTGGCGATGTCCGAGTGCCAGTAGAACTGCAGCACGCAGTCGCCTGGCTTCTCGCAGCCCGAAACATCAGCGGGCATCTTGGCCGTGGTGCTGCCGTCGCCACCGTGCTCAGCGAACGGCTCGATGTTCAGAAGCTGCTTGTAGCCCTTGTACGTGATCGTGCCGGTCGAATCCTCGCTAGGCTTGAGGATGCTCAGCTTCATGAAACCCGGGTGCGGGGCCTGGATCGTCCACTTGACGTCGAACTCCTTGCCCGGCTCAAGAGTGGTGACCTCGCTGCCCTCCTCGTACACAGTGCCACGGCATCCGTTCAGAAGGTTAAACGTCGGCGACGGCGGGAAATCCTTCTGCTTGTGCTGCGAGAGACCCTCAATAGGGGCGATCTGCATCTCGTTGAGGCCGATGTTGATGAGAGCGCCCGAGTCCTTGTGGAACTTCTCCGACATCTGACGGTAAGCGGGCACCGTCATCTGACCGTGGCCCTCGACGCCGGCGAAGAGCAGAGCGGCAGTGGCTGCGAGCGAGACGATTCCAGTGGACGGCATCGTTAGGTTTGGTCTGTTTCGATGAGCTTGGCTGGATCGAAATTGAGAACTGATCGAGAGCAGAGTGCAAGGAAGACGAACAGCAAGACCGTACATGTAGACCGGTGGCTCGCCGCATGTGTCAGTGAAAGCCGTCGGGTTTTCCGTCTGGAACGCATAAACCGCGGTGATGTCGCGATTTGTGCCCGTCTTCTGTCCAGCTGGGACAGAGAGACCAGATCAAATCTACACGAATCTTGGACCACGATAGCCACTGCTCATGAGTCATGAGTCATGACGTGTTCTAATAACTAAAGGGACTGCCGGTAGAATGCCGCTGCGGGTCTGCAATGCTTGCCCAAGTGCTGCTGCGAGCATGGAGACCATGAAGCTTGCATTCTACGATCGAAGCATACATTTGTTGTAGCTTATTATATTGTACGCGTACCGAGGGTTGTACTCGATTTTAATCTTTGACGCTTGCTGTTCGCGACGTGCATCTGATCCCACCTCACCCAGGTTCTTGCGAACCATGTGGACGTGCTTGTCTTGCAACATGGCTGAAATTGCCTGAAGAGTGCCAATAGTGTAGAGATCGAGATCACTCGGCAAACTGACCGTGTATCTGTACTTGCCATTGTCACGATAGACCAGATCGACGTCGCTGTGGCCCACAATTTATCAGTGTGGAAGATCGGTACATCTGCAAGCCCAGGTAAAAATGCCATCCGTCCGACAGGATCGTTGACAGTCTTTATGGTTAGGAAGCGCTATTCCATGTACTAGGTAATACCTAACGTACACTGTACAGTCGTATCAACTCGACGCCACACAAACATCAATTCTTGGCCACGATCTAGTGGCGACGCATGCGGCGCGAGCACTTGTTCGAGTCCGCGTCGCCAGCGACAGATGACTCGGAGGTTGAAGTGCTCGGGGTCGTAGCCGCGCTCGAAGGAGCAGTCGTAGCTTCAGGGGCGGCAGTGGTGGCCGTCGGCGTATTGTTCGTCGAGGGTGAAGAGTTCTGCGCGTTGCTGCCTTCGTCCGATTCCTTCATAGTCTCCTCGCTGCCAGTATCCGACGTCTCCGTGGCCGGGGCTGTAGTCACAGTCGTCGTTGTCGATGTGCCGGAGCCACTGCCCACGATGATATCCGCGCAGGTTGGGTACGTCTGGTTGGCAATGTCCGAGTGCCAGTAGAATTACAGGGCGCAGTCCCCCGCGCTATCGCAGCCCGTCACGTCCGTGGGCATGGTGGTGGTCGTGCCGTCTTCGCCGCCGCCGTTCTGAGCGAACGGGTCGACCGTCAGGATCGTCTTGTAGTTCTTGTACGTGATCTTGCCCGCGGAATCTTCGCTGGGCTTAACGATGCTCAGCTTCATGGTGCCCGGGTGCGGCGCCTGGATGATCCACTTTACATCGAAGTCTTTGCCCGGCTGCAAGGTGGTGACGTTGTTGCCTTCCTCGTAGACCGTGCCGCGGCATCCGTTCATAAGGTTGAACGTCGCGGCCTCCGGGAAATCCTTCTGCGAGCGGCCGGACAGGTTCTCCACGGGTGCGTACTGCAGCTCCTGGTCTCCTGCCTGGGACAGTGCACCTGAATCCTTGCGGAACTTGGCCGAGATTTGACGGTAGTCGGGCACCAGCATCTGCCCATGGGCGTCGGCCGAGGCGAACAGTGTGGCCGCAGTGGCCACCAACGCGATCGAGGCGAGTGCAACGGGCTGCATCGTTTTGCGGTTGATTACTGTAACTGTGAACAGCGATAGCTTTGGCACGCGAAATCGGAAATGAGACTTCCTCTTCATGGCCTGCTTCGTGCTGAGACTCTCAGCCTGAGTGAGGCCAAGACCAAGGTCAAGTAACGAGGAATTACTCTAGCTAGGTACGGTAGTTAATTCGAATTTTCAAAAACCCTAAGTAAGTAGATTAGGAAACATGAACTTTTTAAACTATCACTATGCTACGCGCTCTGCGCGGACCTCCCACCGCAGGCTCGCTACGCTCGCTTGGACAGAACCCTTAAAAGCCCGCTTCGGCTCGCACGCGTTGCCTCTTCTTGCTAGAAGGGCAGTGCTGGGTCCTGGGTTTGCATCCGCGTGCTTCACACACGGGCTGACAAACCGCAAGCGGGGAGCTCGCTTCGCTCGCTGTGTGATGGCCTAACCTACTTACTTAAGTATAAGCAGCTCAACAATCTACTTACCATTTTACATATGGGATTTAACTACTTAAATAGAGTAATTCCTCGTCAAGTGACCTGAGCGCGGGAGCACCACGGAAAAGCGAGGCAGTGAAGAGGACAGTGCTGCGGGTGAGAAGGGGTACAGATTGGGGATCCCTGTTGAAACCTGCTTGTATCGATGAAATGTTGACTACAGGCGTCCCCGGGCTAGTCCCGGCTGTATATTTTAATGTACCTCGCACAGGAAGTACAACAAGCTCTCAAGATTTGCGCGCTACTTCTGCAAGCATATTGATTTAGATGAGTGTACATCGAGACCTACTGCGACAAGTGGCACGTTGCGGGAATACCTCCAGTATTCATGAGCTAAGCTTTTAGTAAGTCAGTACATACTCATTTATGTTCAGACCGCGTGAATCTTGATGATTCGCAAACATCATAAGTACCACTGTGGCGAATAGGCCGGGGACGCCTGTAATGCGCCCAATGCGGGAAGTGAGGAATTTCCATAAATCAGTGATTTTCACTGAGATTTGACAAAATGATTGTGATAGTTTGCCTGAATTCACTGATGCAGCATCAGTAGTATCGTACTAGCGAGTCTATACAATTTGCAAGTCAAATGTAGACCTATAGTAATACTAGAAATAGTACATGTAGATAGCATGTTACCTACTACAAGTAGTACTACATAATATAGTATCACTGTCGATGTTATTAATATATACTCCGGTAGCTACGGTACAGTAGACAGGTGACCCCTTCCTAGCGGTTACGGTGTGGGATGCTCGCAACTACCAGCCACAAACTGGGTTCCAGTGTGGGGCTTGCTGCGTTTAGTGCCTTTTTGGTGGTTATACTTTTTGCACTATACAACTCGTCTGGTGTTCTGCACAAACATTAAAGCAACTTTATTCGTTGGTCGTCTCGACGATGAAGTCCGCGATGTCTGGCGCCCTGTGGTTCGGCACCGCGGCCACCACCGCATACCTCGTGGCATAGTCCACGGCTGCCACCACATACCGGTTGCCCTTGTCCGTCACCGGCAGCGGGCCTGCTACATCCGGCGCCCAACGATCACCAGCATCTCCCACGCCCTGACTCCGCAGCGGAGGGATCACTTCCTTCGCCATCGCCTTCCTCGTACCGCAGTCACGGCAAGACTGCACCCATCGTCTCACCCACGCCCGCATATCCGGCCACCAGTAGTTAGCTGCAATCTTAGTGTAGGTTTGAGGTGTTTGCAGATGACATGCGAAGATCGAGTCGTGGTTCTCGCGTAGGACCTTTGCCCACAACGAGGACGGTAGCACGACACGTCTGCAACCGTCTCGCTCGTAGATGTAAACCAGCTCGCCCTCGACTCCTACCCGCCGATCGCCGTGTTTCCCCTTGTTCTTCAGGTTCTGCACCGTCTTGTCCTTCGCCTGCTCCTCGGCGATCTCGCCGTCAGTCAGCTGCCCTTCGCCTCATATTGCTCTTTCGTTCGCACCTCTACCAGCCACCGTTCGTACTGGTGCCCTCGAGAGAGCGTCTGCGACCACGTTATCCTTGCCAGGGCGATAGACAATCTCAAAATCATATTCCTGTCGTTGTAGTGCCCACCGGTGCACTCTACCCGTGAGGTCCTTTGAACTCATAAGCCACTTCAGCGCGGCGTGGTCCGTCACCTGTCGGAACCGCCGTCCGTACAGGTACGGGCAGAACAGCTTGACGGCCCAGATCACTGCCGCACACTCGAGGTCGGTAATGCCATACTGCGCCACGTCCTTCGAGTTGATCTTCGATGCGTACGCTACGGGTTGCTCGCCCTGCCCTTGGTCCTGAGTTAACGCCGCTCCGAGTCCTACCTTCGAGGCGTCTGTCACCAACGTGAATGGTCGCGAGAAATCAGGATAGGCCAGCAGCGGCCGCTCCGTCCGCGCCCGCTTCAAGCATTCAAACACCTCTTGCTGGGGCTCAGCCCAGCGCCAAACCACTCCCTTGCGCAACAACAGCGTCATCGGCGCTGCTTTCGCCGCGAAGTTCGGCACGAATCGTCTGTAGTACCCCGCCATGTGCACGAAGCTCTTCACCGCGGCCGCGTCCTTCGGCACGGGGAAGTTCACCACACTCTCCACCAAGCTCTCCATGGGGCGCACCCCGTTCTTGTTCAACTCGTGGCCCAAATACTCCAAGTGCTCCGTCGCGAACGAGCACTTCTTGGCCTTCAGCGACAGCCCCGCGTTGCTCAGACGCTCCAACACCATCGCCAGCTCGACGACGTGCTGGCCTACGCCTCCTCTAGAGAAGACGATAACATCGTCTAGATAAACTAAACATGTTTGCCACGTTAGCCCTCTCAACACCGCGTCCATCATCCTTTGAAGGATCCCTGGTGCGTTTGCCAACCCAAATGGCATGCGCAGGAACCGAAACAGTCCTTGCCTCGTCACAAACGCGGTCTTGTCACGGTCCTTGGGCGCCACGGGTACCTGCCAATACCCGGCGTGGAGGTCCAAGCTCGTGTACCGCTTCGCACCATGTAGATTGTCCAGGGTGTCGTCGATCCTGGGCAAGGGGTAGACGTCACGCTTCGTAACAGCGTTGAGCATTCTGTAGTCAATACAGAAGCGCACTGATCCGACCTTCTTATTGACTAATACGACTGGGAACCCCCAAGAGCCATTGCCCACCTCGATGACCCCGTCGCGCAGCATGCCCTTCACTTCCTTATCAATGATCTCGTGCTCACTCTGCGCGTACCGCCGCGGCCTCACTTTAATCGGCGGCTCGCTGCCCGTATGTATCTCGTGCTCCACCGGCAGCGTGGTCGCCGGTGGGCATCCCGTTCGTGGATCTAGCAGCGCTGGGTAGTGCCGCAGCAGCTGCAACAGCAGCTCCTTGTCCTCGGCGCTCATGCGCCCGATCTTCAACTCGTCCTCGTTGCCCAGCGAACCCGCGTTGCCGAACTTTTTGTCCAGCGATCGCTTGACCTTGTCGTTCGTCAGCTCGCCGTTGAGCTCCATCACCGTCATGTCATCACTCGTAGGCGCCCACGTTCCTAGTACCTCGCGTGATGGGAGCTTGGTCGTCGCCCCGACCAGGTTGAGCACGGGCACACCGACCTTGCCCCCGCGAACTGACGTCAGCGTCGGCGCCATTAGCAGGTTGCCCTTGCTCCTTGGCTTCGGCATGAAGATACCCACAGTCCCTTCGGGTGCCGCCACCACCACCGTTACGTTACGGCACGTATGTGCCTGCATTCGCGCTTTCTTCACCAGCCGCACCTTCGCCGGTCGCTCGTCATACCGCTCTGCCTGCGAACACGTGAACGGCACCACCTTCTTTTCCCCGCTGTCGTATCGCTTCATTCGCATGACACGAAGTCGATCTTGACTCCGCGCCTTAACATCCAATCCTCGCCTAAGAGGAACTCCGTGGTTGGGCCCTCGACGATGAGCGCGTCCACCTCCATGATCTGGCCGTACTGCGTCCGCATACGGAACCTCCACACGCCTTGAACCTTGGCAACAGCGCCCGTAAAGCCTTCTACGTAGTCGACTGGCGGCAGCGCGTCCAGCCGCTCGCCGAGTCCACACCACGCTTCGCCAGCAACACTATACTGGGCACCGGTGTCCAGTTTGATCCTCTCGTCCTTGCCCCGGACTTTGACCCTCGCGGTAGAGAGTGAGTCCACCGCTGGGGCTTGCACTGCTCGCAGACGTCCGATGCGCACGGGTCGCTGTTTTCCCTCGACTCGCCCCTCGCGCGGATGCGCGTATACGCTCCCACTGTGACATTCATACTGGTAAACACCCCTCGACCGCTGCACCTTTGTCGCGCCTGGTAGCGCGATTCCAATCGCCTCCGCCTCGTCTTGGCGCAGCACCCGGGGCGCGCCCTTCCCGCACCTCCGAAAGTACTCCTCCATCACATAGTAACCGCCATCGGGCCTCTTCAGGCGGTCCAACTCCTTGCGTAGAGCGCGCAACTCCTTGGCACGGGCCTTGCGAACTCGTCGCTCGTATTGTCGCCTCGTTCGTGACCTCTGTAGCTCCGTGTCGCCCACCACCGGCGCGGCTTCTTCGTCACCAGTATTCACGCGGCTGGCCAACACCGCGGCTCGCTGCTCAGCATCCTTGCTCGTGGCCGTCTCGCCTACTGCTGTCATGACGATACCGCCCTGCGCCTCCTGCGCCACCGTGCCCGTCGCCTCACTGACTGCACGCCCATCTCCGAGTCGCTCTCCCTCCGCACGTCGCTCACGCCGCACGCGCGTGCTCCAGTCGTGCCTGCCGCTTCCGATGCTGTCGCTCGAGTTCTGCGGCCATCGCGTCTTCTTTCGCCGACTTCTGGGCCTTGACGAGCATCACCTTGCCCGCCGTCACGTCGCCCGACTTCATCTCCGTCTCAATAGCCGCCTGCAGAGCGTCCGACGTGCCGCCGTCGTCCTCCGCGGTCACGTCCAGCTGCGCACCTTCCGACTCGCCACCGGGGTTCGTGGCCTTGGCCTCGCCGTCCAAGTCTTCCGTCTTCGTCTCGTCCATCGCCTCTCGTCCATCGCCATCGCCAGCAATTCCTCGACCCTAGCCGCGATTTCTCCACGATCCTGGTCATCGCCTGCCACACCCGGCGCCACCCCAGCATTCCTCCCCATGCAGGCGCCACTCGGCGTTGGTACCGCGTCGAACTCCAGGCCACCGTCGAACACCATGCTCCTCTCCGACGCGTGCTTCGCCATACTCTCCTTCTCGTCGGCCAGTAGCGCGGCCGCTGCTGCCGGCTTGGGGCCCTCGCGTGTTTCCTGGCCGTTGCCCTTGGTCTCGGAGTCCACGAACCTCACGCTCCTCTTGGCCTCGCCGCCATGGGACGGCCACGTGCCCTCTTTCGCCTGTCGCGCCGCGTCACCTCCACTACAAAGCCGTTCATTGCATCGACTGCGCGGAAGCGCTAGTGCGGCGCGCACGGCGCCATCCCCAGTCTCGAACCCCCCGCGCTGCTCAATACGCGCCTTCGCCTTCTTGCCACGCCGTTCTCGCGGTCTGTTGCCGTGCCGTTCTCTTCCCTGCGCAGGCCGTTGTAGTCCACCGGCCACTTGCACACTTCGTTCATCTCGTTCTTTCCCCGGATCAGGACTAGCGAGCGATAAGGCCGGGGCCCTTATGCTCGCTGCACATTTCCCGACCCGTCGGCCGTTGTCGTCGTCGTGTCCTGGGTGGACGCGGCTGCATGCGCCGCCAGATCTTCCTTTCGTACGTCGCAGTCCCGCGAGTAGTGGCCTGCCTTACCGCACCAGTAGCAGTAGTCGTTCGGGCGGGCCCCGAAACCACCTGTCGTCGTTCTCCGCACGTACTGCTCATTCCGCTGAAGCCGCCGTTCCCGCGTAGTGAAGGAGGGATCGGGTAGTCGTCCTCCTGCTCCTAGCTGGCCGCCCCCAATGTGGCCCTCGACCTTCAGCGCCTTGCCCGGACGCCTCACGAACTGGTCGCCGCCACCTTGACGCTTGCCGCGCCATCCACTTTGTTGCTGTACGGACGTCTGTTGGACGCCGGCACCAGTTTGAATTTTTGAACTGTTCGCCGCTGACCCCTGATTGGTTGGCACCAGCTGAAAGCCAGGTGGGATAGCCTTCCACCACTCGTCCAAACTGGCTTTACCGTTGCTTACCGGTCTCCCCTCAGTATCATAGCGGGGTGGCTTCTGGACATTACCCCACATCGGGCCATAGCCCGTCACCACAGTCCCCTTGTTTCCGCTCAGCCCAGTTAGTTCCTGGTCTCGTGCCGCTCTCGCCGCTGCCAGAGGCACGCGCCCACTGGCGCTTTCGCGCTCGTCCCACGCGGCCATGGCCTCCTCCAGGCCCACGCCGTATCCCTCACCGTAGTCTCCCACATGCGGGATCGCCAGGTTCACTGCGTCGTCCAAGTTCCTGGGGCGATGGCCGCGCACGTGTGTTGCGCCGATCGTGCTACTCATCCCCTTCAAGAACGAGTTGACGAGCCACACCTCGCCGATGTCACCCTGCTCGGCTATCTCGCGCAGCGACTGCGCGTATTCCAGCAGTCGCTCGCCGCGCATCTGTCGCCGCGAGTGCAGCAAGTCCATGACCTCCGGCCCCGTCCTGCGCGTCATGTACTTCGCGCGTAACATGTCCGCCAGCGTGCCGATGCTCTCCTCCGACTCGGGCACTGTCTCCATCACGGTGGCGAACAACCGCTGCGCCTCTCCCTCCAAGTGTGCAGCCACCTCATGGTAGAGCTGCTTCTCCTGCCACTCGACTCCCATCGTCACGGCTTGGCGGCGCACTTCTGCTCGGACGGTCTTCAGCCACATCGTCACGGGCATGGCGTCGTCAAGGCCCTTGAACTTCGTCAGCTTAAGCGACTTGGCCTTCTCGCGCACCACGATCGGCTGGCTTGGTACCCTCGCCGGCATCGCTGAATCCGTCGTCGCCGCTGGCACCGTACGCCGAGGTGGTGGGGTCCACGCCGGCCCCGAACCACCGTGATCTCCGTCGTTCCTAGATGCCGTGACAGCTTGGGCCACGCCAGCTCCAAGCCCACCAGTGTTGTTGCCAGCGCCACCGGTGCCTTGAGTGCCACCGCTACGCTGCTCGCGCTCTTCTCCTGCAGCGGGCACTCTCCCAGCCACAGTCGTCCACTGCCAGCGGCTTGGCCATTGCCGCCGCGGCCATCGCCGCCGCCACCGCGGATTTCGCCTCCGTCGTGTTCGTCGTCCATGCCTCCGAGGCTCGCGCTTACTCCCGCTCCAAGTGGTGTGCTGCCCGTCGACTCCCGAATCTCCTCGGTGCTCAGCGTGACCGAGCCGCCTGTGTTCGTGTCCAACGTCCTTGCTGTCATCTGCTTCGCTGCTTGTTGTGTCCTTTCGATAGAAGCGGCGCGCCTCTCCGCGCGCTCGTCCCGTGGGGTGTTACTCGTCGCTGTCGTCATTTCCGCAGACTCTAATAGCGGTAATAAAATCAAAGTTAGCACTCCATTCTCATCCAAACTCATCCTTTCTAATATCGTCCATTTATCCAGTGCGGATCGCTCATCCAGGGCCTCCTCATCGCCACTGACACCAAGCCCGCAGGAAGCCTCGAACACTCCTGCTCGGAAGGCGCCTGTCATGACCACCATGTAGTTACGTCCGGGCCTCTCCCGGGTTAGATCATCAACTAGAGCCCGCCGCGTCCGGGCAACTAGCATCGCCAACACCCGCCTCGTTTGGGTAACTAGCTTAGAATCACATCCTCAGAACTGTTCGTGGCCTGGCCACCTAGGCATCGGGTACTCACCGCCGGGTCGGGGCTGAGCGTTCCACCAGTTAAGACTGGCCCTTTCCCCTTGAGGGTCCAGGATAGAGACGATGAGGAGGGAGCACTAAGCGACCACGACCTGGGAGCGACCGGGCTGCTCCCCGCTATTCCCTATGAAATATGTAACGGGCCGCCGTGCGTCGCCCTGCACGAGCCACCTGGCCCGCACGGTACATTCGCACACCCAGACCCCTCGGCCAAGGCGCCAACTATAGGCACCGCGGCCCCCGCAGTCTCTCTCTACGGTCCTCTAGCACTCTACTGTCCGGCCGTCCCCGCCGTTCCCAGCGAACGGGTCGATGTTCAGAAGCTGCTTGTAGCTCTTGTACGTGATCGTGCCCTTCGAGTCCTTGCTAGGCTTGAGGATGCTCAGCTTCATGAAACCCGGGTGCGGGGCCTGGATCGTCCACTTGACGTCGAACTCCTTGCCCGGCTCAAGAGTGGTGACCTCGCTGCCCTCCTCGTACACAGTGCCACGGCATCCGTTCAGAAGGTTAAACGTCGGCGACGGCGGGAAATCCTTCTGCTTGTGCTGCGAGAGACCCTCAATAGGGGCGATCTGCATCTCGTTGAGGCCGATGTTGATCAGCGCACCCGAGTCCTTGTGGAACTTCTCCGACATCTGACGGTAAGCGGGCACCGTCATCTTGCCGTGGGCGTCAGCTGACGCAAAGAGAGTTGCAGCGGTGGCCACAAGGGCAACAGTGGCGAGTCCAGTTGGTTGCATGGTGTCGTTTCGCTGTTCGGAGAGATTAACAGGATAGCTGCTGCACGTGAAAAGTAGGAATGAACTTGTGGCTCGAGGTGAGGGGGGAGGGAGAGAAAAGCGCGGCAATGAACGACACCGGATACTGTAGTAACCTTCAGTTAGCGCTTTCCGAAGGTTACCGGTACATGCGTACACTGTATATGCTGTTCCCCGCCACTGCAGCCCAGGTGGTGCTTAAGATTGGTCGAGTGTTCCTGTTGTTCGTTACATGGGCGGCTTACTTGTTGAAGGGCAGCCCTCACTTTACCTTTTACGTAAAATGCCGGCAATTCCTTGGCTGTCACTACACATACGAGTTATCGGGTCTGTCAGCTCGGTCTGGAAACAGCTCCGATGAGATTTTTAAGCGGCCGTGTCATGTCACTTGACTGTACTACTACTGAAGGGTTCGAGAGAGCTATGTTCCGTACGCGATGGAAACGGTGAATTTGGTCGTGGTGTTAAATTTGCTTTAAGTAAGAGGGCGGCTTTGCTGTAGGTAGCATCGGTGCTTCAGTGCAAGATCGCAGTTTTAGTATTCGTTGAGCTTGCTTCCAGGCGTTGACTGCACTTGCACAGCTTGGGATTTCATAACGAGCGGTCCTGTACCGTCGGCACAAACTGCTAGACCACTAAATCAACCGCTGCGTAGAAGCGCAGGCTTCTCGCACACTCTGAAACCTGAACGCGCCGATCTACGATAGGAGAAGTTCAACAACTCGTGTACTGAAGAGCTTCTGTGGGCCAACGACGCATTGTACATCCATTCGTAGATTGCCAATCAGTACACTGCAGCAATCGCTTCTATCAGCTTGGATGCCAGTTCGTCGTGTGTCGGCAAATCGGGGTTGGCTCGCGTCTGCTGCAGCAGGTACAGCCCCTGTTCGTCCAGTCCCTGAGGCGAGTGTCCTGGCGGCTGCAGTTGATGGGGCAGCACCACGTAGTCGCTGTTGACGTCGCAGATTTCCATCATCGTGTGTGCCACCTGCTTCCAAATCTGCTTCAGTCCTCGTAAGACGCCGGCAATCACGTGAGGGTTGACAACAGCGTGGGCCCGCGTGTCGGGGTGGCGATGGCGCGGGGGTGACGCGAAGAGAATCCGAAGGACGTTGTCGGACGGGTCCTCTTCAGCGGGCTCCACAATTGCCAATACTTCGATCTGTAACATTCAAACAAACATTATGATGAGATACAACAACTAGAGGAATTCATAACAGTCCGCATATAACGCACCGAAAACTGAGATCCTTCAGGCAGCGCGGGAACGAAAAGCTTCATACCAAATTCCAGACGTCGCAGCTTCGAAGGGCGGGGCTTCAAGTCACGAGCCTTCGCCTCCTTGCTCAGGCCGGACGGCGGGCGCTTTTTATCCCGACCCAGCAACAGCGGTTGAGATCCGCCGACGCTTTGAATGAAGCTTCCCTTCTTGTCTCCTCGGCCACTCTCAGTTCCAATGTGTCCTCTCTTCTCTCCTCGACTGCTGTCTGTGCTGTGGCTTGTCGTAGACAACGGAGGTCCTTCACTCCGAGTCTTCACAAGGGCGTAGTACTGGAAATCCTCCACCGTAGCCACTTCAACACCGGGGATTCCGCTCAACTGCATCTGGAATACCTGCTTGCGAATAAACCCATGGGTCCGTTCGCGAGATTGGCCAGGGGCCACAATAGCGCGCCAAGCACTGACGTCTACCTCCATGGTACCGCTGTCTGGGTGGGCAGGGCGGAAGAACGAACACGCATCCGATAGCAAAGCCTCGAAAAACAATGCAGCGGAGACCTTGCTGCCCATGTTCTCCTCCAGCACTTGGGCAAATTCCTCTGGGATGCTTTCGAAGAACGGCGTAGCAGTCGCGGCTGTTATCGGGTTCGGTGATAGGACTCCGCGTGAAGATGTCTGTCCACGACTGAACGGTCTCCACGGTAGCTGGAGAGGCAACGTGCTGAGGCTGTCAGAGGGGGAACCTGAGTCGCTAATGGCAGAAATGAGCCCCTTCATCACTTCGAGAGCGAATGCGCGAGGCAAAAAGGCCAAGTCAGGCTTGACACGCAGATTCTCTCGCATCCCGCGCTCGGAAGACGCGTCCAAATCGCCACTCGCCGCCAAAGCGACAGCGGTATCGGTAGTCGTGGCGCTGCTGGGTGGGTCAGCGCCCAAAAGCGATCCACGTCGCACAACCGGTGGGGAAGCGAATTGCTGCCTCATGTCCTTGTCTTGCAGCAGCTTCATCAGTGTGACGCAACTGCTACGAACACCTTCCAGAGCACCGTGCTCGATCTTTTCCTTGAGCATCGTCTTGCGCGAAAAGACCACGCCTGCTCGCCACCGGATTTGGAGACTTGACTTCGCCCCCGCAGCTTCCGCTTGCTTGTCGGCTGTACGCTTCTCGATCGATGAGAGAATAGTGGTCATAGTCTTGTTCGTCGAGCTGCTCACTATGTTCTGTATATCGTCGCTAATAGCTGGAACATCCTCGACATCGACGAGCACCTCAATAGAGAAGCAGTTGCTGTACGGAACGCTGAGCGTGTAAATCTTGGACCGGAGCGTGGCTTTGTGCGGTTCCTTTCCGTGGTTATCATGGGTATAATCGTCCAGCGAGTCGTCGTCCACCGTACAAGAGTGATATTGCTCAATGCTAACAGCTTTCATACTGTTGGGCATCGCGTTCTTCGAGAAGATTCTGCTGCTGCCTGAAGCCGAAACATTAGGCAGCGCGCTAGCCTCCGGGCGGTAACTGAGAGCGCGCACGAGGCCAAATCGTGGATGTGAGTGCCAGTCGCGAAGTATTTCTTGTGTCCCCTTCTCCCCAGTGGTGTTGGTTTTCCCAGCGGAAGCAGCGGAAGATCCAACCGGAGCAGACTGGACAAGAGTGGCCTTGTCCATCTTACACTTCAACCGCGTAGCACGCGGCACTATCATCTCCAGGAACTCACTCACGCTGGTACCCGGAATGGTTGCTGTCATCAGTTCCGTCATGTCACTCTCGGGCATCTCCAAGAACGGAGCGCCTGCACTTGCGTCCACAGCAGCTTCGAGCCATGGCAAACGAACGTCGCCATGATCCCATCTCGTAAGCATGGGTGCTTGGAAAGCGGTACCCTTGGCCTGGATCACTCCTCCCGTCAAATGAGGCGACGTCTGAGCTCTGGCCAACACCCGAGACGCCGATGACGAGGCCGAGTGGTCCGCTGCCGCCGACATCAGCGCTGTCAAGTCCGAGCCGTATATCAGGCCAATGGCGTGGTCGAACTGCTTGGACAGGAACACGCCACGCTTGCGAGGCGCCCCGTGGCCGCTGCGATCATGGTCACTTGGCGAGTCCTCGTCCACATCGAGGGTGTTGCTGCTGCTGTTACTCCTGCTGGTCGGGACGGCCTGGTGCGCGAAGCTGGTGGAGCCCGGCTTGTTGGCCAGCCACATGCCCTTGCCGAACCTGGCCGAGCACAAGATGAGGTACACCTGCGGACTGCAGGCCCCGACTCCTTTGTCCCCGGGCCGCTGCAGCACGCGGAAGGCCTCCCACGCGTGCAGCTTCTTGCTGGCCGCGATGATTTTCTGCACGATGTTCTGGCCAATGTACCTGTGCGTGGCCGCGGCCCGGAACCCCCAGTGGTGGGTCTTGCCGCGCTCCACGTGGAACAGGCACGACGCGTTGGGCTTGCTCGTGAACATGAGCTTGCGGTGCTGCGTGGCCCGCAGGAAGTAGCCCGTGGCCGGGTCCATGAGGTACACGGGGGCGTCGGCCACGCTGCGGCCGAACACGTGGTCCTTCAGGCTGCCCTTCACCTGCTCGTAGAGCGAGCTGCCGCTTGTGCTGGACGACACGACCTCGGGCCGCTGGCTGCTGAGCCCGAGCGGCCGGCTGAGCGTGGCCCGGCCGTTCTGCGGCCAGCGCTCGCTGAAGGCCTTGAAGAGTTCGGCCCGCGCGGCGGCCAGCGCCTCGGCCGGCGTGAGCTGCTGCGTCTGGGCCTGGCGGCCGATGGCCAGCACGGCGGCCAGCGTCTCCCAGACCTGCGCGAACAGGCCCCAGCCGCGGCCCTCGGTCACGACGGTGATGGACACGAGCGCGGGCAGCAGCGCGAAGAAGGCCAGGGGCACGGCCGGCGTGCTGGCCACGGCGTCGCTGAGCCGCGAGGCCCCGAGCAGCAGCACGCCGCTCGTGCCCAGGGACAGCAGCAGCAGCGGCACCTTGGACGCCATGTTGCGAAACTGAAGAGCTCCGATCTCTTTGACTTGAAATGTGTATGGGCTGTGAGAACGCATACGTTTTGTGACGTCACTCAACTGCGAAACATTATCGATTACGCCCGCGAAGATTGCTCCGTCGATTGCTCCAACGATTGTCGTTCGAGACCGCGTTGCTTCACGTGGTCAGGAGCATCGAGAGCCTTGATGCTCGCTCTTTTCACGAGGTCTTGGCAAGGTGTTGTCAGGTACCAATTCAAATTGCATTGCTGCAACTGCGAGGCAGGCAGTAAAACCGAAGTGAACGCTAATAACAAGGCGGCTGGGGGTTCGCTCCCTGGTTTGGGCAACGCGACTGAAAGTGCAGGTGAGCTTCGCCATGACGTTGGGCGTGGCATGGAGTCGCGCTGTTGTAGTAGTAGAGGCTAGCACTGTAAGAACTGCGTGTTGTTTTGCGTTGCGGGCCAAGGCCACTTCGACGGAGCACGAACTACACATTTTGTTGGATTGAATACACGGCAAATACTGCCGTGGGTATACAAATCCTTACCACCGATATGGCAGATTTTCAAGTCGCATACCGATAGTAACGATTTTTACCACCCTAGAACACGAGCAGCGAGCTTCGACGCAACCTGTGTCAGACGATGGTCTTGATTTTAGCTATTGTGCATCGCAATTTTTCGGTCTTGACGCGCTACGAGTGACGTTGAGCTCCTGCTTCGCAGCGAATGGATGTAGATACTTAGTACATGAACATGTTGTGCTCGACCCGTACGTATCGTTGGATAACTGAGCAATCCAACGACCTATAATCGCTCCTGTCCATTTTGCTGGCGATGGTGTGCACTCAATCAACCGGCCAACTTCAACAACGGGTACTGTTGCGAAAGTGTAGCCATCCGGCTTCAACTTCAGGACATTAATCCAATCGCTTCAAGTTATGAACGTTTGGCCCCTTGTATCGATACTGTAGCGACGGCAAGGCAAAAACCCGTTGGACTTGGTCCGATTTGCATCACGTTGAAGTGCTCTGCGGCACCACCGCTTTCAGCGACATGGCAAAGCCGAAGCTCACGACGAACCTATTTTCTTGTCGGCTGTCGCACCAATTCGCAGAGTGGCTGCAGCTTACCTTAACGAGGCCGTACTGCGGTGTCGGGCGGTTGTATACACCACCCTAGCAACGTTATCGGCGCATCGTTGGTCATCCTCATTCTCGAAAAACACAGCTACCCAGCAAGTCCACTCCAAAGCAACTCGCTATGAACATCCAAGCTCTTCTCCTGGTCGCGGCTTCCATGACCGCTCGCGCCTCCGCCGAGTTCACCGTCACCTCCGGAACCACCGAAGCCGCCACCTCCACCTCGGAGAACGCGGCCTTCGTCAAGCAGTGGACGCTGAACGCGGCCAACTCCGCCGACACCATCGACTCCATCGACCTGGACCTTGCCGGTCGCGTGTACGTGAGCTATGTGAGTGGCCTGCCGAGCGGCGTGCTCGGCTACGTGAACGTGACAGGCGACTCGCAGACGGTGGTCGACGCAGTGACGGTGAGCAACGACGACGACAACGACAATGACAATGACGACAATGACACGAACGACACGGACGGAGAGCTCAACGTCCGCATCGGCAGCAGCACGACCGCCGCTACGACGCTCAGCGGCTACCTGCTCACGGAGATCTTCTTGGCGTCCACCGGTGTCGTCACGGACGTCAAGAGCCAGCGGTCGGCCCAGGTGGTCGTCGAGGACGGCGTGCTGGTGTCGAGCAGCACCACCGCGGAGCTGCAGGTCGAGGCGAGCGGCTCCAGCGCCGTGTACGTGTCGGCGGCCAACACCGACGTGAGCGTGCGTCAGCTGCAGCTGGAGGCGGCCGGCACCTCGAAGATCGAGTTCCATGTCAAGAGCGTGTCGGTGACCGAGCTCGAGCTGGAGACGCAGGGCACCGGCACTATCTGCACCAGCGCGGAGACGGTCACGGCCACCAACTACCAGGGCACGGACGCCAGCCGCATCTCGATGCCCAACACATCCAGCAAGTACGACTCCACGGGCTCGTTCGCGTGTGACGTGTCCAGCGTCCCTGCGCGCGAGCCTTCATGCGTGTCGAGCGCCTGTGCTTCGTCGTCGACTTCGGGCACGACGGTGGGCACGGCCGGCAGTGGCACGTCGACGTCCGCCACGGTGACTTCGGCTCCTACGACGACCACGGACGATGACGACAATGCCAGTGATGACACCAACGCGTCCTCCACCCCTCGCCTCGCTGCGCTGGCGGCCGCTACGATCGGTGTGGTTGCTGCCAGTCTGCTGTAGACAGCAAATGATATAAGCATGAAGAAGAGCAGCGCTACATTTATGCGTAAGGGTTCTTTAGCGACATGGCTTCCCACTCATAAGCTTGCACTTTTCGAGCGGAAATGCTCTTCGCAAGGTTCACACTTGCAGAATTACTTCTGAACACAGTTGGAGATAACGAGTTGGTACCGATGCAGGATTCAACAGCACCTTTCTTGAATTCTTAGATTCGACTCTATGAATCTTTCTATGAATCTTCATGAATCTTCTATAGTATCGGATACAGATATTTAAATTATGTATAATATATTAATAATACGTGTACTTATCTTATCTTCGGCTGCTTGCACAAGAGAAACCTAAATGGAAAGCCCTCAAGCGGGCAATTGTCGCCGCACTGCCGGCGAAGAAGGACCCAACGTATGCGGACACCACCTTATGCCGTCGACTAGCAAAGCTGAGCCTAGCGACAGCATAGTGTGGCAACGCGAAAACGTAATACATTACATTACATTATCTTATTATGGATAGTCTCTCTACTTCTTCACGCTGACCAATTTTTCGTGTCAGAATACCCGCGCGCCGAGCTTGCACGACAAAAATGCGGAGTCATCCAGACTCTTAGTTCAAAAGCAAGAGGGCTTCCCCTCCTGTCTGGGAACCTTACAGCCTGTACCATCGCCATCGCCGATGGCGAATTGCCGATGGCCCAACGGCAATTCGCCAGTCCAAGGTGAACCTATTCGACCTCAATTCATTTACAGCATCATGTTGCTCAACCATGTGTGTAATCAGGTGGCTCGCAGCTACGGTTTTAATCGCGATTTGAAGTTGGTTTGACTTCGAGTTCAAATAGCAGTGGTGGATGCCGCTATAGATACACTAGTAATGTACAGCTGCCATCCTAAGGTTTAGCCGTACGGAGACTGCAATGCATGCGGACGAGCATGCCTGTCTTCCGGCCTTTGGTGGCTACACGTACGAGTCGTAGCCTATGACTGCTTCAACGAGGGCTGACCGGCTCTCGAGCAGCACATCTTGTGCAAACAGCAACCAAAGCATGACCTGGTCTTGTAGCCAGCAGCAAAGCCAGGTTTCCGCTCCTACCTGCACAGCTCAAGACCAATCCTGGCAGCTCCATGCAGCGCACTAGGGCAAACCAATGCTCCAGCAGTACATGTAGAGCAGTGTACGTGAAAATCTCATTGCTGGGTCAGCTTCATTCTTGAATCCGCGGCCTACCCGACAAGTCAAGTCACTCCTCCACCGTCCAGCCCCGACAACATGAAAGTGAGCAGCTTCCACGCTCTTCTCCTCGCCGCGGCCTGCTTGAGCGCTCAAGCCACCGCCGACTTCAAGGTCACCCCCGGTGCTACCATCAAGGCGGCTACCTCGAAGAACGTCAACTTTGTCAAGCAATGGACCCTGAAGGCCAGCGCCACCACCAAAACGATCGACTCGATTGACCTGAGCCTCGCCGGCAACGCTTACATCAGCTACGTGAGCAATCTCCCCACCGGCGTGATTGGCTACGTGAACGTGTCGGGCGACTCGCGCGCTGTCGTCAACGCTGTGACTGTGAGCAAGGATGTCGACAACGACCTGGACAACGACAATGACCTCGACGATTTGTTCGACAGCGACAACGACAAGGGAGGAGAGCTCAACGTTTGGCTCGGCAACAAGGCCACGAGCGGCTACCTGCTTACCGAGATCTTTTTGGCCTCCCCGGACGCCGTGACGGACGTCAAGAGCCAGCGTTCGGCCAGCGTCGTTATTGAGGACGGTGTGCTCGTGACGGAAGGCAAGCGCGCGAAGCTGCAGATTGACGCGACCGGCTCGAGTGCCGTGTACGTCTCGGCCCCTGAGACCGCTGTGAACGTGCGCCAGCTAAGCTTGGAGACGACGGGCTCCGCTAAGATTGAGTACAGCGTTGAGAGCATCAACGCTCGCTCTGAGTTCCAGTTGGACGCGCAGGGCTCTTCGAGCATTACTGTGCTGTCCTCGGCCGTGAAGACCCGTCAGCTTGAGCTGGACGCCGTGAAATCGAGCAAGATCTGCATTAACGCGGCAGAAGTGGGGGCGACGTGGCGCGACATCCAGGGAAAGAACAAGATCTCCATGTCCCCCGACGCGGCCAAGAAGCACGGTACTACGGGCACCTTCGCCTGCAAGGAATCCAAGCTCCCGGTGCGCCAGGCGGCTCTGATTACGGGCCCGACCTCCGTTGATATCGACGACCTCGACGATGACCTTGACAACGACCTGAACGATTCCACCGAGGACTAAGTTCTTTGCCAAGTTCGCAGTCTGATTTAGCTCGCATCACTTCACATTGAGCGAAATTGCTTCAAGACTCGTAGCCATTTAAAACAATATGATTACCTTTTGTGATGATGTTGATTTTCTTTGGCCGAACTATTATAATTGAACTCTTTCGTTAGGGTTAGCTTGCCAACAAAATCGTGCTTTATGCGGAAGTACATGCGCATGTGGCGAATCCGATTATTGGGGAGATCGCTCATTGCTTGCTTATGACTGTCTTTCAATAGAATACAATTGCAACCACAGAATGCGAAGGATACACACCCCTCAAAACACACCCGGACTTAACTAGTAAAAGCAATGATTCTTCATGACATGCTTCATGACACGAAGTGCAACATATATTGTTTGGGCTGGGAATGGGTTCTTGCATTGTACTTCTCGACGTAAGGGACCTTGAAGATGCCACCGATATGATGTCGAACCTTGATTGCCAGCTCGATAAGCCCTAAGGGCTTGGTCGGGGATGATCGTCTCAGTCTCGCTCGTCTCCGGTAAGCCTACCCCTAAGGTGAACCGAGCCGATGTGGTCGGTTGGCTGGAGACCGTCTTAGTTTTGGTGTGTCAAGCTGCTCGACTCAGCACCATCATACTCGAGAACTCGCAGCCATGGAAGGCACCCTTACTACTCCACCTGTGGGCGGCGCTGAAGCTGAAGACGCTGCTGAGAGAAGCGTAAGCGGCACGGACACCAACGGGAGTGGCGTCGAGAGGGCACCCCCGCATGGTGGAGGCCGTGGTGGTCGCGGGGCAGGTCGCGGTGGTCGTGGAGGACGAGGAGCTTCGACCAGGCCAGCTGCATCATGGAGCGATGATGATATGAGCGCGTTCTTTCGCCTCCGTTACGCAGAGTTAGCTGACAACTTCAAGAACACGAAGGACACCAAGCGCATCAAATATGCGTCGGCCGTCTTAGCATCAACACTCTCTGTTAACCAGAGCAAAGTGTTCACTGACCAGCAGTGTCAACCTGAGATTCTGTCGAAACCACTCGTCGTAGACCGCGTCGTAAAGCATAGCCTCAAACTCTAGCGGTGTCAGGGTAAGGATGTTCTGCTTCAGGTTCGAAATTGCCCACACAGCGGTGTGGAGCGCCGTCGCGAGAGCCCCCGTGGCCGCAGCAACTGCAGCAACGATGCTTTCGCTCTGCACCATCGAAACGCAGTGAAGACGCTCGTCTCCAAAGTGAGACTGGTGATTTAGTCGTCTCAGATTGGTCAGTCTGGAGACACAAAATATCATAAACACCATACGATCCCTGACAAGGATCCAGCTCAGCACCATGACAGAGACGGCTTATCGGCGCATCCTGTCAGTCAGTTGCAACTTGTCGTTAGGTCTAGGTTTAAGTGTCTCACCTCCCGAAAGCTCCTTCCCCTCCCCGCTCCCCATTCAAGAACTCGGCTGGGTGGACGGCCTTCAGCGAGGCGTGGAGATCGTCGTCAGTGGCCCGCTGCCTGCGGAGCCGGAGTGTCGTCGGTGGCTGCAGCGCGGGTGGGGCGCGTCGTCGTTGGACTGCAGCGCGCGGCCTGTGAGGCGGGGGTGTCGTCGGTGGCTGCAGCGCGGGCGGAGCGCGTCGTCGGCGGACTGCTGCGCGTGGACAGCAGGGCAGAAGTATCGTCGGTGGCATGTTGCGCGCGGCTGGCGCGACCAGCGCCTGGAGTTGGACTGGAGTGCGGCGTCAGTTGCCTGCTGCTCGTAGACGACGCTGCTGCCTGCCCGGACGACTGCCTGCATCACGCGATGAGCGTCATGTTGGTTGCTGCAGGATCGAGACACCATCTCGTAAGTGCAATAAGGTAATAGCTGTTGTGGACGCTTTACTCCGGGGTGTTATCTCTTCGTCGTTAACATGATGCGTTCTGTATGTGTGGTTTAGTCTGTTACTGTGTAGATAATGGCAAGCATAATGGATATGTGAGCGCTGCAAACGTGTGTTATTATCATTGCTACCTACAGACGCTGGAGAGCGTGGCCAATACTTTGTAGGCGCCCAGCGTTTTGAACTCGCTTCCTGTTTACAAGGATTTCCTCGCCAGACTCGTCCACAACGCTGCAGGACTGCTGGGCAGACAGTAAGTGACAGCAGTACCCCATTTTGAAGTGGTATTTGCAGGGACAGTATGCCGCCCGAAGATGGACCGGCCAGCCAGTGCGAGGCTGGCCCTCGACCTCCATGCGCGCGTAGTGGACGCCGAACTGGGCGGAAATCGCCATGTCCTCTCTCGCACGGTTGAGCTCCGGGACGAACGTCCTCACGGGATGCAGTGCACGCACGTGTACCAGTTCTGGGTCGGCGTCACCAAGGAGAAAGTCGATGCTGGATCTGGTGACTACGTTTTCGGTTAGTAGGCCACGGCGACGAAGCCTACGTGTGCGGGTCTGGAGCGTCGTTGCGCAGGCAGGCGCGAGCGCGAATCGAGGCAACGCCATGGAGCAGTGGCCGCAACATGCGAGTAGCTGTGCAAGCAGCAATCCCATTTTCAGCTCGCGGTGATGCGTGTAGTCACGCTTCAGCGCCCGGTTGAAATGCTCAACCGGGTTGTTGGTGGTGGCGTACACAGGCGGGGTAAGAAAGCACTGCCAGTTCGCGAAGTTACTGGGACTTCATGTACGTGGCGAAGGCGGCGAGGTCTGCGTGCCCAGCCCACTCCTTAAGCATGGTCGCCTTCTGGTCCACGTACTCGCTCTTGCTCTGCGCGAAGTGCAAGTCGTAGACGCCCTTGTACACTGATGTAGAGAGCTCCGAGCTCAATCCGCGAGTCCTCTCGCGCAGCTTTGCCACTACGTGGTAGAAGCACATGAGGTACGTAAATGAGCAGTCGGCGAAGACACTGCGGAAGGCTTTGTGTTGTGCCTTGTCTGCGTCTCCAAGAACGAATTTCACCTGCCACTCGGCGCCGTTGACCCGAGCATACACGCGGCGCAACGCAACGAGCGCGGCTTCAATGTGCTCGTACTGGAGCTGCGACGTGATGAAGAGCACCACCAGGTGGAAGGCTCTGGTGGCGTCGGTGATGCCGCAGACAAGCACCGGGTAACCGACGCTGTTCAGTTTGAACGTAGCGTCAAGGTGCAGCACAAAGGTGCTCGCGTCCCGCGCGGCGTTGCGCAGGAGTGCCTTGGTGGTCATGCCGACCAAGAACGGCCGAGCATCTGAGCCGTTTCCAATCTCGGGGAGACCAGAGGTATCGTACGCATTAGTGAACGTAAAGGCGTCGTGGTCGCCTTCTCGTCCACTAAATGCGGAGGCCCGCACGGCCTCCACAATCGCCTTGCGCTTGTCGTTGCCGCCCAGCCGCGTTCGACGAAAGTGGTGCACAATGTTTTGCACTGAGCGCAGGCTGGGTAGCGCGGCAGGACGGAGACCAAACTTGCGTCCCAAAGAGTGTCGGATGCGTAGCGGCATCAGGTTTTCACGGGCCATCTCCTTGATGAAGTCGCGCTGCTGCGGCGTGATGCACGACTTGGACGGCGTTCGAGCGCGCGAATGGTGCTCGCCCAGCTCGTGCATGTCGACGACGTCGGTCTCCTGGCAGACGTGCAGCTTCAGCCGCCACGGGCAGCCCAGGTAGGGAACTGCGTCCGTGCAGTGCTTGCAGGCACAGCGCAGCACCTTGTAGCGCATAGAGTGCGGAGTGCCGCTGCTGCAAGCCGCGCACGACATTAGCTGGCTCTTGACAGTCTTCCACGTTTTCATTCCTTGGAGAAGGAGAGCGGCGTCTTCGGCCGAAACACCGCTGCAGAGCAGGTTCCAGGCGTACGGGCGGGGCATTGGCGAGAAGCGAGTGGGGGGTTCTAGGCGAGAAGGTACTTGCTTGAAAGTAGAGAGAGTTTGAAGCAGCAAGGTCTCGGACGAGCACGACCAGTGAAGTTGTACTTTAGGCCACGGAGTGCGTGATGTGGTTGGTTGAAATCCTTAAAATAGAGGTATACGATTGGATGAATACTTTCGGTTGTGTTGGTGCGCACTAAGGGATGATTGCTTATAAATTCTTGTGGTCCCCTGTGATTTTGTGGTGGCTGTGAATGTTCTGATGTGGTGAAAACACGTGGCATTGTGCTTGTCAGCGTGCATGGTGTTTTTCAGGCATTTGTGGTGGTTTTGGAACCTTATCGTCTGGAGACGATGAACCTAGCCGATCGAGCTAATAACTGGCCAATCAAAAATAAGAAAAAATGTCGCCACATCGTCTAAGACGAGACGAGCGTTCCCCGACCAGGCCCTTAGGTTATCCTCGCTTCGGAAATGTTCAGGACAACCAACTCCGATTCATGCGGCGTGGATCGTGGGTGGATCGTGGACACGCTTGATATACACCTCTTCTGACCAGCGCCCACCATTTGCGTGCAGTTGAAGTTGCTTGCAGAGTCACACACTCGTCGTGAGAGCGTCCAGGTCCAGAACAGCGAGCGCTCGATTCATCTACGGCAACCCCAGAACAGAATCTGCAGATGCTTACCGGTATCCGCTGTACCGTCGACGATAAGGAATCGAGGGAATATCCATCGAGGCCTCACGCGTGCGCAGATCGCTTTGAACAAAGCTGAAGCAAGTGTAGCTACAATTGGCGCTCTCACTTCCGACGCCGTGATCTCCTGATTATTTTTCAATTTTAATATATATAAAATTATAAATTTGTATAGGGCGCATGGGCTCCAATAATGACGGGGGCCAGCCGGGTTTGGCCGCGTCACTTACGCTATGTAGTTCGCGGCAGGAACTGCGGTAGACGGCGCCTGGTGCCGGCCTGCGGTACACTGTTGTATGTTATCTCGCCCCGCCGGGCTTGCGCAACACCGGCGCCAGCGCCACTGGAGTAAAAGCTAGCGGCCAGACTCCTGAGCAGCTCGGTCTTACTCTCGTTACTCTCTTACTCCACCACGTCGGCTGTGATGGGCATGTTTTTGAAGCGCACCTCCCTCTTCGCCATGGTGCGGCCTGGCGCGTCCTCGAAGCGCGTGGGCACGTAGTTCTGCACTGCACACTGCAGCACCTTCGGCCCCGCTCCATGAGCTATGTGGTGACTGGTCTTCTACCTACCAAACTTTATTGACTTTTATTGAATTTAGCACTCTGACAATTAAAGGTGAACCACGGTGTTGGAAGTGGGAGCGCCAATTGTATTCGTACATGTACAGCATTAATCTTCAACGATTAAACCGTGTCTCAAAACCGGATGTATTTGAAAGGGGATCACTTGTCCGGTGTTCTCAAGGTGGCCGTCATACGCGGACACTTCCTGTGTAGCGCCATGGTGGATCCATTGGTGTCGCTCCAGCTCGCGACACTATTGCAGCTCTGCATCATCAACGACCGAGGAACTCATGCGATCCCTCGCGTGCTCTGCGGCACTTCTTGTGGCGCCGCAGCTACACCAGCATGGGAAAGCCGCCGCTCGGCAGCGAACCTATTTTTTCTTGTCGGCTGTCGCAGCAGTTCGCAGCAAATGGCAGGCTTTCACGAGCAGAGAAGAGTCCGACGGGTTCCTTTTTCCTCGGCGCTGGGCACACAACACCGCGACTCCGCCAGCCGCCATGAGGCCAACGCCACCCCTTGTGTGGCTGGGGTCTCGTAGACGACGCTGTACTACAGTCTACAGCGGCTGTAGACTCGGTGGTGTCTGACGGCTGTTTACACCGCGCTCTCGCAACGTTATCCGTATTATTGCGCTTGAGAGCATGGAACCATCCTCATTCTCGAAAAACACAGCTACCCAGCAAGTCCACTCCAAAGCAACAAGCCCAGCTTCGCTATGAACATCCAAGCTCTTCTCCTGGTCGCGGCTTCTATGACCGCTCGCGCCTCCGCCGAGTTCACCGTCACCTCCGGAACCACCGAAGCCGCCACCTCCACCTCGGAGAACGCGGCCTTCGTCAAGCAGTGGACGCTGAACGCGGCCAACTCCGCCGACACCATCGACTCCATCGACCTGGACCTTGCCGGTCGCGTGTACGTGAGCTATGTGAGTGGCCTGCCGAGCGGCGTGCTCGGCTACGTGAACGTGACGGGCGACTCGCAGACGGTGGTCGACGCAGTGACGGTGAGCAACGACGACGACACCGACAATGACAACGACGACAATGACACGAACGACACGGACGGAGAGCTCAACGTCCGCATCGGCAACAGCACGACCGCCGCTACGACGCTCAGCGGCTACCTGCTCACGGAGATCTTCTTGGCGTCCACCGGTGTCGTCACGGACGTCAAGAGCCAGCGGTCGGCCCAGGTGGTCGTCGAGGACGGCGTGCTGGTGTCGAGCAGCACCACCGCGGAGCTGCAGGTCGAGGCGAGCGGCTCCAGCGCCGTGTACGTGTCGGCGGCCAACACCGACGTGAGCGTGCGTCAGCTGCAGCTGGAGGCAGCCGGCACCTCGAAGATCGAGTTCCATGTCAAGAGCGTGTCGGTGACCGAGCTCGAGCTGGAGACGCAGGGCACCGGCACTATCTGCACCAGCGCGGAGACGGTCACGGCCACCAACTACCAGGGCACGGACGCCAGCCGCATCTCGATGCCCAACGCGTCCAGCAAGTACGACTCCACGGGCTCGTTCGCGTGTGACGTGTCCAGCGTCCCTGCGCGCGAGCCTTCATGCGTGTCGAGCGCCTGTGCTTCGTCGTCGACTTCGGGCACGACGGTGGGCACGGCCGGCAGTGGCACGTCGACGTCCGCCACGGTGACTTCGGCTCCTACGACGACCACGGACGATGACGACAATGCCAGTGATGACACCAACGCGTCCTCCACCCCTCGCCTCGCTGCGCTGGCGGCCGCTGCGATCGGTGTGGTTGCTGCCAGTCTGCTGTAAACAGCATATGACAGCCTAGGACGTTGAGCTCAAGTATTACCTCTTATTCCTCGGCGGGAGTACTAGACTCCCGTCCGCTTAGCAAATTGATCGCAATATATTCCCAAATAGTTTTCACTCCAAATTCCCACCCCTTTTGGCAACACCAGGTTTTGTTTCGGTGTGACTCGGGAAACTGAGCAAAGTCGTTCGTGATCTCTTTTCCTACCTCGCTTACCATAAGATGATCCAACCCGATGCCGATTGGGCGATCCTGTCGAGAAAAGCGCAGTCAAAGAAATGGTGCAGCTAAGTTAGTGTAGCAGCTACACTGTAGCTACATGAATTATACTAGTAGCTTTGTCTATGAGGCGAGCACTGTGGCATGACCCGCAGACTGGTGTACGGTACAGAGTTGCAGCCTGTTAACGGCATCGCTGAGTCATCATGTTTTTTTCTAGTCGGAATCATATCCGTGTCCAGTCAGCCGCCAAATTTGCTGCAAGCACGCATCTCGGAGTCTACGCCGAGTACTGTGTGGTTGCAGTGAAGTGAACCCAAAGTGCGCGGGAATACGCGGCCTTAGTCTCGTGTGACACCGGCTCGCTACTGGATGGGGCGAATCATTTTGACCGTGGAGTTGATTCCCCTCCGGGCGTGCAAGTCTTTTGGTGTACTGTAAGCCCCAGGAATCTGCTACAGTAGCGAAAAAATCTGCAGTGAGAACGGGCTGTGCGTCCAGCTTTTCTGTTCGTTATAGTTGCATGCGCTGGCGGATTTCAACGCACGGCCTCCGATCAATGAAGCCAAAACGTGGGTGAACAGCAAGCTGCGACAAAGTCCACAAGACAGACAGACCATGGTTGCCTACCTGGTACAATAACGCTCCTGCTCGACGCGCCTCATTTTCCCGTGCCACACGACTTCATTGTGCAAAACACCACCTAGAGGTCAAACACCTGCAACCTTCTCCCCATCCCTCCTTTCACCGGAAGCCACTATGATGTCGCGCTCGCTTTTCTTGCTCCTGTCGCTCACGGTGGTCGCGCTGCTGCCACGCACCGGGGCAGACTCGGACTTTTCGGTTTCGTCCACCTCGACCACAAGCGTCGACTCGACCACCGAGCATGCCAGCTTCGTCAAGGAATGGACTCTCACCGCCTCCAACACACACGACAAGATCGACTCGGACGACGACAGCTCGGACGACGGCGACGACAAGATCGACTCGATCAAGCTGCAACTCCCCGGTCGTGTTTTCGTCAGCTATGTCAGCGGCTTGCCATCTGGTGTGCTGGGCTACGTGAACGTGTCGGGGGACTCCCAAACCGTGGTCGACGCGGTGAAAGTAAGCTCGAACGACGATGACGAAGAGCTTGAGGTAAAGTACTCCAGCAGCTCCAGCTCCGCAACCTCGGGCTACTTGCTGACGGAGATCTACCTGGCGACAAGCAACACCGTGAAGGAGGTCGAGATTGAGTCCTCAGCGCAAGTCATCATCGAGGACGGAGTGTTGGTCTCCAGCAACACGAATAGAGAGCTTCAGATCAAGGCGAGTGACTCAAGCGTCGTGTCCGTCTCGAGCTCTGCCATGAGTCTGCAGGATCTGAAGCTGGAACTCTCGGACAGCGCGACGCTGCAGCTCACTACTGACAGCATCACCATCCGCGAGGACGGTCAGTTCCAGGCGCACGACAAGTCCAGCATCGCAGTCCTCACGTCGTCCCTCACAGCGGACAAACTGGACCTCGACGCCGAGAACTCGGGTACGATCTGCGTCTCTGCTGAAGAAGTCACTGCCGGCAGCTACGACGGCGACGAGGCCAGCAAGATCTCGATGCCGAACGCCTCGTCCAAGTACACGTCTACGGGTTCGTTCTCGTGCGACGAGAAGAGCACGCCGTCTCGCGAGCCGAGCTGCGTTTCCAGCAGCGCCTGCTCCTCGTCAACTACCAGCGAGTCCATCACCGCTACCAGTACCCCAAGTGCAACGTCCGCGTCCAGCACCACAACGACCAGCGCTCCGAGTACTTCTACGACTACAACGTCGTCTTCGTCCGGCGTCAAGACCAGCGAGCAGGCCAGCGCTGCCTCAGCTTCGTTCCGCATGGACACCACCACCATGACTCTTCTTACGGGGCTGCTAGCCATCGCGTGCATGTAGGAGATCAGTTGTCGGTCCTACTGATAATGAGCTGCAGGTCGGTCGAGTTCCACTTCAACATCAACTTTTCGGTGTTCGACTTTTACCTTACGTTTTGTATTTAATACAAAAAGAAAGGTAAATCAAAACGTGGTCCACGCTATTTCGTGTATTCACACACAATTCTCCCTTTTAGCGGCGCTGCTGGTCATATCCAAACGCTCGACGGTCAGCGCAGTCCCGCCGTGACGCCGCGCTCTTCTTCTTCCTCCCTCTCTCTCCTTCCCCGTCGTCTCTGACCTCGTACGTGTGCGCTTCATTATCCTCTCTCTGCGTTCTCTCGTCGTGCAACTCCGCTCTCAATTCGTTGCGCTTTGACTCTGTTACGCGCGTTATTAACTAACGCTCTGGTGTCCTATTTATAGTGCCCCCATGGCCGCGTGGCCGCAGCCGCCACGCTCGCCCACCAACAATGGCGGGCGTTTCGAGTCGGACACAGCAGGCTTCCAGAGTCTCGGCGCCTTCGGCCACGACGGCTTACTGGGAGGCAGCGGCCAGCTGAGCGGCGGCCTGGAGCTCGGCGGCCTCGGCCTGGGGCTGTCGCCGCCGCCCGCGCCGCACCAGGGGGGCCTGGGCTTGGGCCTGAGCCTCCAGCAGCCGCCACTGCCCATGGCGCCGCCGCTACCGCCGTCCTCCCCGCGCGCGGAGGGCGGAGGGGGCGCGCTCTACCACCTGCAGCACCAGCAGCAGCTCCACCAGCAGCAGGACTTCTCTATGGGCTCCGGTCTGAGCTCCTTGTCCTCATTGGGAGGCGTGGAGCTCGGAGGGCAGAACAGGGACGAGTTCGGCCTCGGCCCGGGACTCGGCGGACGACGTCTTTCAGGTGCAGAGAGCGCCGGGCCGTCGGTCTCGGACAGGAGGGGCTTCGACCTGTCGGACGCCATGCTCAACCTGGATTTAGGTGGCGGCATGCTGGGCGGAGGCAGTGACCGTGGAATGCTGGGAGGCGGCGGCGGCGGCTGGGGAGACCCGTCCGCGGGTCTGTCGTCCGCGTCGCCGTCGTCGGCCTCGCTGCGTGACCAGATGAACGCGCAGATGGCGGCGCTGTACCAACATCCCAAGCCTCCTGCGAACGACAGGTTGCTGTTCCAGCAGCACCAGAGACAGCCATTAGCGCAGTCAGGAAACGACTTGTTGAGCCTCCTGAATAATGGGAATGGCGACAACAGCTCGGCGTTTGGCGGTCGAGAACTTTACCCTCCTCCGAGTGTGAATATTCCAGGTAGTAGCATGCAGTCGTCGATGGGCGGGTTTCCTGGCTTCCCTGCGTCCAGCCCGAGTACCAACGGAGGCCACGGAGGCCACGGAGGCCATGGGGGTCTCGCGCCCACCATGTCACCGTCTCGTGGGCCACACTCGAGAAGCTCGACGCCCTCGCGTACGCGCCGCTCGCCGGCCAAATCGCCCCAACTGCATCGCGAAAACTCGGCGCCAAGCTCCTTGTCAGGTGGACAGGGCAATTCAATTCACGTATCGCCGGAGGTCACGAAGCCTAACGACAACATCAAGGTCCAGGTCTCGCTCTTGGCGGAGGAGTGCATTGTTGGGCGGGTCTTGCTCGTTGGTCTCTTTCGACTTGGACAGCCTACCAATGACAAGCCGATCTTCGTCAAGCAGGTACTCTTCGAGAACAAGCTGCACCGGAACTACCGTTTCTTGAACACGCGCATCACGTTCCGTGCGCCGCGTTCACCGGGCGAGTTTGAGTTCCGCGTGTTCGAAGACAAGAGTGGACACAGCCACCAGTCTAACGGCAAGCGACAGGGTCACGATGATCATCACGACAACCACCACCACGGTAAGGTTTCCTACTCGAACGTCACGATTGCGCGCAGCAACCGGCTGAAGGTTTGCCTGGAGTACAGCCACTTCATCGACACGTTGCGCGCGACGCATGACAAGTTCCAGCAAGGTGTGGCAGATGGAGACGCTGGCTTGGTATTGAGCGCGCTTCTGGCACTGATGAGGCTCGTGGATCAAGTGGAGACTGTATTTTTGCACGGGCACGCGTTGCTGGGCGATCTGCTGGAGGCGTGTCTCCGTCTTTTGGAGCGTCGCGCAGAAGATATTGGGCGGTCGTTTGCTGCTACCGAGACGATCCCGCACCCGATGGAGACTTTTCACGGCACTTTGCGCAATGTGTTGAACGCTGTTGAGGCCAACAAGTGCGTCAGAGAGCTTGTGGCAGACGACCAGCTTGCCGATATCTCTCGTATCCAGCGTGAACGGTTCTGCCAGGTCAGTGGACTGTACTTTGCAAATGATGGAGACCGCTGCGCCTTCTGGCTCGAACACTTTGGATTCGCGCCGATTGAGATCGCCCCGTCCGGCGTGGATAACGATGGCGAGAGTAAGATGCTGCACTCCTCACCGTTCGTGACGCGTGCTCTCACTCGATGGGTGGAACGAGAGGCAGCTGTGCTGATGCCGGACCGCACTGCATTCCGCGCGTCGCGTCAGTCTATCTACGACCAGCTGCACGCCGAGGTGATCTCCAAGTTGTCGTTTACGTGCGAGTTGGACGTTTTCGGATCGTCGGCCAACGAGTTTGGCTCGGAGAATAGCGATATGGATATGTGTCTTGTGTTGCCGGAAGCCACCACTCCGACGGTCGAGGAGAAGCAGCGCATGCTGATGGAAGTCGTCGCTCGATTGGAATCGCGTCCGGACTTGTTTGCATCTGTGGACTCGACTCGCCTCACAGCGCGCATCCCGATCATTATGTTCGTGTCACGTGCCTCTGGCATCGAGTGCGATCTTTGTGTCGAAAACCGGTTGGCCCAGCGTAACACGTCGCTGCTCCGCGCGTATGCTAGTGCAGACCCCCGCGTTCGCATGTTGGCGTATGTGATCAAGCGCTTCGTGAAGCAGCGCCGCATGAACTGCGCCGCGGAGGGCACGCTATCGTCGTACGGCTACCTGCTCTTGCTTATCCACTTCCTCCAGCGCCAGAGCCCACCCGTGTTGCCTGTACTGCAGGCCCTGCCCCCGAACTGGCCGGATGAGCCTAGAGAGAAACTACCCAGCGTGTTGTGCCGCGGCCCAAGCGACGAGTTGGACCCGAATGCTACCGACGGCCACAGCGGCATCGAGACGTACTTCTTCGACCCGTTCGCGTTCCGTGAGCCCAACGAGAAACTGGCCGCTCTGAACGACTTCGGTGCGCGCAACACGCAGTCGGTGGGTGAGTTGCTGCTCGGCTTCCTGCGATACTACGGCTTGCAGTTCGACGCCACGCGTGACGTGGTTAGCGTCCGTCGCCCCGACGCCGGCACTGTCACCAAGGACGAGAAGCGGCACACGTCGCAGTGGCGTTTCACGACGCGCCTGAGCATCGAAGATCCGTTCGAGGTGGGCTACGACGTCGCGCATGTGCTCAAGGGCTCGCGGGACAAGTACATCCGCCAGCAGTTCGTGCGCGCGTACGTGCTGCTAATGGACGGCGCCATCCAGCACCAGAGCAAACAAGACGAGGAGGAGGCAGACGACCAAGACGTGGCGGCCGACGATGAGGCTCTGGAGCGCATCATGACGATCGTCAACGAGCACGTGCTGGAAGTGCCGTTCCTGCAGGCGCCTCCGCCTCATCCGCTGTCGCCTGTACCGATGCCCATGCCCCAGGCGCGCGAGGGCTTCTGACATACCTGACCACTTGACCATCAACCAATGCAAATAGATAAAAAGACTCTGAAACAACGTCCGAGCTTGTTGCCGTGATGTTGCAGTGCTGCTGCCGTGATGTTGATGTGGCCATCTCAGACTCCGGTCTCCTGCCCCTTCTAAACCCGAGGTCGGTCTCCCATACTAAAGTGCTCTTATGAGTGGTGGGAACAGATATCGCCGTTCATTGGTCATTATTCTTTTCGACCAATCACCTGCGTCCACCGGCATAGTCGGCATCGTTGGTGGCAGTCGCGGATCGGGCATTTCCCATTGCGTCGGAGCTTGTCGCCCGCTGTCTGTGTGCGTGGCGCGCGGCCCCTTCCTGGCGTCTACAGGCCTCTCCAGCGCTCTACCTCTTGCGCGCGCCCCCCCGGCGTCTCTAGCGGCGCTTCCCGTGCTTTTCCCGCCCCGCAGCGCGCTCTGGAAGCTGCATAAGACCCCCCAACCCCCAACCCAGTTAGTCCGCAGCCATAGCGACGACACTCGAGCGAGCGATGGCGGGCGAGCAGCAGCAGCAGGCGCCTGCGGACAGCGCCGTCGGCAAGAGCGGCGTTTCTTCTGCGTCCCCCTCCAGCGGAGGCAGCGGCGTGCATGCGTTCGCGCCGCTGCCGTTCGACGAAAGCCTCGTGGCCGCTCTGAGCGGCGCGGCCGCGCCCTCCAGCGGCGCCGACGCGCAGACCACCGCGTCTTCATCCATGACGGGGACCAAGTCGGCGGCCGACTTCTTCCTGGACCAGATCGCCGCCGTCGTGTCGGACGAGAAGAAGCTCTCGGACGTGCGTCATAAGATGATACTTTTTTCTTCTCCTCATTTATCGTACTGACAACGGCGTTGCTGTGTCGTGATGTGCTGCAGAATATTATGGACTTGATCCCGCCTGTGGAGGCGCCTGTGAGTCAAGCGGTGACCCAGGGACTGAGTGCTGGATTGACGTCCACCGCCATGTCCATTGGGATGCCACTGCAGCCTCCGCCTGGACTTATGATGCGCGCGCTTTCCCCGCCGACCTCGTTGTTGCCGGACTTTGGAGACGTGACCCCGCTGTCGCTGCTGGGTGACGCGACAGTGTCAGCGGTAGGCACGAGTTCAGGCGCGATTGCGATGCCGGCGTCCATGGCGGCGCCGGCCACTACGACGGTGACTACTGCGGTGAAACGCGAGCTTCCGGTTGTGAAGCCCGCGGTTACAGGTATTACAGCGGCGATGCGGAGAAAAGCGGAGCTGGCGACGGCTGCCAGTGTGACTCACAAGAAGCAGAAGACGGAGAACATTAAGCCGGAGCCCGTGGTGAAGGCCGCCACCCCGACGCCGGTCTCAGTGCACCAGCAGATCCAGCAGCAACAGGCCCGGCATCACCTTCACAATGCCAGCAACCCGTTGGGAGCTTCAGCGGCTGCGGCTGCCGCAGCTGCTGCAGCAGCTCGTGAAAAAGTGATGAAGGAGCCGCAGTCAGGCGATTTGTACGAGTGCGTGATCACGAAGCGAAATGGAGGACTTGGGCTTACGTTAGCGTGCGTGGACGACCACGTTCAGATTACAGGACTCGCGCCGGATACGCCCGCAGCAAACAGCGGTATCTGCGTTGGTGACACGCTTGTGGCTGTATCTGGGTTGCCCGTGCGAGGACTTCAATTTTCGACTGTTATTGGTCGCCTCAAATCTACGTCGCGAAACTCGGTTGTACTCAAGCTGCGTCGCAATCCTTGTACGTTGACTTTGATTCCCTTGTGTGGAGACTGCTCTCTGACCAGATTCGTATCGGCCGTTTACAACTTGTACAGTTCGACAGAATGCTGGAAATTCCGCTTCGTACAGAGGGATTAAGCGTCCAGGTCGGGGCGTCATCAAAGGAGCCGATAGCAGCAACAGCGCGAATGTGCTGTCTAGCAAGACCATGGCACTGGAGACACGGTTAGGCGGCGGTCTAGGAAATGGTCTGAATGGATCGGCAGGAACATTGGCTGGCGCGGCGAACAGCTTGCACAACGGCAACGCTGGCGCTGGTCTCGATGATCTTCACCGCTCACATCACCAGGGCGTCACTGGCTTTGCGAATCACGCAGCAGGTCTTCATGCACAGCACTTGCAGATGCAGCTGAAGTCGGAGCCCATGAACTCGACATATTTCCCCACAGATGCTTCGGTACTCACAATGGGAGCTACTGTGCCCGGGTCCAGCACCACTGGAACTGTGCCGCCCAGTTCTCTCGCCCCAACGTCCACAATACCAAGCGATGCACAAACGGGCTTGCGCGTCAGTATCGAAGAGAAGGACAGGTATTTTGCTGAATGCCGCGCTCTTCGGCATGAACTGGGCAGGGCTATGGTGGCGCAACGGATTCAGAAGCGGGATACGGAGGCTTACACGTCCAAGCTGCAGGCAGTTGTGGACAAGTTTGAGAAGGACGTGCAATCTCTGCTTCCGTCACCAGTGTCAGCGACTACAGAGACAGCAGCAGGTGCAGTGCCTTCGACCACATCAAGCACCGATGAGCTTGCAGCACTGCGTCAGAAGCTTGTGGAGGCGAACAAGGCGCTAGCGAAGCAGCAGACCGAGATGCTAGCTCTACAGGAGCGGGAAGCAAGACATGCGCTGCCGGAAGCCCAGCGCGTAAAGTGGCAGCTCGTGTCTCACATGCGGAAGAGCGTGCTTCAGGTTGACTGCAAGACGGCATCAAAGTTGGCCTCCACCCCCGCTGTGAAGAAGGTCGGTGTATCCTCCGGACCGACGTTGACGTTCGAAGAGCGGCTGGAAGGTGTCCGTCCGAGCGCGTTCGCCCTGTTGGTCGGCCCGAGCAGCGTAAAACCTGAGTCGCCGGTGGTCGAGGTTGATCTTGATGCCAAGGCATCCACAGAGGTGAGAAGAGCTTTGTTGATGTGATTTATGTGGGACTATAGACTGACATTGTGTGATGTTGCTTTGTATGCACAACAGTTGCTGGGCTGGAATCTCCGCGAAGTGGTGGTCCAAGCTGGAGGAACTTACACCGTGAGCGTGGCCGACGCCGTTCACGTCAAGTATACGCGATCCGATGAAGCGCTTGTCGTCTCGTGGACGCTTAGTGTGAAAGACAGCAGCAGTAACAAAAAGTGATGTCATCTTGCAGGCTGAACAAACGCATCCTGCTGAGCTTGCGCAAATGCACATAGTATTGCAGAGGGCGCGCTATCCAAAGCAAGGCAATCAACCAACCGAAACTAGACGAAAGCCCACAACAAAGTTAGGAAATCAAGTAGCAACAAAGCAACAAAGCAACAATGTTTTGCGCGAGAGTTAGCTGTCTGCACTTCTACTGGTCCTGCAGAGACCGCGCAATGGCCTTGGCGATCTCGTCCTCCTCGTACGCGTCGTCGGTGTTGTCTGCCGAAGAGGCAGCAGCGGCGGAGCTGGACACAGGAGTTGAAGACGCAGGGGCGGCTGGGGTCGAAGCTGGAGCTTGAGTCGGAGCCGGGGCTGTAGGTGCTGCAGTGCTTGCAAAGGGGTTGGCCGCAGCGCTGGAGCTGGACGCGAACGGGTTGGATGCAGCCGCGGGTGACTGTGCTGCTGCGCCGAACGGAGAGCCTCCAAAGCCGCCGAGACCGCCCATTCCCATTCCGCCCATGCCTCCGCCTGCCATCATCTGCTGCATGCGCGCCATGGCGTTCGGGTCGCTCATCATTTGGTTCATCTGCTGCATCATGGCAGGGTTTTGCTGCAAAGCCTGCAATGACTGTACCAGCAGCGCCGGATTTTGCAGCGCCTGCGCGAGCATGGGGTTCTGCTGGGCCATTTGCTGCACCATGGGGTTGCTCGCCATGGACTGTAGCATTGCCGGGTTCTGCAGCATTGCTTGCGCCTGCGAAGCAAAGTCTCCGCCAAGTCCGCCTAGACCTCCCAGGCCTCCCATCGGCGGGGCAGCTCCGAAGGGCGAAGCTGCCGGGGCAGGCGCCGCGCCGCCCAACGCCGTCACCACGGAATCCACCACCGCCTTGCACGCCACCAAGTTCTCCCACCGCTCAGGCGTCGGCACCAGCACCAAGTGGCCCTGCAATCACAAATAACAATAAACAACAATTAGAAAGCTACCAATTCCTCCCTTCCCTTCCCCGTCTGCATCAGCACGCACCGCCTGCACTCCGTCCTGGAATCCCAGCAGCTTGACGCAGTCCTGGCCCCTCGTCCGGTCGAAGAGCTTGGCCTTGAGCGCCGCGTTGTCCACGCGCAGCTTGCGGTACTTCTCCTCCGTCGGGTGGCCCACGATGTTGGCGCAGATCTTCTGCAGCGTGCGCGCCGCCGTCGCGTACTGCTCGTGCGGCTCGTGGTCCCTCATCTGCAGCAGGAACGCCCTCAGCTGCGCGGGCCCCGCCGGCGCTGCAGCTGCTGCCGGTCGGTCCGCCGCAGCGTTGGCCGCCGCCACGGCGCCCGGCGTGAGCGTCAGGTGCAGCGCGCAGCCCGCCGCCACGTGGTAGTCGGCCAGCAGCTTGTCGTCCTGCAGGATCTGGCCCTGGAAGATGAGGCGCTGCGCCGCCACGGGGAAGCGCCGCGCGTCCTGCTGCTCGATCAGCTGCTTGAGCGACAGCACGGAGGCCGCCGCCAGGTCCACGCGCAGGTGCAGGCTCTCGGACGCGCCGCTCACGACCTTGACCGTCAGCTCGTCCGCCATGTCTGCGTGCTGAGTGTCAGATTCGGGAATGACGTGGAAAATGTATGCGGAGCAGCATACGTAATGGTACACCACCTGTACACAAGTGATCTTGAAGCGACGCAAGGCTAACAGCTTCAATTCGAGATGAAGACGCACGCTGCTGCTACTGCGAGAAGGACCACGACGACGGTTAGGTTCAGTCGGAGTGGAGACGCGATCGTGGACGAGTTTGTGCTGAGGCCGCCACCGACGGAACTGGCGGTGGAGCGGATCCCGGCGCTGGTTCGAGAAGGTTGGTTTGAGCTTGAGTTGAAGTGGGCCATGTGGCTGAAGTGGATTAAGGCGGTTGTAGTGGACACGCTGCTGCAGACGTTGGCGGCAACGCCCGTGGACACGATCTTGAGCGAGGTCATAATCGACTTGAGGGTTGCCGTGAGCTGCCGTGGATGCTGATTCGTGTGGGGACGTGCTGCAGGGGATGAGCGCCAGCGAAGACGTGGCTCAGCGGGCGGAGGAGGTGGACGCGTTCTGCCGGAGTCTGAGGCCGGGGCCTCTGCAGGAGATCGTGGGTAAACAGGTAACACGGCTTCATGAGGCAGCGCAGTATCTTCGTTCGCCGTCAAGCCGACTGACTGCGGAGTTGGTCAGCATTGGCGTGGAGAAGTACGTTCTCGCTATGGATGCAAACGTTGGGCTAGTGCCTCATTTACTTCTGTGTACAGACCACGTACGAGATCTGTGCCTATTCGTGTGACGCCCTTCATGGGCTCCGCATTGGCGAGGGCTGCAGCTAAGGTCGGTGTGAACGCAAGAAAGCACCAAGGCGCCAACAGCATCCGGAAGACTGCAGCCAAGCCTCTGTACAAATGGGAAAAGCGCCGCTTCCTTCGTGGCAGTTCTGTTGCGCAGCCGCGTATTCCTGCGTCGAAGGCCGATGCTGGCAGGAAGCCAAAACTCGCAGAAGATTGTGCGCTATACGCTTCTCACGACTGAGTTTTGTGGTTATAATAGCTTACGGTCATCCTCATTTGGTTGTGCAGACCTAGACGAAGTTGACGAGGCTGGGATGGAGCTCCATCCCTGCTCAGAGCCTGGCCATCACTCGCGGTCATCATATAGTAAGCCTTCAGCAGCTACCAGTGCAGCCAACAGCTTTGAGTTCCAGATTATCCTAACTGAGGAGGAGGTCAAGGCTCTCAAGGTACATTATCCCAAATATTTTTGCGTGAAAGCATGCTTGGCATTGACCATTGTGCTCCAAAATTCCCCAGTACCAACGACGTCGAATAGAAGCGGAGCAGCGGCACTTGTTGCGGCGGACCAGACCTCAGTTGATGAATACGGGCCCTCCTCCTGCCCCAACGGAATCAGGTTTGGAGCGCAAGAAGCTCTCCCAGTAAAGCCTTTCTCGGTAGATTCCCCGCATAAAGGGCCGTTGGGTTGCAACAGCAGCTCAGGTATTGAGGTAGACTTCCCACTAAAAATACAAAGAATCTCCACTCCACTTGATAAGAACACGCGCAGATCCCATCGCCACCAATAGCTTGTGCACCATCCACTTGCAGCCTCGTGAACTTCCGCATTTCCCATTTTCTTGACTTTGTGGCACCGATCAGTCTTCCCTGGATGCAACATGATCAACCCCACCTTCCCTCTGTACGGCTATGAGCGGTTCTTCGCCATGGACCCTGCTGCCAGTGCCAAGCTGGCTCATGTTGCGACCTTGCGCGGCGACATTCCAGGATTGCTGAAGCACTTGCCCCAGGCAGTTTTCCATGCTTTCAATCGCCACCCGAAGATGCGCGCAGCCATTCTGCCTGGGAGTGTGCCGCAGAAGGTCATGATCTGCCCCCCTCTCGCCGATGTGTCGGAGCTCAAGAGTCTTCTCACTGTGTACGAGTGCACCCCGGACGAAGAGGAGCGAGCGGAACAAGCCCGCGTCGATGCTGCCAATGACAACGCGTCCGATTCATCGCCAGTGGCGGCACCGCTGTTGCACTGGATGGAATTCGTTCAGTCCGAGTGCGAGAAGCCTCTGGATCGTGAGAAGGATTTCCCGTTCTACTTGTACGTCCGCGTCGACACCTCCACGAAGACCTTTGCTCGTCTCATCCTCTTCGCGGACCACTACATGTCCGACCCAACGTCCGGCGCCGTTATCCTCCGTGAGATCCTCGAGACTGCTGTCAAACTCAGTGCTGCAACGCCGGCGGAATTGCCCGGAGAGCTCCCTCTGCGCGAGTCTCTGTACGAAAGCACGCACTACGTGAACGCGTGGATGAACGTTGTGCACGAAGCGGTGTCCAAGTACGTCATGCAGCCGCTGATGAACTTCGACACGAACTCGTTCGTGCCTCTGCTCCCCATTCAAGCGGAGACGCAGCTCGACTTCGCCGGTTCGCCACCAAATCCGCCCAACCAGAGCTTCGCTCTTTTCGCGCAAGGGTCCGAGGCGAGCATGCGAACTGCCATGGCGCGATGCAAGGAAGAGCAAGTCACCCTCCAAGGCGCACTCATTGCTGCAACCACCATGGCCTTCGGTCTGACGAAGCATGGGGGCAGTCTGCATCAATGCACCGAGCCACTGCAGCTTCGGATGGATGTCTTGGGCGATATGCGCAAGCAAGTGACGCTGAACACAGTCAAGCGCGGGCTGTTCGACTCCATTCTTCCTGGCAACGCTTCAACCGACAGCGAGTTGCCCGTGGGTATGTACTCGACCCCCACGCACCTCGTATTCACGAGCAGCGAGGGCGTTGACGCTCACGAAATGTCATTCTGGGACGTCGCGCGAAAAACTGATCACGAGTGGGCGTGTGCACTGCTCGGCCACGAATTGAAAATGCAGTCCATGTTTGTCAACGAGGTGCTGAACGCCGAGAACAGTGCCGACTCCGGGCTCTCTGTGGCCAACTGTGCACTCAGCGACGTCACGCTTTCGTACTTGGACTGCTCGGATACCACCACGATGTCATTCCCAACTGAATTGACACTCGGAAGCAACAACGTGACGGTGGAAGACCTGCACGTGTACAACTCGCATCCCTCGTTGAGCTCGACCAGCAAAGTCTTCGTCACGGCCCTCTCGCACTTCAACTACGCGCTGATGTACAAGTTGGAGCCCGAGATCGCTCAACAGCTTTTCGGCTGGCTAGTGCGCTGCACTGAGCGTATTGGTGAGTATCGACAACAGGACACGTTCGCTCAGGCAGCAGATCGTCTCGCAAGTGGAGCTGCGGCGGTCGTCCCGCTTGACGGAGCCTCCATGGCTCAAACTTTGGAAATCGCCATCGATCCTACCGCAGTCAGTCCTGCGGCTGAATCTACGGTGAACGTTGGCTCGGACGAGGGAGCTTCAGGCGAGACAGGAGACTGCCAAGACGTCGAGTGCTAGAAGCTGTCGTGCTTGGCGGCCCTGAGGGAGACAGGTTACCTAAGTATTTCAGATCAATATCATACATTCGTTAATCAGCTTTGTGGCCCTGAAGAGTGGTAGAAAAATTCTTCAGACGCACTTTCGTGGCGGCTTCAGTTCAAACCAAACTGATCGAGTCCAACGAAGTCACGGGAGGCGCATCTTGGCACCAGGCATGTCGTATTGTTTACAGGCACCGAAGAGTTGTTGGAGAGGCTTGTCTCCTAAACTCTCAGCGAGTTGAGGGTCTTCGAGGACGTCGTTCACCAAGCAGTAGGCCTCATGGTTGCCACTCCAACTAACGTATCGCGGCTCGAAGCTGTCAAGAGGAACCGAAAGGTAGGGGAAATCAGTGTACCGAGACTCGTACGACGGGACGTAGCCGTTGAGCGTGAAGACTTGCGAAGCTGGGATGTCGCTTTGCTTGGCCCGACCACCGAAGAAGCCACTCGGGAGGTTGCCCACAATGTAGCGCATGTAGCTCCGGTAGAGCGACTTGAGCAGCACGAACGCCACCACCATGCACGTGACAACCAGGATGATCCAGTACAGGACGTCCATGAGGTTCCGCTGTGCCGTTGTCGGGTAGTCGTCGCGCAAGAAGGGGAGAACGATGTGAAGAGTGTTGACGAGAGAGTCGTATTTCGACTGCGTTTTCTCTCGGGCGGCTTCTACGGCGCGTTGCGTGTAGCGGTCGAACGGCCAACCATTGTACCAGTGGCCCATCATGATGAGCGACACCAATACCACAAGCAACAAGTGATAGCGAGAAGCACGCGCTAGCAAGCCGTCGTATCGAGGTGGAGTCTTCCACTTGCGCAGCAAACAGTACTTATCGACCCAATAATTCACCAGTAGCGACAATCCCGTGATAATGAGGCCAGTGGGGAGCAGCGACTTGAAGAACAGCGCGATCCCGACGGACTTCGTGATCTGAGTGTACCGCTCAGCCAACTTCCAATAGGCACCCGAATAGAACGAGTTGAGCTTCCGCTGCGTCTTGGCCTTTGGTCCGTAGTACCATCGATAAAACTTCTCGAACGGACTGATAAGTTGGATCACAGGCGCCGTGATAAGGTTCGCAATGAGCAACGCCTGGATCTGCAGCAGATTTTCTTGCGACAAAACGTCGGTGAAGTCCATGAGGAGGTACAAGACAACAGCGCCGTTGAACCCGCGAAAGAGCAGCAGCTTGTTGAGTGTCGAGAGCTGCTCTCGCTCTTTGGTCTGGTGCTGTTCAAGCTTGTCCACATAGCTCAGAATCCGGCAACCGAACAGATCGGTCATCGCCAGTGTGTACGCCAAGATAAACAGCCTTCCGCGGCGTTTGCTGTCGGGCAGGTCATCGCCGATGTACGTTTCCTTCAGCCACAATGTCAGGAAGTAGACGGCGGCCATCATACCCCCAACGATACTGATCGTAAGAGCTTGCTGCAGCATTCTCCACCTCCAAAGTACACCCGCACTGTTCCACCGCACGGACGAAGGCTCGACCGCCTGCTCCACATGCAAGATATTCGTCCCACGAAAGCGCAGTCTCTTGGCCAAGCCCCTGTTGGTCCAGTCGAATTGCGTGGAGAACAAGCCCATCCGAGTTTCACGCAGACAGCGTCGCTGCGCCTCCTCCGTCTCGAACATGACGAACACCGACCAGACTCGGTAGCTGTCCTCGCTCAACATGGTGCAAATACGACGACGCAATTCGTTTAACTTCGTGTTCCAGTACGTCACGTCGTAGCCGCCCAGTCCCGAGCTCTGTCGTAGGCGACGCAGCAGCGTCTGCTTCGGTGCTGCCTTGGTCGGATCCGCCGCGTTCTCCAGCGCCTGCCTCACCTCCTCCGCATCGGCCGACTCCATCTTGAGCATCTCCTCCATGTACCTCTTCTTGGCCAGGGCCGACAATAACCGTTTGTTGTCCACGCACACGGTGACGAACTTGACGCGGCCGAACTGCGCGAAGAACCGCTCCCACTCGTCCGGGTCCCACGCGTTGGCGTTCGGGTCCTTGACCACGACCGAGTAGTCGGACGCGGTCTGCTCCAGCGCGTCCAGTCGCGCCTTGTCGCGCGTCTGCATGGCGGCCACTGCGATGCAGTAGACGGCCAGGATCAAGAGCCCCACCATGTCCACGTGCAGCTGGCGCATGACCAGCGGACAGTCGTTGACCGTCACGTTGCGCACCTCGTAGAGGGCGGCGCCCGTGTCGATTGCGTCCACTTCGCGCGTGCACGCGGCCGTCCCGAGGATGCGGAAGTCCAAGCTCCGGGCCCCCAGCGCGCCCGAGTAGGCCGCGGACGCGAAGTAGACGATGCTGGGCGTGGACACGGCCGCCAATACGAAGAGCAAGACGCTCAGCTGCAGCAGCATGCGGAAGTACAGCCCCAGGCCGATGCCGAACGCCGAGAGCTCGTCCAGCGACGTTCCCCACACGGGGAAGAGCTCGCTCTCGGCCGAGTCCTCGCCCATGTCCACGAGGCGGAAGGCGCCGCCCGCCTCCTTGTCGCGCACGCGGTGCGGCAGGATCACGTCGCGCAGCCACTGCTGGGCCACGGCCACGCTCGGACCGTCCTCGGGCGCCGTCACGCTCAGCCGCGCCGCCGTACGCGAGCGCTGCTGCGGAGGCTCCATCGTTGAGGAGCTGCTTGCATTGAAGAGGACTGGATACCGCAGAGTAATATATCAGTGGGCTATTGTGCATTTTTGCGGATTTTTGTGTGCAGATTGAGAAACATATGCTCCTTCATGTAGTAATATCAATATTCTTATCGAGGGAGATTTATGTGTGTCCCGAGTTTCTCGTGATTTCTTACATCTTGCCGCTCACTGATGTACATATAGCATCCTGAAAATCAATACGACATCGTCATTTCATAGTGTCAAGGTGCTGCCGGCTACGGATTTTGACTTTTTTACGCAGGATCAATCAGAAGATTCTTAGTCTTACCAAGCGGTACATGTACTGCTGTTGATTTTCGAGAATGGAGTAGGCCTTCACGAAACTTGATGTTCTCGTGTCGCACCAGGGACGCACAGTCGGCTATGAACACCAAGTGGGCGAATTTACGAACGTCAATCTACTCTGAGGATACGTATGGGATTTATTGACAACAAAACTCCCACGAAAATTAGCGCGTAGACAGTCATACATGTACTCCTCGGGCTAGGATGTCTTACCTTACTGTATTGATGATGAGGAGTGTACATGTTCGAGTTCTGTTCTGTGGGAAACCATGAACACTTACTAAGTATATTGCATGCATTGCTGTTGAAAGGGCGCGAAATTACATGCAAGAGGGATACCTCTTGTGCTATGCACGATGATCTGTTCTGCACTTCACGTCTTCAAAAGCACTGGCGCACGATGACTGAGCTCGCAGAGCATGCTCAGCTCTGCGTCAGCCAGCGGAAGTGCCTGCTACCGAAGCTTCCGAAGCTGTGCTTGAGGGCTTCATGGCGAACTCCTCACGCTCCAAGTCCGCCGGACCGGCCGCCGCCGGTACATAAATCACAGCGTCGGCGATTTGCGTGGGTGGCCAAGATGCGACTGATCCGGTCATAGGAAGGATTCCCATGTAAGGTAAGGTGCCAGTTGCGTGCCTACAACCAGTTCTGTGCCTACTTGTTTTAGCCAATTAGCATCTTCTTGTTAAACTCTCGTAGTCTATTGGTAGATTTTTCCAGCGTCACATGCAATTTCCGGTGATGAGCCTCCTAGGATTTGCATAGCATACAAAAATGCTATCAAAAAGAGGCAGGAAACTGGCAGCTCACTCCAAATCAACAAGCTTTTCAAAACAATAACAAGAAGCTCTACAAAATTTACACGGACCAGCGTGAAGTACATAAATTCAGCCCAATCGCGCAGATTTAGCGGGTGCAATCAGATTTCAGAATGGACAATTCAATGAAAAGTTATGCCACAGCAAGTCCGCAAGTTCGAAGGACAGCACGAAACTGGCAGAAGACCTTAATAGCGCTGCCATTTTCACGAGAACAAGTACAGTACATCACATTTCCATCGGCATCACTGGGGCTTCCCTCACCTCGGGGCACTGGTCAGTGGCGCATGGCCAGCACTGCAACCTGCTGTGCGCATTGCTCGACGGGTGCGGATCATTTTCCGGGGCTGGGATAAATCAGGTTTTCGCCATACAAACTCCAAGTCAAAGTAACGTGCGGCGGCTCCAGCCAATCGCTATCGCGGTATCACCTGCGATTAGGGGATCGTGGGCTGAAAAGTACCACTTGCATGGGTACACTTGTGCGCTCGCGGCGGGCAAAAAGTATCCGCCGCTCACTGCTTGATTTGCCTGGTGCCGCTCAAGTTGATACTCCGCCGACCAAGATGCTGGGAGCCAAGACCGCCGCCTTTGCCGCCGCCGCGGCGCTGGCCGTCGCCCAGACGCGCGCTGAGAGCGCCGCCCACCTGCGCGTGCGCGTGCACTCCAAGGTGACGTGCCCCAGCGGCCAGGAGAGCATCGCCGTCGCTGGCTGGAGCGCTGACGGATGTGTCGTCTCGGGCAACGTGTGTGTGGCCAACACCAACGGCGCCTGCCCCTCGGGCGCCCACTGCGAGTGGCTGGACACTGGCGTCTACGGCTGCGCGGACGGCGCCCCCGAGTCCTCGAGCTGGGCCGGCTGCGCGAGCAACGAGCAGACCATCGGCGTCGTGGGCTGGACGCACGACGGCTGCATCTCCTCGAGCAATGTTTGTGTCGCTCAGGTGAGCAACGGCGACTGCCCGTCGGGCTCTGCGTGCCAGAAGCTGGAGACGGGTGTGTACGGCTGCGTGGCCACGTCCAAGAAGCGCCACCACAAGTCGCACCACAAGTCGAGCACTACGTGCCCCAGCGGCCAGGAGAGCATCGGCGTCGCTGGATGGAGCGCGGATGGTTGCGTTACCTCAGGCAATGTGTGCGTCGCCAACGTCAACGGCGACTGCCCCACGGGTGCTCACTGCGAGTGGCTCGACACTGGCGTCTACGGCTGCGCGGACGGCGCCCCCGCCAACAACGAGACGTCGAGCGCGGCTGGCTGCAGCGGCAGCGAGCAGACTATTGGCGTTGTGGGCTGGGACCACGATGGCTGCATCGACTCCGACAACGTGTGTGTGGCCCAGGTGAGCAACGGTGACTGCCCTGAGGGCGCCTACTGCTCGCTGCTCGATACGGGTGTGTACGGCTGTGTGGCCAGCTCCAAGCGTCACCACAAGCACAAGTCGCACCAGAAGGATGCGACGTGCCCCAGTGGCCAGGAGAGTATCGCCGTCGCTGGCTGGAGCGCGGACGGCTGTGTCACCTCCGGCAACGTGTGTGTTGCCAACACGAACGGTGACTGCCCTACTGGTGCCCACTGCGCGTGGCTCGACACTGGTGTGTACGGATGCAAGGACGGCGCCCCGGAGGCCTCGAGCTGGGCTGGTTGCAGTGGCAGCGAGCAGACTATTGGCGTTGTGGGCTGGGACCACGATGGCTGCATCTCGTCGAGCAACGTATGTGTTGCTCAGGTAAGCAACGGTGACTGCCCCGAGGGTGCCTACTGCTCGCTGCTCGACACCGGCGTGTACGGCTGCGTGGCCAGCTCCAAGCGTCACCACCGTCACCACCACCACAAGTCGCACGAGAAGGGTGTGACGTGCCCCAGCGGCCAGGAGAGCATCGGCGTCGCTGGATGGAGCGCGGATGGTTGCGTTACCTCAGGCAATGTGTGCGTCGCCAACGTCAACGGCGACTGCCCCACGGGTGCTCACTGCGAGTGGCTCGACACTGGCGTCTTCGGCTGCAAGGATGGTGCTCCGGCTAACGAGACCTCGAGCTGGGCTGGCTGCAGCGGCAGCGAGCAGACGATTGGCGTTGTGGGCTGGGACCACGATGGCTGCATCGACTCCGACAACGTGTGTGTGGCCCAGGTGAGCAACGGCGACTGCCCCGAGGGTGCCTACTGCTCGAAGCTGGACACGGGTGTGTACGGCTGCGTCGCCAGCTCGAAGCACTAAGCGCTATCAGCCCCCAGGGTTGTGGTGGGTGAAGGCTCCCGGACGTTCGTAACGATGACCCAGAGCCGCTTTGTAATTACGACGGCATCTTTATCAGTGCCTTTTGTTCTGTATTTCATCTGTATTCAGACAATACAAAACACAATTAGCTTTTGTTAGTTGACTTGGCTTGCTGCGAACTTCTCTTTGCAGTATTGTGCCTTTCAGAAACTTTGGCCAATCTGACCTCAAAAAGGTGGTCTTAAGAAGGAGAGGGTAGGGTTAAACCTAGGATTTGCTGTTAGCCCTGCATCGGATTACGGAAGTCCTACGTAGGAGCTCCGTCTTCATCTAAAGGGTACCTTTTTGGAAATAAGGACGAATGGCCATGTTATGCTGGCCATTCGGGCCTTCGCAGGACTAACGAGCCCTTCGTAGGACTAGATCACGTCAGTGTGCCTGACAGCATCTGTGGCAAATGCACAGTTTGGCCACACTCGTACAGGCGGAGACTCCAGCTAGGTCACCATGCCAGCGTGGAGCTACGTACGGATACATGTGCTACAGCCTGTAGCCTACATGTATAATGGTACTGCACACGCTCATTTGTTGGCCTCCCTTCGCAAACAATTCGCTCAGTTTACATTCAGTTATTGTTTATGCACGGTTTTACTGGCCTTGGTACTAACTTTTATGAGGTCTTACGTAGGAGTAAGACTCCTACGTAGGACCTCAAATCGGAGGGCGTTTTGGCAGAAAGGCACAATACTGTACCACGCGCTTCATCTTACCGAGATCCACACCTTCTTGTAGAAGGCTTCTACGAGCCCGAGCCCGTCAACTTCAAAAGTGGGCTCCCCCTCATTCGAGAGCCAAAAGTCGCACAAAATGGGCTCCCTCATGGTAAGTACTACCTCCGTTCGGAAAATAAGGGCAGTTTTAAAAAAAATTGCGCATAGCTCCGCCTCGTTTTTTTATGATTATAAGCTGTGCAAAGAGAGCTCAATTAGAGCACGACCAAATTTTGAATCTGAATAGGTAGCCACGAGGCAAACGCGAGGTGCGCATCACGGCCACCGCATAGCGCTTCGCCATGCATGATGAGACAATAACAGCAGCGGCGGGGTGCATGTTCCACCGCTACCGGTAGCTGCACAGCGTACTTGTTCCGCCTCTAGCAACGTTCAAGCGAGCAGAGCTTCGCAGGATCTACTTGATGCTCAGCCTGACAAGCGCGTTCACTACCGTTGCATGATTGCCTTCCTGATGTCTAGATGCGCGCTCCACGAATGCTGAGCTACATACGCTGTGCGCTCACCTGCTGCCTTGTAGTCTCCCTCGACCTGCGAACATGCTGGGCATGAATACGCACAGAGCACGAACGTTAGCACACGAGCGTTTCGCACAAGTTCACCCAATCATGTCGTCACGGGGGGTCTTCGCGCGCAGGCTAGCCTTGGGGGCCATGAGCCTTAAGTTGAGGGCCCTCGAAGATCGTCCAGCAGCTTGTTGCTCTCGCTCGAAGTGAACGGCGGGAGATTCGAATCACTCCACCCATCCCTTTTCAAAATGATGCGAACGGATACACATTTGTTTAGCAAGGTATCTTCTTGAGGAGGATATAAAACTTGCGAAATCGGAAATAGTTTGAAACTGCCTTTTATTTCCGAACGGAGGTAGTACGAGATCAAGGAGCCTGGTTCGGGCTCCCCATTGGGGGCTCCCCAAATTTAGCTTCAAACCTAAGACGGGCTCTTCATAGTAATATCTGATTGGCCAATTTTACCTAGACTTAAGGCGAGCAACTTCGCGTGATCGATGCGCCAAGCTAGAAGATCGAGCTCACAGATCACCACACTAGAAGATCTCGCGCCGCTCATATGTGTACAGCCACTCCGAGGCCACCCCAGCGTCGCTGATCGTCCTTCCTTCCCCTCAAGGAGAAGCCCTCTTTCCTATGCCTTTTCAGGTTAGAACCTGGAGATACTTCAATGACGGCCAATCATCAGCGAGATACTTAACACAGGTGAGGGGGGAGCCCTTAACAAAGGCTCACAGTTCTGGAGGGCTCCTTTCACTTAATCTATTGAACTCAAGAGCCCAGGAGCCCGAGCTCGCGACTTTTTGGGTTCACACAAGAGCCCAGGAGCCCGGCTCTCCCCAGGGCGCCTTCAAGATGAACTACCGCCTCCGCTCGGAAAATAATGGAGTTTTCAAAAAAATATTCTCGAGAGCCCCGCCTCTACAGTAGTACATGTAGTAGTAGAAAATCTGTTTCAAAACTGGTGGACTGATCGCATGTGCATGATCTCCAAACTTCGAACCCAAGTAGTGTGGCTGAATTCAAGCGGCTTAAGCTGTTTATTTTCTAGGAGGCTTGCACCTCCGGCGGCGTAGCGTGCGCCGTGGAGGGACTTTCACAGTGTCCAATGCCTGAGTCAAAGCCTTTAACACGTTGAAAGTGTAAGTGCGGTTTTTAGTAGTATTATCGACTGCGAGAACTTGCCGGCCGGGGCTCTAGCGGACGGCATGCACCTGGCCGGCGTGCTTGCATGCCACAGCCGGGCGGCTCGGGGGTGACACCACAAACCAAGCTGGATTTCTGCGCTACTGCATGCGGTGGTGTATTGCGGCGGTCTTAGACCGTCCGCCGGAAGGCGGGACCTGTGGGGGGTCCACGGTGGCTTTCATGCGTGGAGTCATTGCGCCGTTTCCCATTAGAAAGCAGCCCACGGGTGACGCCGTGGTCCCAACTGGTAGTCATTGCCTCTATAGGCTGCGTGCGATCCTGGCAGGTCACCAGATCGACGGGCGTGCTGAGTGCGCACGCCCTCCACAGTACTCGTAGTGACGCGCGAGAGCATACTGTAAGTCAAAGTGGCCTGCGCTACATGAAGCTGGCCCCGACGGGGTGGTCCTCCAATGGTGCACCCACGGCGCGGCAGGACCAAGAAAATCGCAGTGGTAGAGATCCAGATACGACTGACTCGGGGATGACGACGTCATGTCGCCAAACACAGCGCCGCTGGGGTGCTCATCGGTACATTGGGCATGAAGGAACGCATGTCGGCCTTGACAATTGCAGTGGAGAAGTTCAAGCTTCGGAGGACAGTCGCTGCTGACAGAGCAGCGGGACCGCGTATGCTGTTCGCGGGGCCAAGTGGACAGAACTCGAGTAGACCGTTTCACTACGATGCACATTACATATAGTAGTTCGGTGCTGTGTGCATGCATGGGAAGCCTCAGGTGAAGATATCGATTCTGATAGCTGTGGAGTAGGCATCCGTGCTTGGGACGGAGTTACGCAGGAGACTATCAGGAATTGTTGGAGGCATTCAGGGATAGTAAGCTCGATCATGCATGCGCCGCATCCTCAACTAAGCTCAAGTTGTAGTAACTCAGTACATTTGCATCTTTGTGAAACCTGCATGAATTTTACAACCTTCCACTCTCTATTGGTCCCACCCTGCCGAATCTAACGGGGCCACCTGTACCACATGGATACAGCGGTGATAAATACTAATAGACGACAGTATCATAACCAGGAGCAGAATCCTGTATTTAGAGTGTCCGAAGGTCGCACGACTACTTGCGGTGAGCAGGAATCCGAGTCTCATAATGGACAGGACTCGGCATTGGAGTCACGTAAGAGGTGCTGGAGGATCCGGCGTGGTGGTGGTGGTGGGGGGGGGGGGGGCGGACGGGGCGTGTGATAGCCTGTCTCCCCGGGGAACAACTGAAGGTCATTGTCGGCCGAGGAGGGTCCGCGGAGTCCGATGTCAGGGCTAGCCTTGGAGGTGTCAATGGTGGTGTGCTCCGATGCGGCGCAGGTGCCGACGACCACGACGGCAGCAAGGAGAACTCCGGTGACGAGCTTCATTGTTAGGCGCGTGGTGATGGCGGTTGTTGCTGTTCCTTGGGAATTGGGGAATGGATCGCCAAAACAGTGCTTACTCAAGCCACATCGGAGTGCTGACGACGTGTGGGGCCCGAAAATCTGAGTCTCATCATACTTAAGTACATGCACGCTGTATTGTGCTTTGCAGACTTTTTGGCACTTCGTACGACTTAGCGAGCACGACTTATCTATAAATCGTACCCGAGTACGAATTGCTGTAAATCGTGGATGGTCAATCTGCACCAGGTAGAGTGCACAGACCAACTCGTGCATGATTTAGCACATCCAACACGAGTAAGCATCGCTTTGGCACTTTTAGAAAGTGCCATTTCCGAGCCAAATCGGCTCCGAAACACGATTTGATCAACTCGCATTCAATGCCTCTATGAATTTATTCCTAAGTACGAACACTAACTAGTGCACGAAATAGAAGGGCAAAATGGATGCAGAGCACAATACATGTACTGGGTTTAGTTACGAATAGTAATCGGAATTCATGTACAGGCGGCCCCGTCAGATTCGTCAGGGTGGGACCAATAGAGAGTGGAAGGTTGTAAAATTCATGCAGGCTATTGAGGAACGCTTGTGTTGTTGATGGCAAATGCCGAAGTGAGTTGATAAAGGTTACCAAAGTTGTCCTACTTGTCCTTCTCAACTCTACTCCCCTCTTCTCCTTCTTGTTGTCCTCTCGTGTCTGCTTATGCAATCACCGCTTGCTACACCGTCGAACCAACCAAGTTGACCAACCTGAAGATTAGCCAATAGAAAGCGTTCCAGGACGGTTCTGGGTGAACCGTGCCAACGGTTAAGGTACGGAACGGAACCGTACTTAGCGATGCACTTTAACACTCCCACTCACCACTACGGTACGGTGACCTTCTCCTTGATCCCGCTGGCGTTCCGCAAGTGCTTGAGCGACTTCGTCCCGAGCGCCTTCGTCAGCATGTCCGCCAGTTGCTGCTTCGTCTCGACGTAGTCCACCTTGACCGTTCCGCGTTCCACGTTCTCGCGGATGAAGTGGTGTCGAATGTCCACGTGCTTCGTCCTGGCGTGGTACCCAGCGTTCTGGACCAGCGCGATCGCTCCTTGGTTGTCTTCCCACAGCTGCGTCGCGTCCACTTGTTCCTTGCCCATGTACTTCAGCATTGCACGCGTCCAGAGCACCTCCTGCACACATAGACTCAATGCCATGTACTCAGCTTCCGCAGAGCTGAGTGCAACCGTTCTCTGGAACTTGGACTTGAACACCACGGGATCGTTCCCGATCATCACCATGACGCCTGATACGGAACGCCTGTCGTCAAAGTTGCTTCCCCAATCGGCGTCCGTGAACGCTTCAACCCTGATGCTGTCGTCGCCATATTGGTACACGATACCGTACTCCCGGGTCGTCTTCAAGTAGCGCAGCACGCGAATGGCAGCTCGCCAATGCAGCAGACCGGGGTTCTCCAGGAATCGCGACAACTGGGTCACCACGTACGCGATGTCCGGTCTGGTGCATGTCGTGATGTACAGCAGACATCCGATCAGGGAACGGTACGGCCGTGACTTCATCTCAGTACGCTCTTCATCCGTTCCGGGCGACTGCGTCTTGGTCAGCTTCAGGCCCGACGTGCACGGGTTGTCCACAGGCTTAGCGTACCGTTGACCGAACCGTTCCACCACGTCGTCAATGTATCTCGTCTGCTTGGTCATGAGCGTTCCATCGTTCTTGTTGTGGTCAATCTCCATACCCAAGATGAACTTCGCCGTGCCGAGCGCCTTCATCTTGAACGCGTTCTTCACCTCACGAACCTCACCACTCGTCTTCGCAGCGATAATCATGTCGTCGACGTACAGGAACACGTAGATGAAACCGTTCCTGGAACGCTTGACGTAGACACACTGATCCTCCCCGCAGCTCTTGAAACCGTTCCCCAAGAACACACGGTGGATGGTCTTGTTCCACGCACTGGCCGCCTGCTTCAGGCCGTAGATAGCCTTGATCAGCTGGCACATGTAGTTCGCAGCGTTCTCAATACCAAATGACACCTCCATGTACACACGGTCCGTCAGCTCACTGTTCAGGAACGCTGTGTCCGCGCCCAACTGCTCCATCACGTATGCGTCTGCGACGCACACGGCCAGCACGACCCGGATCGAATTCATGTTCGCGACCGGAGAGTACGTCTCGAAAACGTTGACACCGTACTTCTGCTTGAAACCCTTCGCAACCAACCGTGCCTTGTACCGGATCACGCGACCGTTCTCGTCACGCTTCTTGGCAAACACCCACCGGCTACCAATCGTACGCGTATGCGTTCCACGTCGTACCAGCGTCCACGTTCCGTTCCGTTCGTGCGAGAGCAACTCCGTGTCCATTGCATCCCGCCAGGCATCTGCGTTTTCGCTAGTAATGGCCTGCGCATACGTTGCCGGAACATCCATTCCATCGTCGATCCTGGCCACGTACGCCAGTACAGCCTCCGAATGAGACCGTCCTCGTCGATCCTGGGTCGCTTCGGGGACGCCAGCCCATCACTCTTTTCCGACTTGCGTTCCTCGCCATCGTCATCGTCACCGTCCCCCAAAAGAAACACCGGTTCACGGGATCTTCTTGTCTGTTCCGGTTCGGGGTGGAACGCCAGGTGGTCGTCCTGGAACGCTTGAGGTGGAGGCCGGTACGCAGTCAACTCCAATCCAGTCGCAGCTGGGCGTTCCGGTGCCGGCGGCCGCAGTACCTCCTGCTCTGGCTCAGCCTCATTCATCTCGACGTCTGGAACGGGTTCCTCAACAGCTTCCATGGGTTCGTCCTCGACCGGTTGGCGTTCCACCTCGATAGGAACGGTTGGCACATCTCCGTCCTTGGTCACATGGATGACCGTTCCATGCTGCGGTGATAGATTCCGCCCACCTCGCGCTCGTCCAGCTTGACCGACCGTGACACCTTAACCTTGGACGCATCCATGTCGTATACACGGTACCCATTAGCGTTCTCCGCATACCCGAGGAACATGCACCTAAAGGTCTTGGGCTCGAGCTTCGTCCTCTTCGCATCGTCAATGTGAGCGTACCCCGGTGAGCCGAACACGCGCAGGTGATCCATCCGTGGCTTCACCTTGAGGATGACCTCGTACGGCGTCACATCCGAGCGTTCCGTGATCGTGGAACGGTTGATCAGGTACACCGCCGTGCTCACAGCCTCCGCACACCATTCCGTCGACACGCCCTTGTAGTGTAACATGCTGCGTGCCTTCTTCACGATCGTCCGGTTCATGCGTTCCGCCACTCCGTTCTGCTGGGGGCTGTAGGTCACCGTTCGCTGATGCATGATACCGTTCCGGCGACAGAGATCCGTGACCGTCTTGTTCACGAACTCCGTTCCATTGTCCGAGCGCAGGCACTTCAAGCGTTCTCCCCATTGGTTCTCGTACAACGCCTTGAACTCCTTCAGCTTGTCGGCCACTTCGCTCTTCTTCGTCATGAAGTACGCCACGACATACCTCGAGTAGTCGTCCACGAACGTGAGCACGTACTTCGCCCCACCCTTGGAGACCGTTCTCATCGGCCCCATCACATCCGTGTGGACTAGTTCCAACACACGCGATGTCTTCGTCGTCGACCGTGCCAGGAATGATGCCACAGTCTGCTTCCCCTTCATGAATCCGCCGCACAAAGTCTTGACGCTACGCCCCACGGTTGGCAAACCGTTCGTAGCACACTGAGTCTTGGCCATACCGTTCTCGCTCGGGTGCCACATGCGAGCGTGCCAAAGCTCCCACTGACTGTCAGCCCCGGCGTATTCCACGAACCGTGCCGACTCCTGCTCGCAGTCGAGCACATGGCCTTGCCAATCTTCTTGCCCATCGCGACCGCGCCGGCGGTCCCCCATATGACACACGAGGAACGCTGGAACTCAACGCTCAGACCGCGTTCCGCAAGCTTCCCCACCGACAGCAACCGTCTGTCGAGTCCCGGAATGTACAGCACGTCCTTCATTGTGATGCGTTTCCCGTCCATCCCGGTCAGCTTGACCGTTCCTCGCCCGACGACCCGCAGCTGCTTTCCGTCGGCGATGGTCACCTGCATGCCAGTGACCATTCCATCCATTTCAAAGAGGTCATCACGATGCGGGGTCATGTGGGATGACGCCCCGCTATCGATCAGCCACCCGGCGAGGCGTTCCTCACCCACGGCGAACACGGTGTCGTTCCCAGCGCTACCATTCTTGCCCGAGCAGTCCCGCTTCATGCGGCCCACCTAATCGCACTGAAAGCACTTGCCCTGGAAGGCACCGTTCTTCTTCGGACCGTTCCCCTTGCGACCGTTCCCACGACCGCCCTTGAACCGTCCAGCGTTCCCGTTGGCGCGGAACGCTTTCTCCGTAGTGGAATCCATCTTCTCGAGCCGTTCAAACTCCTTCAGCAGCTTCTCCTTCACGTCGTTCAACGTGACATCCTTGGCGTTCTCCAGGATGGACGCGATCAGTTCGTACTCGGACGGTAGGCTGCTCAGCAGCACCACGAGCTGCCGTGCCTCGTCGACCGGTTCTCCCATCGTCTGCAGCCTAACGATCAGCTCGTCGAACGCGTCCAGATGCTTGGCCATCGACGTTCCAGCATCCATCTTGAACTCATGCAGACGCCTCGTCATAGCGACACGGTTGTGGAGCGTGGTACGGTTGTAGCACTCCCTCAGAGTGTTCCACGCCTGCATGGCACGCGTCGTGGAACGGATCTTCGTCTGGTGCTGGAGCTCCACACCCTGCGCGATAATGCCCAACGCCTTCGCGTCGTTCACTAGCCACGCATCCGTGATCTCGTTCTCCGCCTTGACGACCTCCACATGCGCGAGCAGCCCCTTCCGGGCCAGCGTCATGCGCATGATGTACTACCCGTGGAAATAGTTCCCACTGCCCCGGAGGACTTCGGCGCGCTTGGTCGCCATGTCTCGAGCGGAACGTTCTTGGTCGAGCGTCCTTGTGGAGAAGTGCTGAATAAGAATTGTTCGCCGAGAAAGGCGGCAGGGCCGATCGACTGGAAGTATGGGGGTCAGCGATCGAGAGACAGGCAGCGAAGATCTATGGATCAGAGGGAGTTCTTCGGGAGATCTCAAGTGGCCCGATGACGCCGGCGCGTAAGGCAGGACATGTGGCAAGCCGGATTGGGGATGATCGCGTTCGAACCGTGGCGTGATTCGAGGCCGACCCAAGTCCCGATCGACGACAGATCTCGCAGATCGAGGACGGCCGAAGACGGAAGACGATGGATCGGCGGTGTACGGCAACCGGCACAAGTCGTCGATCGAGAGTTGATCGCCGATCGCCAATCGGGAGTCGATCGTGTATCGGGAGCCGATCGTGGGATGATCGTGGATCGGGGATCGACCGCGATGGGATGCACATGGAGGACGAAGTCACGACAAGAATCCAGTGGATGTTTAGTTGTAGGATGGTAGATGAGATGGCAGCGGTAGGGAGACACCAGCTAAACATAAATCAGAGCAGAATTTGCACCAAAGGCCACAAGTCCCCTCAAGTCTCCAAGTCCAGGGACTACATTGGCCTCGGCAGCGTCGCCACTTTGGGTAGTGAACTAGCGGTACGGTTAAGACTGGATTAATACATTGGCCAGCTTGACCTACTCTAGTGAGCTATCTTTTGTGTGCAACTCCTCGATCGACCGGATATTAGTGCTTGGCCGGCGATCATTTCTCCTCTCGATCAACTTCGATCCCGCAATAGGAAGCGGCAAACAACTCAAGAAAGGAAGGAACACACCCGGAAAGGCAACTACAGGCCTTGGATCTACTCCAGACCGACCGATCGCAGCGAACAACCCTCGATCGGAGCGTATACTCGGACGCAGAGCGAAGACTACCGCGCTGCTCCACAAACTATCCCCGCGTCACGCCAAGACATTCGATCTTCACCAAGTGCTGCATCTTTGGAGCCCCGAGAGAGCGGATCCAGCCCGCCGACGGGTACACAAGGTGAGAACAAGTTCAGCCGATCACAGATCGTTGGGGGGCCCCCTCCGTTAGTCGGTGTCTGGGCGCTGGTGGGAAGCTCGGTCAGGGCTTAACCAGATTTTGGCCGATCCCGCTACACCACAATGGTGCGCGTGCCCGGATCTCTTGGGGACTCCGGATTTCACCGTAAGTCCGTAGAAGATGCGCAAGTGAAGAAAGAACCAGGGGAAGAGGCGTCGACGGATATTCGGATCAACGAAGACGCTGCTGAACAAAACAAGACCCGCGGATTGACAGAGTGCTCGGAGGACTTCTTTCGACGAAATCGAGGGCGATCTGGAGACAGATCTAGAGGACAAACCTCAACATCCTCCCCAGGTCCCTTCGGGGACCCCGGTGGATCTTGGTGCAAACCGAGATTCACTAACAAAACAAACTAAGGCGGGATCGGACCGATACGCGTTCGCCGACTCGCCGATCAGGCTCGATCCGGACTACCTGGACGCGATCGCGGACAAGGACGAGATCGTGAGGAAGAAGCCGAAAGCGCCAGGCTTGGACGACGAAGATCCCAGACCGTCGGCGCTCGACTGGTCCGAGGCTGACCTGGATCGTCAGTATCACTTGAAGGAACTGCGAGACTTCTTGCGTCAAGATCCTGTCATGGTGATCTTGCGGCCAGAGCAGATCGACGACCCGAAGGGCCCGATCTCGGCCCCCCGAGTGACGGACAACAAGCTGATGGCGGTGAAGAACCTGCTCGGGCTGTTGAAGGAAGCCGGTTTCGTGGCTGGCGCCTATGAAGCGAACGGCCTTTTCGATCAAGATCTCGATGTGATCCAGACTGTGATCCAGACATTGGTCGACAAGTTGAGACCTTTGGTCGACGTGATCGCGGACAGTCCGGACCTGAAGGTGCCAGTGCTAGTGTCGCCAGCTCCCGCGTCGTCGCCGCGGATGGAGTCCACTGGGTACCGACCGTCGTCTCCTTATGTCTTCGCAGCGGAACATGTATCGGATACGTCGTCCGAACCTCAACGGATGCCCCTCGGCCCTTCAGGATCTGTGATGTTGGACGCACGATCACGGAATCAACGTCAGGAACGCATGCGATCAGGACCTCGGAAGCAGAAACCCAAGTCGACCGATCGGACCACCAGTGCTACCGGATCAGATGCGTCGAATAACAGACTGGATTCTTACTTTCAGGCTGCGATGGCTCGATTTCTGAAGGAACAACAGGCCACGGTGGCAACACCTACTCCAGTGGTCGACGACAACGTTGGATCGCGGGACGTGGAGATGGAATCAGCCGGATCGCCGGATCAAGATCCCTCTCAGTGGGAATACGATCTGGACGACATTGATCTACCGAGTTCGGCCCCTGCTGCGGTGGTCACCGCTGCCTCAGGATCCACTGGGTCCTCCTTAATCCAGCGTGCGCGGATTTCGGCGATGCCCGATCTTAAGGAGTTCAGTGGCAAGGATCAGGACGAAGACCGCGCCCGATCGTGGACCAGCAAGGTGAAATCGGCGTCCCTGCGAGATCAGGCTACGGACGAAGAGAAGTGCCTGACCTTCGCTGATCAACTGACGGGCCCGGCGAAGAACTGGTACCGCCAGCTGGGCCGATCGACGCGGAACAAGTGGAGCGATCTACTCCGGAGTTTCCAGATCCAGTATTGTGGCCTGGGAGTATCGGCCGCTTGGCAGTATTACCATTCTCGCAAGAGATCATATGAATCGCCGTTGGAGTACCTCTATCGACTGAATGTGGCGGCTCTGTGTGCGAAATTGAAGATCAAGGACGGAGATTCCAAGGCCCGCCGAGAACATGTCGAACACTTTATCGAGACGCTGGGCGATCCGGACCTGGCCGATCGGCTCACTATACTCCGGCTTGCGGACGCAGAAGATCTGGAGGAAGTCCTGCGCGCTCGAGAGCGCGCGAAGAGCAGACAGAAGCGATCTGCCTTTGAATCGAAGTATCTTCAGAAGGTTCTGACCTCAGCACCAGCTGCTGCAACCAACCGGGCAGTGCGTGCAGTGCAGATCGCGAGCCAGGAGTCTGGATCGGACACGGGATCAGACGGATCGGACTCAGAGGGTGATCTACGTCGCGTTTACCTAGCGTCGGCCGAGGACAAGTCCCGCAACGCTGGGGGCGACGCGACGAAGCCGGATCGAAGCAACCAAGCGCAGATCAACCATGACCCACCTCGATCGGATCCACGATCGCTATCTTCACCTGACGGCTCGGAGCGATCAAACCGCTGCTCACATTGTGGATCGCGGAAACACACCGATCTCGATTGTTGGAGACGTTTGAGGTGCGAGAAGTGTGGCAAGAGAGGTCATCCGACGGATCGCTGCCTGTTTGTGTGCCGTGGATGTGGTGAACTACACGAGATGGGCAAGTGCCCGATGGAGGAATTCAACAACCAGATCCGTCAATGGTGTGAAGCACGCTGGCATGTTGCCCGCGATCGACGAGAAGATGTTAAACTAGGACGCTCGCCGGGTTGGAATCCGGTACGAGCCGAGCGTTCTAGGTACTGCATCTATGCATTCGTGAACAACAACACGGTAGATCGAGTAAGTGGACGGACTGATCTACGCGGTAATACATGTGATCTGCATGCGAAATCTACCGCCAAGGTCTTAAGTCTACATCGATCGGACGACTTCAGCCGTTCTGACGCCGAAGTGCCCTTGGATCTCCAGTCTGGAGAAACGCGGGGCTATTGGAAGCAACTCAGACCGGAAGAATGGTTCACGCCAGCTGATGGAGAAGTGACGACCGAGATCTCGGAGCATGATCGCGATCGAAGTCGGCCTCGCGTCAGCGAACACCGCAAAGCGGCGAAATCAAGTGACGATACAGCAGTCGACGGTGTTCCAGCATCTGAACGACTGCCGCAAGTGGCTGAAGACTCATCGATCGTTGGAGTTGATCATCTGGAAATGGAGCCCAAACCCACTTCAAATCGGGGCGATCTTGTTACGTCCGAACCAGATCGAGACGTTGGTGCTGACGATCAGGTCCATTACCACGAGGGCGGGGATCTGTCAGCAGAAGATGTCGAAGGTGAATTAGCTGTGCTTCCTGAAATCGCGATCTCGACGACGGATGAAGTGAAGATCGATCATATCAAGGTGGGAGATCTGGAGTTCAACACCCCGGAGGAGATCGATCGGCTGCGAAAAAAGGTCTGGCATAGGAATCACTTGCTGATCGGCAAGGGCAATGCACTTCCCCCAGCAGCCCGAGGCGTCACCTGTGACATCGACGTGGGCGACGCGAAGCCGATCGCTCAACGTGTCCGGAAAGTTGCCCCGCAGTTCGTGGAGAAGGTGTTCTCTGGATTTTATCCAGAGTCCATGGGTGAAGGCCACTGAGGTGCCATTATTCTCACATCAAATACCTGCTAAATATGGGTTTGAGCGCTGCTGATGTTTATAGCTAGAATACCTGTTATACTGGATAGTCTGCGATCTAAGCAAATTATGCTGCTATGTTGACCCATCCGGTCGAGATTAAGTCAAATTACCTATTATTTTGCATACCCTTTAATCAAGCATGTATACCTGTGATAGATAGTTTATCTGCCACTCAAGCGACATCCATCGGATTTTTTCGCTCCAACAACATGCCGACGGGATCCCACCCCGGTTGCTAGTGGGGCATTGCTTCGGAAAATGTTGTATCTTAGCTTCTCAGCACCGCCCCCAAGTATCCTATGCACACTCATACTTTTACCAAATTGGTTTCAAAAATATATGCATGAAGTGCCGGGTTTGCATCAGATTTTATTAAAATGACCGGGTTTGGAGTTTAATATGGAAAACGGTATAGGCAGCACGGGGACCGATGCCACGAGCAATCGCAGCGAGCACTGGTACACACCCCGCGTGCTCCCAACGTTGCACACATGCTGACCAACTAGAACTTGCATGTCCGAGTCATCCGTCGCCGCCATAAATGAAGACATGAAAGAGGCTTGACGTAACAGCAAGGGATCTCGTGCCGCATCTCGTAGCGTTTGACCTCTTTCAACCGTAAATCATTGTATAGTCTTTTGCTTAGTCCTGGTTTCCATGCTACAGTAGTAAATAAACACTTTCCAAATCATTTGCAACAAATTTCCGGGTGAATATCGTTAAATACCCCCCACAGTACCAGGCTAAATCGTACTTGAGCATTCAGCAAGCCAATATATCAGTAAAATTGTAACTCATGGCGAAAAATTCAGTCACATTACATTCAACAACAACCGGTATGCACATTTGCTCTTGCATTACATTAATTTAAAGCTCATTGAAACAGCGAGACAAGCAGTGTGCCCCCCAACACGTAAGTGCTTTTCACAATAACACGAACTCACTGTAAGTGATTTAAAAGAGCTTCAAGATAAACAACTACACGTCTCACTCCACAAACATGTTCGCCAGATTCACTATACAGAAACACACACTTAACAAACGCTAGTGTTAGCTATATATTTGGCGTTTGTGTGAGCATGCAAGACCAAACGTTGATGTCAGAATTGCACATTTCTACTTTAACTTGCTCAGGAAATAGCATGCGATTTTGGAGAGCAACGACGTCTTACTTCCTGCGCAAATGACAATAAGTCGTCTATTTATCAAGGTTGTCGGAGTAAAAAGTACCTGTAAAAAGGGTGAAAAGTATATTTCATTAAAGGGGAGGCTATGCCCCAATTAACGGATTTATACGAAGAGTGGTCATTCTTGAATTCACTAGAGGTTTGGGCTGATAGTGCATTTTTGAAGTACTTCAGTTCTGACATTTTTAAGTGCAATTTGAAATAATAGGACGAAGGAACAACATAGTCTCTCCCTTTAGCCACAAGCGAAACGACCAAGTATTCACAGAGCTAGAGGTGTTGATTACCGGACGTACTACTGCGGTACTAGGGCTTCACGTAGGCTAGGATAGGCAAATGACAGTATTTTTTTCAGAAAGCCGTTGCACATACATAGCTTATTTAACTACCTGATAGTAGCCGAAAAAAAACTAAAATATCACTCAAACCAGCGCTTACTGATTCTCTTATCCACTATATCATCGTCCATATAATAACGGGTATTTATTTGAGAGTAGCCACACTATAATTTTCGACTAGCTACTTTTGATAATACTGTTCCAAATAGCCACTTTTTGGGTACCGACTAGCTACTTGGCCACCGCACTTATTTTTGGTCGGACCAATTAATCAAAAATAATATTTGGTCCAACTATTTGAACACCATGAGTGGCCAAACGGGCGAGGGCGAGTGGATGCTAGCGCGAGACTCAGTCAGTGCATTCACCGATTGCCAACACCCGCCGATTAGGCGGGGGCGTGTCTGCGCGAGCGAGCGAATGCGAGCGCTGCAACCCGATTTTTTTCTCCTAGACACCGCGCCCACCGAGCGAAGCGAGAGAGCCCCCCCCCTAAGTGCCGTCGCTAAGTCCGCAGGCGAGTGCCAACGCGCGAGTGCCCTACCCACTTCAACATCAAGCACCGAACTTCAACATCAAAAGTACATAGTTTACCAATGAAAAAGTGGTCACTCGATAATTTATTATGATACCACATTTGTATTTGCTACTATGCACATTTAGTGACTCGAGTATTCACTTTTAGCATGTAAACTAGCCACTATGAAGTGGCTAGTCGATAATTCGTCCTGGGCTGGCGTTTGAGTTTTTGGCTAGCTATTGGTTGCGTCTCGACTAGCCACTACTAGCTAGTTTGCATGCAACGAGTGGCTAGTCGGAACCGTAGTCACAAAAGTGGCCAGTCGAAAACTGTAATGTGGCTAGTTGAAAAACCGCACCCCATAATAAAACATAACCTGCTCAACATCAATTCAATCAGCTGGGCAACGTTAATGGTGATCATGCAGTAAGGAGATCGCTAACTGAGTAAGATGGAATCTGTACTTCCAGCCGACCGATCAAGTGCACGAATGAAGACCGTTGGATACTGAATAGAAAGGTATAAAAATCATTTGGTTATACTTCGATAGTGTCACCCGCACGACCCAAGGGCATCTCCTGAGCCTGCTTCGCAGCCGCAGCATCTGCCCAGAAATTGCATCGCTATTAGTAAGAAGAAACTGATTTACAACATAACACACGGGAGTCGGGGATTGTAGCTAGCTAGCCAACACTGACGATCTTAACGATGTCGATGTCGTCTACGTAGATGTAGCCGCGATTCTTGACGATTCCTGTCGAGTTGAACGGGGTACCGAGCTCCATCAACTTACTGGAACGCGTTCTCGAGAGACGGCATCACCTCACAGCTCCGGTGCTGAAGCTGCCTGCGCACGAGGCCTGAGTCGCATGACCTCTGGGTCTTCACTAATGATGCCAGACATAATGGCTCTTGCCACAGGCCATAGCTAATCATGTAGCTGCCAGTGGCCGATGCTTTCGTCGTAATGCCTAACTAATAACTCGTCACCGTTGAAGGCGAAAATTCGCCGTGAGTATGCTGCTATACTAATTCAACTAATACTGGTTACCCTCAGCCAATACCATATCTCCACTCCTTTCTGCCATTGGCACGTAGAAACAAGATGCCACAGTACACTAACTTATATGCCCAAGAGCGACGTAAAATCCAGAGCTGTTCCGGGCAGAGCACGGCCTTGTCTGAGCTGATCAAGGAATTATTGTCAGCCAAGATGATTCGGAAATCTCGATCACCGTGGGCCTCGCCGATTGGCGTGATCATCAAGAAGAACGGCGTGGGTATCCGACTCTGTATCGACTATCGGCTCGTCAACAGTCTAACCAGGCTGATGGTGTATCCGATGCCCTTGATCAACGCTCTGCTGGAAGATCTGGACAAGGTACTCTGGTATTGCTCTTTGGACATGGCGAGTGGATTTTGGGTAGTGACAATGACCGATCGAGCTCGTGCGATCTCGGCCTTTATCACCCACATGGCCGTTCGGCCTGAAGAACCCTCCTCAGATCTATCAGCGACTTCTGGACGACGCGTTGTATGGGTTCACCAGGATCCCGTGATCGTCGGACTGTGAAGTCACTACGGATTTGATCGAGTCAGGAGAACCAGAAGATCCGGAGCGTCCATCAGTGCTAGGTCGCAGATCGTACATTGATGACATTCTTGTGACGGCCGGGTCATGGGACGAGCTGTGTGATCGCGTTGACCACCTGCTGGACGCTTGTGATAAGTGGAACCTCTCGATCAGTGTGGAGAAGAGCTCTTGGGGGATGCGTGAGGTGGACTATCTGGGACATCGTGTGTCGAACGATGGGCTGGAGGCCAATCTGAAGGATCTCACTGCCCTGACTGCTCTGCCGTTCCCCGGATCGCTCCGATCGATGCAGTCATTCTTGGGCAGTCTCAACTACTACAGCCGTTTCTTGGAAGATTACGCGATCTACGCGGCGATCCTGTACGAACTGCGCGAGGTGGACTTCGCTGAGCTGAAGAAGCGCCCCGATCTGCGCCAGATCCTGAATGGATACGGAACCAGTGAGCCCGAATCGGACTCCATCCGTTCCTGAAGTCGGTGTTGCCGATGAACGCTGAACCCGTGCTTATCGTGCCTTTGCGACACTGAAGACGAAGATCGCGACGACGCCGATCCTGCGGCATTTCGATCGCGATCGGACTCCGGTCGTTATTGTGTTTGCGAGTGACTGGGCGATCTCGGTCGCATTGATGCAGGAGCACGACCAGATCTACCATCCCGTTACCTTCGCCAGTCGAACGCTGAAGTCGAATGAATTGAACTACAACGTTGTGGAGAAAGAAGTACTGGCGCTGTTACGGATCCTGGACCTAAACTATAACATGCAGGTTGGACGATCGATCCGGGTCTTGACCCGACACTCGACGTCGGCGTGGCTGTTCCGATCACCCGGTCTTCAAGGCCGATTGGGTCAGTGGGCTGCACTCCTATCGCCCTGGACACTGGAGACCACGAAGTGCACCAAGGGAGAGGACGAGATATTGGGGGTGATCACCGCTAGTATTACGCCTCGATCGGATATGGACGACGGGTTGATCGCGATCGCGCCGAAGAAAGAACCCCGGCAGAAGATTCAGGCCCCGATCCCGACTGTGCGTGCGGACGAAGAGCTGCTGGTGATAAGTTTCGATGGATCCGCCCGCGTCAAGCGAGGCGGGGGCGCGTACAGCGCGATCTTGTGGAAAATACCCGAATGGAGCGTGGTGAAGGCACGATCGGGCTATGCTGAAGGGCTGACGGTTAACGAGGCGGAGTATCATGGTCTGTTGTTGGGTTTCGACCTCCTTGACGGCATAGATCGAGGCAGGTTAGTGGTCTGCGGCGATTCCAACCTGGTGATCCGACAAGTACGGGGCGAGATCGACTGCAAAGCACCTAAG